AATAGAATAGAATAAAATACTTTATTGACCAAGTATGATTAGACACACAAGGAATTTGTCTCCGGTGCAGAAGCTCCGGAGTGAATTCTCCCTCATGAAGCTTCATCCTGAAGACCAGTATGCATTTCAGATCGTTCTCTACTTATAACCATTCCTTTATCGACCAGACAAAGTTACAATGGCACTGAAAAATGTAATTTAGGATCAGTCCTTGTACTTATGACTGTTGCAACATCTCCATGATCATAATGTGGGTGCTTGTATGCATTTACCACACTTGCAGTGTTCTGGGGACCTGTGATTGCCATTTGTGATTTTCCTAGCCGGCATCAAAGTCAATGGGAGAAAGCCAGATTCATTTAATGCCTGCATTGATTTGCTTAACAACAGTGGCAAAAAAAGTCATAAAATCAAGTGTAGCTTGCTTAACAACTGCCTTGCTTAGCAATGGAAAGTTTGATCCCAGTTGTGATTTTAAGTCAAGGACTATCTGTATTTACTTCCTTGAATGGCACATGGGGGCACAGGACATCAACCACAGCACTGATCTGGGAAAGCTGAATGTCCCAACAGGAAAGAATAATGCAAAACTCACTCTTTTCCTTCTTGTCCCTATTTTAGATAACAGTTCTTTTCCAGAGACGGAATGCAGAACAGCCTCGAAAAACAGATGAAGCCAGATTATTTTTCAATTCCATGGAAATGACCAAAGGGCTATCAATCTGCCCCGTTAAACGCTGCTGCTCTTGATTTGATAGTTTGTAGGTTCTTCTCTCTGACTTCTCCCCAAGTTTAAGAGAATCAAGAATGGGGCCAAGATATTCCTTCATCTTCATTCTGAGCACTAGGTCAAAAATCACGTGTCATTGGTGCATAAATGTGGGACTGGCCATAGAGTTCGCCGAACATTCAAGAGTCAAATCTGATGCCAATTCTAGGTGTTGAAAACAATAAGAAAGTAAAGGATTATGTTGCTAGCAAGTTGCAGGAATGTCAACAAACTGGAAGTGCTAATGATCCGCCACAAAGCTTAATGTACACACTGTTTTAAGTTTCACCCAAGAATTGGAAAATAACTGGCTAAAGCAGTTCAGTTATGAATCCCGATTATCCCCACTGCCAAAAAAGGAGCAGTTGGTCTGGCACAATTTTATTCAGCTGTAACTAGACAAAGAAAGTCTTTCTTTCCACCCAGTTTGGAAGAATCCAAGTCTTAAAAATGAAGAAAATTGCTAAATTTTGGTGCTTGCAAAATCTTTGTTCTGCAAGGGGGAGAACACAAAGGGGAGTGTTGTGAGCATTGCACTCAGCTACGGAGCCCATGGGTAATGGAACCTATGGGTTAGTTTCAATCCTTCAAATATTTAAACAGGATTTTATAGGTTAAAAGACTACGTGACCCAACACAGTAAGCGGATCCTGTATTGTGGGTTTTAAATTTTGTAAGCAGCCTGTATGTTGGTTGAGTGGCCGTATAAATTTGTTTAATAAATAAATTAGCTCTTCATCCTAAAGGAGCTAGTCAAGATCACTACCTGATTTTCCTGTGACACCACCACTAAAATATCAGTTATTTGATGGGAGGAGGAAAATAGAGGTAATCCTTGTCTTACAACAGTACATTCAGTGACGGTTCAAAGTTACAACGGCACTGAAAAAAGGGACCGTTTTTCACAGTTACGATCTTTCCAGCATCCCCATGGTCATGTGATCAAAATCCAGATGCTTGGCAACTGGTTCATACTTATGACTATCTCCTTTTGTGACTATCTGACAAGCAAAGTCAATGGGGAAAGCCGGATTCGCTTAACAACCGAGCCACTAACTTATCAACTGCAGCAATTCACTTAACAAAAGTGAGGCGAAAAGATCATAAAATGGGGCAAAATTCACTTAACAGATGTCTCGCTGAACAACAGAAATTTGGGGTTCAGTCGTGGTCGTATGTCCAGGACGACCTGAAAGTCTGTTTGCTAACTACAAGCATGTAGAACCACCCATGGAAGAATCCAGAAGCACAGAGCAGATTTCGGCATGTGGCGATGGGTGATCTTATCCCCTTGTCCAGAAGTCTTAGGTTCTCCAAATGGGATCAACTGCCTTCTCCGGTATCTTTGCTGCAACTTCAAGCTGCAGGAATATTCTGGTAGAATTAGAAGCCGTGGAAAGAGTGCGAAAGAGTGAGTTTGCTCTTGCCTCTGGCAAGATAACCCGGTTGGATCAGCCTTCAGCCCCTAAAGTGTTTGACCTTAGCCATTCTTAGCTCAACGGTGTTAGCCAACACTTTTTATGCACCATATCTTTCATCAAAAGTCAGTTAGAAAACTCCTGGGCACTTTGGCTGTTTTCTGTTCACATGCTATTTACTGATAAGGCAGCTTTTGATTGCCTTTACCTATGCATCCGTTTCAGGTCACCTGGACAAGAAAGAGCTGGTGTGAGCCTTTGGTGTTCCTGGAATGACATACCAGTGATTCATGCAATGGTGTTATCTAGCTGGTTTCTGAGACCTTGTCATTAAATTATATGCATAAGACCGAAACCAAAATTTCATCGTGTACTTTTACTGGTCTGAATCAATTGGCATTGCAAAACCACTGGGTTGGGTGCTCTTAATTTAATTGTATTATTTAGACACTATTGCTGAATGTTTTTATGTGAAGCCATAGTTATTTTTCCACCACTATCATCATCATTCTAGCCATTGTCTGTCCCCCGCAGGATGAAGGTCTTTTGATGATATTGTATACTTTTGCGTGTTCTCTAATCGATGTGCGGGTCTTTCTATCTTTTCTTGTGATGCCAAGCATGTATATTTCCAGGTTTTTTTAATTAGAGCATGTGTCATAGTTTTTTAAAAAAATTAAAAGTAAATAAAAATGAAAGGTCTCAGCTCCATTCAATAACCCCAATATTATTCTTAATTTTATTCCAAGGTTTACTGTATTCATTGGAGCTTAGTCTTGGAAATGTATTCTTCCACTGCCTGTTATGCAAAGATTCTAGTCTTAATAAAGCAGCACTCTAATAGCTTTATGAGTGAGCCAATGGTGACATCTAGTGGACATAAACAAGAATTACATTAATCCCTCTGGTCCAAGCAGATTTTTATTATGGATAAAATTTAGGCAAAGAAACCAGGAGAGCACTGACTTGTAGGAGGAATATCTGTTTAATATTATAAATTCCAGGGCTTTTTTTTTGTCATAGAACGCCTAGAATGGAGTTACGGCACCTTTTTTGGATGGAACCTTGTAGGGTAGGCAAGGCGGATTGTACGACGTGTGTGAGTTCCAGCACTTTTTTTTTTTTAAAGCACTGATAAATTGTATTGATTTTATATGAATTATAAATGCTGGCATTCTGCCAAAATCCCAAGGAGAAATTAGCCTTCAAAAATTGGGTCTAACTCCCTAGAGCAGACATGTCAAACACAAGGCCCGGGGGTCAGATGTGGCCCGCGAAGTGGTTTCATGTGGCCCGCGAAGCCATCCTGGAAACAGTGAGGGAACGGCCCCCGCTGCCTTGGCCCTGGCCCAGGCCGGCCGGGAGCCAATGTACAATTTTGTGGGGAACATCTATGCTAAAATGCATTCAGTCTTAGCTCCACAAGGCCGTCCGGAAACACCCGAGGAACCAGCCCCTGCCACATTGGCCCTGCCCCCTGCGTGCATGCTGGGGAGGGGGTCACCCTTTGTGAGGATTGAAAAATGGACCATGCCTTGGCGCTTGCCCCGGTCCCACCCCCTTCTGCCAGAGACCCTCAGATCTGTCCCACTCCTTCCCAGGCCCCCACAGGCCCCCTTGACGCGAATGATGTAGAACTGGCCACGCCCACCCAGTAGGCACACCCACTCCATCCACACCCACCCAATAGGCCACACCCATCCTGGCCACACCCCCCCCAGGGCAACCCTCAGTGAAATTGAATTTGACACCCCTGCCCTAGAGGGCAATAAAGAAATAAAAAACACACTCTTTGCTGCCCCCAACTGGTAGTGTGGATTTTTGTCCGAGATATGATAACTCAACCAAGCACAGTCATAATCTGCCTTCAAGTCCTGGAGAAAAAAGTAGGATGTAAACTAACTGACTGAAATATATCACACACAGAGAGAGAGATAAATACTACTTGATTATTCCTATGAATACCTGTATATTGTAGGCAACTCAGCTAATCACTCCTTCCTCCTATTTTCCGCACAACTCCCCCCCCACGTGTGATATAGATTGGGCTGATACGAGTGGCAAGTCCAAAGTCACCCACTGATCTTCCATAGCGGAGAATGGATTTGATCCCTCTGGAGTCCTTGCATAACCCTTCATCTCTATACCATGCTGGCTCTCTCTCTCTTTTGACCCATTTTTTTAATGTTTGCACAATACACTGAATCAGGTAGTAACAAATATGCTGGGTTGACACAACATACTAAACCACAAAGCAGCGCCTGCCTCCCTTCCAAGGTTAAAACTAATCAAGCTGATCGCAACCCTGCCTGTTTAGGCAGGCAGGCAAAGGCGACCTTTAAAGATTTAAAAATCAAAGCCAGGCTGCCTGTCGTCCAATCAGCGGCTTGCGTTCCGGAGCTCTCGGCCAATGAGAGAGAAGCAGGAAGAGAAGTGAAGGGGAGGAGAGAACGTAGAGCTAGAAAAGGTGTAGAGCGACCCCTCGTCCCCTTGCCGATGCACAGATCTCGAAAGGGCCAGGATTCACACTCAGCGCCCTTGTTTTCCCACTGGGCAGCCTTAAGATGGGGCGGACTTCACCTCTCTTAGCTCCTGCTTTGCAGTTTGTGCAATACACTGAATCCTATATTGATGATGGATGACCTATAAGGAGGCTGGGTGGACACCCAACCGACCAATCAGCGTCGTGCAAATTGTGCAAAGGCTGGCTGGAGGATTCTTGGAGCTGAAGTATCTACGGGTCAGTTTGAGAAACATTGAAATACAGTAGAGCTCTGTGTGTGTGTGTGTGTGTGTGTGTGTGTGTGTGTTTTAGGGTTGTTGTTTTTTTTGTATGGAGCGGCCGCGGCTCCTTTAAGAAAGAAAAAAAAACCCCGAGCATCGAGTTCGTTCTTCCGCCTGCGAAGGCGGCTGCGCCAACCTGAGTAGCCAATCGGGAGGGCCAGAGGAGGAGTCCAGCTATCGAGCAGGGAGGGGCGGCGCTCAGCCAATGAGGAGCGCGCCAGGCTTCCTCCCCCCAAGCCAATGGGAAAGCAGAGCGCGAAAGGCGCCAGCAGTTGGATGGATCGGGGCGACTCCGGGCGTAATGGCGGCCGTTGGAGGGTCTCCCTCGGAGTAGGGGGCTGCTTCTCTTCGCTGGGAGCGCTGCCCGAGGAGGATTAGCGGGCCGGAGAGCCCCCGGGGGCCAGGAATCCGTGAGAATAGCTGTTAACCCTCTCGTCTTTTGTTCAGCTCTTGAAAGTCTTGGGAAGGAAGGAAGGAAGGAAGGAAGGAAGGAAGGAATTGGAAAAGGAGGGAGGGAAGGAGAAAGAATTAGAAAAGGAGGGAGGGAGGAAGGAAGGGAAAAGGAGGGAGGGAGAAAGAAAGAATTGGAAAAGGGAAGGAGGAAGGAAGGAAGGAGAAAGAATTAGAAAAGGAGGGAGGGAGGAAGGGAAAAGGAGGGAGGGAGCAAGAAAGAATTGGAAAAGGAGGAAGGAAGGAAGGAGAAAGAATTGGAAAAGGAGGGAGGAAGGAAGGAGAAGAAAGAATTGGAAAAGAAGAGAGAAAGAATTGGAAAAGGGAGGGAGGAAGGAAGGAGAAAATTGGAAAAGGAGGGAGGGAGGAAAGAAGAAAGAATTGGAAAAGGGAGGAAGGAAGGAGAAAGAATTGGAAAAGGGAGGGAGAAAGAATTGGAAAAGGGAGGGAGAAAGAAAGGAAGGAGAAAGAATTGGAAAAGGAGGGAGGGAACAAGGAAGGCATTAAGGTAAGACGGCTGGGGGAGAAGTTAGCAAGGCAACCAAGGAACAGGAGGATAGTTACTAAGGCAATTGGGGAGGGGGGCAGGAAAGTAGTGGTCAAGGTGGGGTAGTTAACAAGGCAACAAGGGGGCGGGAGAGTAGTCATCAAGGTAGGAGAGTAGTTACCAGGGCAACGGGGGGGGCAGTAGGATAGGCATCAAAGTAATGGGTGGGAGGGAATAGTTACCAGGGCAGTGGGGGGGGGGTGGAACAAGGATAATTATCAAGGTAACCTGGGGGTGGGGTAATTTCCAGGGCTACTGGGAGGGGCCAGAAGGGCAGCTGGGAGCAGAGCAGGGGGTAGCCTTCCCTGCGGTAGACCTTCCAGGTTGCACCCTCATTTGCACAGGGGTCCAACGGCTGGAGTAAAAGGGCTTACCTTTCTGCAAATGGGGAGAGGGTATCACTTCTTTGAGAAGAGTACGCTTTGGAGATGGGCGGCACTGCCACGTGCTTGTAAATGCCAGCAGAGACCTACGTTCCTCGGTTTCCGAGCCCTGCTGTGAGCATGCTTGTTTGGGAGGCCAGACCCAGTGACTGTAGATCCCAGGGATCTAGTTCTCATCTTTAGCAGGTTTGGATTGGATCAGGATGCTAACATAAGCGGGGGATCCTCCTTCAGACCTCAGTTCGTGTGGATGCCCTCACCTCGCGTTTGTGAGTCTCCAGGATCCCAGCGGCTGAAGCATCACCATGACCTGCTCCCACAATGTGGTCTTCCTCTTGGATACTGCAGATTCCACAGAGAAGGCTCACCTTCACTTGGGCACCTTGAGGATCTTGAACTTCTTGGCTTGCAAGTTTGGTCTCGCTAAGGTCCGATGGGATTTCAAATTCTTTGACTCCATGGGAATCCGTGGCCGGGCTTCGCGTGTAGGCAGCTTCCGGGAGCTTGGGTCCCGAAGCTGGGAAGACTTTGAAGAGGAGCTGGAGGCCAGATTTGGGAAGCAGCTCTGCACTCCCTGCTCACCGGGCCCAACACCACGATCCACCGTCACTCGGAACATTCTGAAAGAAACGTTGCTTGACTATCAGTGGGATCGCCCTGAAATAGTCTCTCCTGCCAAACCGGTGCTGAGAAGTCAGAAAAACAAATTAACTGTGACTGCGGATAACCCTCCAGTGCAGTCCACTCATGCGGGCTTTGCTAATGCCATTTTCATCTTATCTCCCTGCCCTCATTCCCGGAGGGAACTCTGGCAGTTTATTTCTGGAAACTATGCTCCTTTCCTGGAAGAACTGCCTCCTTTGCATGACCTGGCAGAACAATTCCTCCCTAAGGGAATCCAGGACATGATAGCCCATCATAAGGTCACTCTGTATTGGATGGACACCGCTGAATGGTCCAAGGTAAAAAAAAAAAAAAAAGCTCAGATTATTGTTCTGTTTGTGAGGTGGCTGCATTAGTTTTCCTTCCTTCAAAAATTGTATGTACTTTGTTTTATTTGTACTACTTGAGATACAAAACTGTAATAGAGCAAATGGTTCCGTGCTCATCTACTGGATCTTATGACTGATTGATCCAATTCAGCATTGTTTTGATGTCTTGATTTATTTATTTGCTGCCCTTCTCATATTGAAACGACTGGGCGGGTTCACGTTAACGTGCAGTGCTCAAGTTAATAAACCATATTGCAGCTTAATATAACGGTCTGGTTCAAATGTCACAGTAAGCAGGCGGATAAGTTCCCACGACCTGCTGAACCATCAATTGCACAAGCCCATTTTAACCTAGTCTTGCATGTTGTGGCTGTTCTATCCATTACGATTAGCCTTATTCCGGTCATCTCGGATTGTCTCCTTTCAGCTTGAACCCCCTGATCACACTGGCTACCTTATGTTGCTTGAAGTCATGTGCATCCTGGGAGGCACCGTTTTGCCATCTGAGGTCTTCACTCGGCATTTAGATCATCAGAAGAAAAGGACCCTCCCAGCATCCCCCATGGAGCCTTCATCTCCTGAACCATCGTTCACGCCATGGACTAAAATGCTGCCTTTGGATTCATCTTTATCCTGCTTATTTTCCTCGCGTTCTTCTTTACAAACATCCTTCCCAACTCTGGACGGAGTCCTGCTCCTCAAGGCCGACGGTAGTGAAAATAGTATTTATGCTTTGTGAGCCGTGAAACTACTGTGGGAAAGAGGGTTTGCAGATAGTCCTCGACTTAAAACGGCTCACTTAGTTCAAAGTTGCAACGGCACTGAAAAAAGTGACTTATGAATTTGCAATTCAGATACTTGGCAACTGGTTCCTATTGATGACCGTTGTTGCGTCCCCTTTTGTGACCTCACAAAGAAATGGGGAAGCCAGATTTGCTTAATGGCCAGGCTACTCATTTATAAACTGCAATGGTTCATTTAGCTGAGGCAAGAAAGGTCATAAAATGGGGCAAAACTCAACAGATGTCTCACTTAACGACAGAAATTTTGGGCTCAGCTGCGATCGTTAAGTCGAGGACTACCTGCAATTTTATAGTAGTTTTTTTTTAAGCTGATCAAACAAAACCCTTGTTATAAACCCTGGGGTTTATAAAACCTTACCCCTGGATGATTGTTTTTGTATTGTTGTTTGTTATGTTTTATGTGTTTTTTATTGTTAGCTGCCCAGAGTCCTTCGGGAGTGGGGCGGCTTATAAATTTTAAAAATAAAATAAAAATAAATAAAATAAGGCACGTTGTACTCATACCATGCTAGCATTTTTCTCAGCTTTTATCTTTATTCTTTTTATTCATTACTGCGTATAGAAATTAAGGAAAGAGAGTTTGCTTGCTTGATAAAGTGTAACCTTTTTGATCTTAACAATGGACAGGAATAGAAGAAGCCTGGAGTTGCCCCGTGGTGCTGGAGCCTCTAACTCTGAACCAGAAGCACTTTGAAGGAACAGTCATCATACAACTTAAATGCACTATGGCAGACTGGAAGCCAGTGTACATTAAACATCTTCACACAGAGAGCTGGACACTCCAGAGTAAGCTGTCGGGACCTTCGGCTCAAGAGATTTCTTTGTTCCAGCAGTTTGTAAAATATATTCTCTCTCAAGGACTTCATATGGTAAGTTTCTCTTTTCATTCTGCAAAGCAAATGTAATTATAAGTAATTGATCAGCATGGTGGTGTTGATTACGTTTCGTTGACAACCAAAATATCTGGTAGGAACTTGGAGGAATGTCCAGTAGATAGATTTTCCAAGAGCTTGTTTACTCTGAGTAAACATGTACTGGGCTTTATTTTAACAGGGTGCGACATCAGACGTATCAACAGTGGTTTTTATTTTTGAAAAAGGCAACTGGGGTGATTATTTTGAGGAGGAAGAAGAAGAAGACGCTTCGCTTCCTATCCTGGAAGCTTCCATCAGTTGTATTGGATGGTGTGGGAGATGGAAGGACAGTTAGTGACAGTTGAGATTAGTTTTGGCTGGGGAGGGGGGAATGATAGGGTCTGACGGGATGGTGGTGGGGGAAATGGACGTTTCACCGTTCTTGGAACCTAGGATTATGCAAGCCGCTGAAAGATTTAGAGGCAGCTCCCAGATCTCCAATCTCCCAGATCTCTGCCATCAACCTGTACTTTTTAAGGGAGAAGGAAACTATTGTGACATATTCTGGGAAAAAACATGTCAGCCTTCAAGCTTGTACGAAACCACTTTGCTCCGTGGAAATGAAATATTTGCTGAGCCAGTAGCATAATTCACCTGATGGAAGTGCCTCGTGTGCCTTCTGGGGCCTTGTCCCAACAGCTCAATAGCTTTATGGGACACCCGACATGAAGCAACAGAGCAGCTTCCCACTTCCAAAGGGTGCTTTGCTGAAAGGACAGTCAAAACAAAAGTCCATCCTTCAAAGCCTCTTTTCGTTTCTCAGGAAGGGTTTGTGTATCCCCTCATTGTTTGCATGTTTCTCTTTTGCTGGGAAGGTAGCTGAAGTGACGCTTTCATCGGGAGCTCATTCTCCTTGTACCGGCGTTCTCTCCCCCATCTCTGGCACCACCGCACTTCTTTCTCTCCTCTCTGCTGAGCAAGTTGCAGAAGCCGAGAGGTGCCTCCTTCAAGTCCCTGTGGCAGAGAACATTTCCAAGGAGCTGGAGTTTTGTCTGCCAGAAGTTGTGAGCAGCGTGCTAAGTCAGGTCATGGAGGACTCCGATGAAGACCACCACCAAGCAGGTCCCGGTAAGCTTGATCTTTTTTTTACCCCTTTGTTTTTCAGATGTTCCAAGAAGCCCTTCCGGTATTTGGTCTGGAAAGATTTTCTTAGCCAATGATTTGTTTGGAATTTTGAGCCCCTGTGGTGGGTGGCTGCCAAGGTGGGCATGGCCAGTGGCAAAATACCCATTTAGTAGAAGGTGAACTAGCCCCCAATGGGTCCTGTGGAAGATTTAAATTCATAGTCTCTGCGAGGGAGACTGAGGAGGACATCTGACACTGGGCGAACACCAGGACTTGTTTGTAAATGATGGTTGTAAACATCACGATATGCAGAGCAAAGCATAAAAAGCCCCTACGTGGTGACAGATCCCCAAATCCATAGGAACTCCATGTTGCTAGGATTTTCCAAGGGCCTGTTTCCCCCCAGACACCCTGATTTCCTAACCCATTGAAGAGATCCGGATAGAGCTAGGTTGGAGAAAGAGATTATCCATTTCATTCTAAGCTCACCTATAATATCTAAAAGTATTTCTTGCTCATGGTTGCCTAAAATAGGTTCTGTCTAGACATGTGTAAGGGTTAACGCAACTTCTTTCACGACTAGGGAAGGTCCAAGCCCACTAATAATGTAGTATTTTTCTCTTTTTTTAAATGTTTCATCTATACATGTTAAACAGAGAGTTTGTGTCCAGGATGGGCCCAGCAAGAGCTCTCAGGTGCTCAAAGCTGGAATCCTGATGTGCTTGAAGATTGGTACAGTGTGTCAAACCTTTGTGGTGCAAGCTCATACTTGATGGAACCATTCAGGTAATTACTCCTTTTTTTTGGGGGGGGCTTAATTTTAAGTGTTAGTTTAGAGAAGAGCAAAGCTGGACACCAAACACTCCGCAGTTGCTAGTGCTGTTATAATACAATTAAATTAGAATAAATTTGCTTCCACAGATTCTTCCAAAAGGGTAAGTATTTGTGCTCAGTAAAGACGTGCTGTATGTCTCTGTTAAAAAAAAAAATGCATCTGGACAAAACCATATCTGGACTTGTCTTGAATGTGCAACTTTTACAGATGCTCATCAGAAATAGCCGTGAGATTTTTGCAGATTCATTTCTGAGGGGAATAATTCAGGGAAAAGGAATCTTAACTATTAGTTGGACATGCAGAATTTTGCTAATTGTTAAACACAGTGGGAAAGGGCCATTACTTTTGGGCATTTATCCATTTCCTTGGTTTTTTTTCCCCCCCTCTCTGTATAGGATGCTGCAAGCAAGTTGTCCTAAAAATGAAGAGGACACCCCAAAATCAGAAGTGGAGCTGAGACAGTCCCTAGCGGAATTTTACCAGAAAAAAAAATCTGATCGTACAGTTTCATCTCACCCCCGAGATCAGAAAAAGAGATGTATGCAATTTGTGTGTGTGTGTGTGTGTGTGTGTGTGTGTATTTATAATCATGCAGAGGAAAGCACAAGAGAATACATCACCCTTACTTACTTAAATATGGGTAGTCCTTGATTTATGAGCACCCTTAAGAACAGAATTTCAGTCGCTAAGCAAAGCGGTTGTTAAATGAATTTTACACCCAATTTTACGACTTTTTTTTTGCCATGTTAAGTAATTCACTGCAGTTGTTAAGTGAATCAGGCAGTCATTAAGGGAACCTGGCTCCCCCCATTGACTTTGATTGTTGGAAGCCAGCTGGGAAGGTGACAGATGGCGATCACGTGACCGTGGGATGCTGCAACCCTTGTAAATACATCCCAGTCGCCAAGCACCAGCAACGGGATGCTGCCACAGTCCTAAGTGTGAGGAACGGTAGCATGTCATTTTTCTCCCCAATGCTGCTGTAACCTAGAACAGTCACTAAACAAATAGTTGTAAGACGAGGATTACCTGTAAAGATCGCATCGTTCCTGATAAGGAGTTGCGTGATGCTACTGACCTTTTGGGGGGTCCAGTGAAACAAATTCACATCCCGTTTTTCTTTTCCACCCGAGCAGGTGGGGTTCCCCGGACACCCATTAGGCAGAAGATGAAAACCATGCCCCGTTCTCTTCAGATGCTGAATGTTGCCATGCTCAACGTGAAAGCTCAAAAGCACCAGCCGGAGGGAGACCTGCCAGCGAATAAAAAGCCACGCCAAAGGCCGCTGTCCAGAAGATTGAATGGGAAAGGGGAGGAAAACGGAAGGAAACGGAAAAGCAAGATGGGTGCGTGCAAGATCCGCTCTCTGTCATGTATACTGAGCGGAGGGCAAAGCAAAATTCCAGCATTTTCAGAACAAAGAATAGCAGTCAAAGCTGGGCGTCGTAGTGCAGATTTAAGGGAGAATTGCAAACATTTCTAGAACAGGGTTCCCCAAACCCTGGTCCGCGGCCTGATACTGGTCTGTGGCTTGTTGGGAACCAGGCCGCGCAAGCGACAGGTGAGCATGCAAAGCACCATTTGTGCAAGCGGTAGGCATGCATGTGAAACTATCCCTCTTGCCTTCCCCCCATCGCTGGTCCACAGAGCCAGAAAGGCAATAATAATATGAATAACGATAATAAAGTTGGAAGGGACCTTGGAGGTCATCTAATCCAACCCCCTGCTCAGGCAGGAAACCCTATACCATTTCAGACAAATGGCTGTCCAGTCTCTTCTTAAAAACCTCCAGTGATGGAGCTCCCACAACTTCTGGAGGCAGGTTGTTCCACTGGTTAATTGTTCTGACTGTCAGGAAGTTTCTCCTTAGTTCTAGGTTGCTTCTCTCCTTGGTTAGTTGCCATCCGTTGCTTCTTGTCCTGCCTTCAGGCGCTTTGGAGAATAGCTTGACTCCCTCTTCTTTGGGGCAGCCCCTGAGATATTGAAACTTGGCTATCCTGTCACCCCTTAATCCTTCTCTTCATTAAACTAGACATTACCCAATTCTAGCAACCGTTCCTTGTATGTTTAACCCCTGGTCCATGGATCGGCACTGGTCTGCGGCATGCCAGCAACGGGTCTGCACAAACAAGCAAAGCCCCATCTGCGGGATATAGGCAGCATGTGAAATCACACCCGCTCTGATCCGCGGAAAAACCTTTCTCTATGGAACTAGTCCCTAGTGCCCAAAAGGTTGGGGCCACTGTTCTAGAAGACCGAAAGTCCTGTTCTCAGTTTAGATAGCTGAATATGAATGCTTGAATTATAAGAGATTTCTTAGTAAGTGTACTAGGTTAGTCCACGTGGAGAGGCTTGTTAATAGTGAATAGAAGCGTATTAACAATGGGGAAGAAAAATGTAACGAATGAGAGAAGATTATTTGCCTCCTTTCTCCATACCTGAAGCTTTTCCTGATTCCCTTGCTGCAAATTCACCGTTATAACACAAGCAATTGCCGTATTATTTCTTATATTCCAGCAGAGAATAGCAAACTAATTTTCGTCTTTCTGTGTTTTTTTTTACAGACTTCAGTACTGAAGGCGAAATGCTTTCTTACCTCAGTGCAAACTACCAGAACGCTATGAGGGATGGAGGAAATTTGTTTGCACGTTCTCAAGATATGGTGACGGCGGTTAATACATTTCAGAAATCCAGTGAGGTAAAATCGTTGCTTAGATACACCTGTCTTTGCCACCCAGAGGTTTTTCAAAGGTCTTTAAGGGTTTCACGACACTGGAAGGGAAGCTAAAGAGAACAAGCTGATATTTCTATATTACGGAAGCATAAATCCCCTGTCTGTGATAAAATGAATTTGCAATCCAGAAAAAGTTTGCGCCGTATTTTACAGTTCTTTTTGTGTCCAGCTAATTGGGTTAGCAGGGCTGGTTCAGGAATTCTGGGTGTTGAAGTCCACAAGTCATAAAAGAACCAAGGTTGCCTACCCCTGGCTTACCACCCATGCATTAAGGAATATCCTGCAAAGTCATGGCCCTGTGTAAGGTGGGAAAGGGAGTCGGTTTCTCTCTCTCCCATATCTTTTGCACATTATATGCAGTTGGCTTAGAGACCGCAAGAAAGCTGTAGACGCAAAGGTAAAAGATGAAAGTCTCCAGTTCCAAAACAGAATCCCCCCCCAAAAAATAATAATGAAAACTTTTTACTGTAGAAACAATAAACTCGATTGGATTAGAACAATCCACCTTCAACAAGACTTGACTTTGAAACAGTGGTATCATGTTTTTCAGCACAGCACGAATGACATTAAAAGCTATTGAAGCAGAGCAATACAATTTTATTCTTGCTTGAGAAGGGCATCTTGCCGGGAACATCATGTGTGTGTGTGTGTGTGTGTTTCCTTTTTCTATTCAAATGTCATCTGCCTCCATATAAAGGAAGAAAAAAGGATTTCATTCACTCTTAACTAATTTGCTTCTTAACATGAGACTCTAAGATTTAGCACTGGCATATAAATCTATTAAATGAGTATCTCTTTGATACTCCCCCACTGCTTTTTGTTCTCATTTAATTAGCTAAGTCTCTCTGTTTTTGTGCAATTTGGAGCTATTTTTGTAGTTGCCGTGGTTTTCAGTGCATATCTGCAGTGACATCTTTCTAATGTTGTGTTTGTAGGCAGCTTGTCTAGATACGATCCAAACAAGTCTCCTGAAGACCACCAACGCGCTTCGTCAACAACTTGCTTCTGATCCTGATAAAGAAACCAAAATCAAAGAGTACGAAGACAGATCTTCACTTCTTAAAATCATTGACTCAGTTAATTTTTAGACGATGGCATTCCTCAGTACATAAGTGGAGGGATTTAGTTGAATACTTGATGTGATGCTGTCCTTGATTTAAATTCATTCCCTTTATGTTGTTTCGAAAATATTTACATATCCAGTATATAATTAGCCTTGGCAAAATGTGTTATTTTTGTCTGGTGTATGGATAAAAGTACAGAGCCGTGATGGCGCAATGGTTAGAATGCAGTATTGCAGGCTAACTCTGCTGACTGCCAGCAGTTCGATTCTGACTAGTTCAAGGTTGACTCAGCCTTCCATCTTTCCGAGATCGGTAAAGTGAGGACTCAGATTGTTGGGGGCAAAAGGCTGACTCTGTAAACTGCTTAGAGAAGGCTGTAAAGTACTGTGAAGTGATATATAAGTCTAAATGCTATTGCTACCGTATATATATGTTTATAGGCTGGTTTTCCACTAGAATACTTAATAGTAATTGATTAGTAAACAATTAAAATACCCTTCATCCAAAATGCTACTCTAATTGGTATTAATTGAGAACATTCACAGCTTTGGGCACTGTGGAAAAAGCTTGTCAGAGTAATTTCCCCTGCACCCACCCAAACATTTTTATTGCTACATTGAACAGATGAGGGAGAAAGAAATAAGAAATATTCTTCTCAATCTGTCTTTTCCTTTTTTTTTATTAAAGGTGCCAACTTCAAGTGTATTTGCGCCTGGAGATGTGCCTGCAACGTCCTTCTTTGCAAAATAACACAGACAGAATGGAGCAGCTTGTGCAAGAGGTAGATAAAGAAGGGTGTGTGTGAATGTGTGTGTGTTACACTTCTCTTGCGTACTGGAAAGTAAGGCTTCATTCTCTTATTTACCCCAAGTTGCAGTTTATGGCCTGAGCATCATGGATTTTGTGACTTTTGCTCTCTTGCAGATGACAGAGTTACTTAGGATGTTGTGCTTGACTAAAGATCCAGGATACCTCAGCAGTTTTTTGGAAGAAGTTCTAGATATGTAAGTAAAGTAAAGGATTTTACTCCACTAGTCTTTGCTGACTACAGACGGCGGTGCTCATCTCCATTTTAAGGCCACTGAGACAGCGCTGTCCAAAGATATTTCCGTGGTCACGTGGCCAGCGTGACACCACGGAGAGCTGTTAACCTTCCCAATAAAGTGGTACCTATTTATCTACTCACACTTGAATGCTTTCAGACTGCTAAGCTGGCAGGAGCTGGGGCGAGGACAGGAGCTCACTCTGTCGCGTGGTGCTCGGGTCTCAACCTGAGCTGCTGGCTTTCCGCCTTTGCACTTCAACGACAAAGCAAAATACACCGCTTGGTGTCTAAATTTCACCCAAGATTTAAATCCTATGGTTTTGCTCTCCCTGCAGATATATGGAATCTATGCCAAAGACGCTTGGTGATTTGTACTACAGTCTGGGGACGGAGATTCCCTCTAAGTTAGCTTCCGTCCTTCCAGCGGATTTCTTTAGCGATGATTCCATTACCCAGGAGACAGAGAGCTCACCCCTTCCTGCTTCGGCTGCCTCTTTTCCACTCTCTAAGGCAGGTTCCTTAAGCACTGAAGCCGATGAGCTAGAAGAACTTCGCAGCCGATCTGCTAAGAAACGGTAGGTGTATGTCAGAAAACGGAATAAATAGTACTGAGTTTAATTTAGGCTAACACGTAGGAGCAACTTTGCATGATGTTCGTTCTGTTTACTTTTTCCCAGTGTTTCTTCTGCTTCTGTAATTCATTTCTATATAGCCACAGCATCGGTTGGATTCTTGGGTGAAAGAGAGAGCAGATGTCACCCTTATCTGTTGGGTTTATTGTGTGGGGATATTCTGAAGTCATTTGTGCGCGAGAAACTCAGTCTTGTCCAGATTAAAAACAGTCAAGGTGGGGAAGGGAAGCAAAGGTCTTACATCTTAAAAAACCAGAATCCCAATGTTTCCGCTTCACTTGCTAAAAACTTTGTCGTCTGCTTTCAGAAAACATCCGCTAGCCAGACATAGGAGTATCGCAGAAATGTCACAGAATTTACGCCAAATAGAAATTCCTCAAGCATCCTGGAACCACAAGAGAAAGGTGAAATTTCCAGTTGGGAACAAATGGCATGCAAAATGAAAGGGGGAAAAAAAGCATACAACCATTAGAAAAGGCAACCATGTTGCATAAAGAACAATCTTTTGGAAAGCGTGATAGCTTTTTGTGCATGGAAGGGAGCCATTTTTTTTTTTACTTTCTGTAGAACCTGGGATGAAGTAGTTTTTATTCACTGGTTATTCATAACATTAAGTTTTCCAACGAAGCCGATAAATGATGTAAATTTCGCAGCCTTTCTAACGCCGTATTCTAAATTTTCAGGATGGCTCTCATGTGCCCCTTAATGTCAAACTGGCACCAATTTCCAGGAAAACGGGAGTACAAGGTATGTCTTTTTTCCCCAGCAGGGAATGAGCTGATATTTTGCTCACATTAAAGGCAGCCAGAGTATTAGACTGCAACTTCGAGTCATTAAAGATATTCATTTTAAAAAATCTAGCATGTGCCTTATTTTTTTTTTGCAAACCTTCTTTAATCTCTTTTATCTTGAGCACCCATAATTCTGCTTCCATGTAATACAGCCACAAATTGTATCAGTTACATCAAAACTGACCTGACAAACTAGAGCAATGAGATGTCTGTCTTAAAGATCTTTTATTGATTTTTTTTTCTTAAATATCTTACTGACGATTGGTTTTGTCCAGGACATGCTTGAACACCTCTTTTGTTGTTGTTGTTGTTGTTGTTGCTTTCAGAAGTGATAAAGGTGAGAAGAAATCTTTTCAATAAAGAAACTCTACCTCTGGGCAAAGGTTCCTTACCAAAGATGGCTCGGAGCCAGTCCGTTTCCATTTTAGAAGATCTAAAACACAAACGCAGCGGATCTAAGGAAGATATTAAAGGTAAGAGAACAATGGATAGAATATTAAGAGGCTTGAGTAAATGTTTGTTGGCATAAATCTCTGTCAGATCCTATTTCATGAATGACTTTTTATTTTTATTTGTTGCTTTCTAAGCATCCATTCAAGAGCTCAGCATCTCTGCTGTCTGTGACAAAGCACTTAAACTACATACAATATATGTAACACGAGGCTCTTAAGAACCATGGTTCTTAAGAACCATTCCAAAAATTGCCAGCTAACTTGTTTTTAATCTGACAGGCAAGAATTATCATTAAAGGCCGCTAACTGGATTTTTTCCCCTTCCACTAAATTGTGTCCAATTAGCAGCGACTTCCATTCCTTCTATTCTAATTCTATTCTATTCTATTCTATTCTATTCTATTCTATTCTATATTCTATTCCATATTCTATTCTCTACTCTGTTCTAATTGTGCATGTGGAATTTCTTTTCACAGCACTGTTTTCCCTACACCTGATAAAGTGGAGTTCGTACACTATAGCTTATATGGGGAAAATGTGATTGTGTTCAAGATACTACAGTATTTGTCATGATAACATGGAGTAGTCGCTGCTTTCAACACAAATTCAATCCTGAAAAAGAATTCCTGTCCTTGCTTTCCAAACAGGAAGCAAACAGATTAGTTGCTTAGTGCAATCTTATTTCTCTGCACAATTTACTCTGTTTTAGCTCATCACAAGCTCTTGACCAAAAGGGTAGCAGAAACCCCCTTGCACAAGCAGATGTCCAGGCGCCTTCTGCAGAGGCAGATTACAGGCCGGTGAGTGAAAGCTTCAGAATCATTTAATAGCAATTTACCAATCTTACTTTGGTATAAAGTTGAAATTCCTTTCTTCACTTCTATATCACTTGCTGCTCCATTAAGTCTCAAACATTCCTTTCTTCAAAGGTCTTCGGATCCTGGGTCTGATGTTGGCATTGTGGAAGAATCTCCTGAAAAGACCATGACCTGTAAGTACTGATTGACAGGCTATTTCTTTGCAAATCAAAATGACTTGAGAATTGAGAGACGTTGGTTACCTGAATGGAACTAAAATTATCTTCATAGCAGAGCAAGAAGGGGCAAGTGTTCCTTATACATTTCTAACATTGGCCTGTTATTGATTACTTTAGCGTACATCACAGGATGTGGTCTGAACTGCAACAGGAATTTGAGAAATAGCAATAGTACTTAGATTTATATACTGCTTCACAGTGCTTTACAGCCCTCTCTAAGCCATTTACAGAGTCACCAAGTTGCCCCCAACAATCTGGGTCCTCATTTTACCAACCTCGGAAGGATGGAAGGCTGAGTCAACTTTCAACCGGTCAGGATCGAACTCCAGGCTGCGAGCAGAGTTAGCCTGCAATAGCAATAGCACTTAGACTTCTGCTTCATAGTGCTTTCAGGCCTTCTCTAAGCGGTTTACAGAGTCAGAGTATTGCCTCCAACAATGCCCTCATTTTACTGATCTCAGAAAGATGGAAGATTGAGTCAACCTTGAGCCAGTGAGAATCGAACTGCAGGCAGCTGGCAATCAGCAGAAGTAGCCTGCAATACTGCATTCTAACCACTGTGCCATCACGGCTCTTAGGACTGAATTCTAGCTTTGGTCAACAGCCATTCATCAAGTATAGTATTGTTATCTCAGCTGCTTTCATTGTTTGAAAGCAGCCAAATCGCAGAATGACACAGAGAGTCAGCCTTCCTACACTGGTACAAAATTGCTCCAATTTCATCTAGATCAGTGGTTCTCAACCTGTGGGTCAGGACCCCATTTGGGGTCGAATGACCATTTCACGGGGGTCACCCAACAACACAGTCTGCCATTTTTTCCCCCTTTTCCTTAGCTGTGCTACTCCCTTTTATTCTATTGGCTTTTGAAAGCCAATAGAATAGACTCTCTTGAATAGAGTCTAATTCTATTGGCTTTCAAAAGCCAATAGGAATTGTCCAGGCTGTCTCTGCCCTGCTGAGCCCGCCAAAAGTCCCCTTCTGCAAACGGTGCTGCACCAGTTGAGTAGTCCTCGACTTATGACCGGTTGAGTAGTCCTCGACTTAACGACTGGTTGGGGGTCGCGGCATTAAAAAGGTTGAGAACCACTGATCTAGATCAATGTGTGTATGTGTGTGTATGAGAGAGAGAGAGCGTGTGTGTGTTTAAAGGACACTGAGCGATGCTAACCTGCAGCCCTTTATAGTTGAGTGTCCAAGTTTAGTGTTATTTCTGTCCCTTAGTGGTGGTGTCTAGAAAGCGTATTTGCTAGAGGCAGAGATCAGCAGTTTTCCATCTTGCCAATTTATGCTTCTGAAAAATGAGAGTATTGTGCTTTGAGGTTCTTTTGGTGTGTGGAGCCTCCAGTCCTCAGTATTTCCTTCTAAGGGTGACATAGTCTATCTCAAGCATTAACGCTCCTTGATTCTCTCCCCTTTTGTTCTGTCTTCCTAAAAGATGGTTTAAGAAGAAGTCCGCGGATCAAGCAATTGATGCAGGATAAATTTCTCTCCAGCTCCATCCGCTCCCTAGAGCCAAATAAGAGGAACACACCACAAGTGCATTCTGCACATCTAGAAGAACCAGGTGAGGAAGGAGATCTAATAGGAGTATCAGAGATTGAGTTTCCTGATTTGTATCAGTATTTATATTTGTACTGTTTAGAACTGGTTTGTTTTTTGACCACTAATTTAAATTAAAGTCTTTCCTATTTTCTAATACAGAGTAGACAGACCTCCGACTTTCCAGATATTATTTCACTGAATTTCTCAGCGTCCTTCACCATTGACTAGGCTGGCTAAATGATGCTAGGAGGTGTAGGTCTGTAGTATTTAGAAGGACATGGGTTTTTCGTTTTGATTTATCATGATAAATGGTAATCTTAGGTAGACAGAGCTTGTCCTGCAAACTTACACAGTTGCTTAAGCCTGTCTGAACTGTTGGATTTTTATTCACAGGTCTGGCTTCACTTCCTATAAAAGCCCCCCAATCTCCTAAGAGTATTCTCTTTGGAGAAGTTTTGGATGGATTTAGCTTGGGGAGAATGGACTTTCCCCAGACGAGAAGAAAACAACTGACCTTTGATGAGCCTGTCCCTCAGGTAGAATCGCCACGCTTCTATTTTTCTCAATACTTGTCTGTTTTTTTTAAATTTATTCATCAAATGTATATAGCCACCTATCTCACCTAAAGCAATTCTGGGTAGTGGCCAACCCTGTTTTTTCCAGCTTCTTTGCTGTTTTTAAAAGCTTGTGGATCTAGACTCCAGTTTAACAATTTACAAGGCGTCTGCTTGGCAATTGTACACATAAAAACGACCTCAGCCTACTGATAGGTAATATATTCTTCAGCAGGTGTTTATTCAAAATGTATTAGAATTCAATGATAATTGAATTGATAATGCAATTTTTAAAGAGGGTGGTTAGATGAGCTCCAACTATTTTCCAAAGCAAGCATTACATACCGCAATTCTGCTAAGCCCTTCGTTTTCACATTTTTTTTGAACACGCCAATCCTTGTACTTAAAAAGCGCCCAGCTTATTCTGTTCTTTTCTCTGTGTTCCCCAAAAGCAGTGATCTTTTTCCACGCTTCCTTCACAGGCACCAGGGAAGAATTATTTTCAATTTTCCCAGGAGCTCTTAAACCCCAAGGGCTGCACGCTGAGAAGATCTCCTCGGATTCAAGAAAAGGCACAGCAGGCTCCCCAGAAAACGCCAGCCCTTAAAAACTCGGTGGCCAAATGTTTGGGAAATCTTTTCTCCCCCCCAAGACAGAAAGCCGAATCCTCACCTGCTTCCATTGAAAATCAGGAATCCCGTCCGGCCTGGATTCCAGAGGAGAAAGACGGACGTCCTTCCTCACCTAAAGCAGCAGATCCTCAAAATCCAGAGAAGCCACCACTGTCTGACCTGCTGGATGATGTGTTCGCTTTGCCTGCAGATGGTCCCGATTCACCCATCGTTCTGTCGTCCCCTTCATCCCCATTCACTCTTTGGGCGGAGCCGTGCTCAGAACTGCAATCCCCAAGGCCTCCCTCGAGAATTGGCCCCCAAATAACGCCTAATAACGCTTTGGCCGAGAACCGGGATTTTGAGAGAAGAAGGCATACGTGTCCTGAGCCGATCTCATCTGTGGACTTTCCCTCTCTGTTGCCAGAAGCGTCATCCGCCACCTTCAAGGAGACGCTTCCAGAACTGGGCTTGTCGCCAAATATTAGGATTCCTTCTGAGGTCCGTCCTGCTTTCCAATCTGATGGCCTCTCTCCACCCCTTAACGGGTCTGCAAAAGCGATGAGCCCTTGCACGCTCTCTCCAACTAGGGAAAAGCAGGGAAGGAAATCTTGCAGTCCCCAAGAAACTCAGGGTGTCCGAGAGAGCTCCCCAATAAAAGCCCCCAGCTCCCCTCCTTCCTTGCCCGGAGAGGAACATCCCTCTACGGACAGCAAAAGTCTTGTTGCTGAAACCAGCCCATTTAGTAAACCTGGGAACACAGAGGACACCTCTTTGGATCAGAGACCTGAACCAATAACTAAAATGATAAGCCCAAGTCGTAAGAGGAAGGATTTAGAGAGATGCCCATCGCCTGCCTTCTCTTCCAATAATCCCCTATGCTTCTCACACGCTGTAGTTCTGTGCCAAAAACTGGCTGTCTCCCCCCTTCTCCACAAGCCTCTTTCAGACAGCTCTCCCGTAGACCAAGGCCCCAAGAGGCCCCCAAGTGGCATTGCTTCAGCAGAGGAAGCTGCAGATCCACAGCCTGCGCTCCTCTCAAGCCCCACCAGGCACGATCGGGCCTCCTCCCCGCTTGCAATCTCAAAGTCAGGCTCTTGCGCTTATGCGTTGCGTTGCACCGCCGACAGGCGGCAGCGGAAAGCTGCAGCCCGGCTTGAGAAGGAGGAAAAGATGGCTACGTCCCAAACTCCCGGGGCAACGGCTGCTCCACTGACCTATGAGGTGGAGCTTGAAATGCAAGCTTCCGGTCTGCCCAAGCTCCGCATCAGAAAGGTGGCATCCGAGGCTGTGCAGCTGCAGCTGCCTCCTGTTTCGTGTGACACACTCAAGGGAGAGGAAAACGATCACGCGGCGGGGGATGTTTCGGTGGCCTGGTGTAGCAGGCACCCAGAGAAATTGGAACCGCTGTCCATCTCGCCGTCCTGTGTCCGCTCTGCCCACAATACCCCTGGGAAGTTTGGGATTGCTGGGCAGACTTACATATGCCACTCCTATTCACCCACGCTCTGCACCTCGTCTACGGCTTCCCCGTCCCAGGGCAGCACCGGTGTCGCTTGGACCCCGTCTCCAAAACGTAACGGGAAGGTGACCCCCGAGGCCATCAAAGACTGGCCACGGAGGAAAAGGGCCGCGGTCAGCTGCAACCGAAGCGAAAGGCCAGCAGAAGCGGTTGGAGAAGAGCCAGCCCCACATCCTGGGGGCAAGGAAGCATTAGAACTCTGCAGTCACAGGAAGGCTCAGCCCTTGGGAGACCCGGAACTTGAAGGAATAGATAAGTTTCTAGATCAGTCACTTGGCAGCGATACAGAAGGCAACAAGGAGGAGAACCTCTTCAGAAACGCTCTGGGGCTAGAGTCTAGGAAAAGGGCTCTGGAGCCAAGATCACTGGGTGAGGAGGCTAGTCAGGAAATGAAAAGGCCGTGCCTAATAAAAGAGAACCCCAGAGTCGCCGTCTGCTCAACTGAACCGCTGAGCATGGGAGAACAGACAGTCTCCTCAAAGTCAACAATCCTGGAGGACATCTTCAGCTTCTCAGGTACTTTTGGACTGATGGTTCCTACTGTTGTCCTGTCAAGACAGCTATTAAATAAGTCCCATCTGCCAGACCTTTTCATACAGTTCTAGCAAGAATACAAACCTTAGTTGCAGGAATCCAAATTAAAGCATTCTCTCGGTCCTGGTTTCATTTCTTCTGTGGTTTCTCAATGTCACGAGAAAGGCACCGAGGCTGGACCTCATAGTTCCCTACGTCCGGTTAGATCCCACAGGCTGGGCCTCCTTCAGGCCCCGTCGGCCAAGCAGTGCCATTTGGCGGGGCCGCGGAGGAGGGCCTTCTCTGTGATGGCGCCCACGCTTTGGAATCAGCTCCCCCCCGGAGATTAGGACCGCTCCCACCCGGTTGGTCTTCCGTAAGCTACTTAAGACCTGGCTTTTCCGGCAGGCCTGGGGTTTATAACACCTTACCCCTGGATGATTGTTTTTGTATTGTTGTTTTGTTATGTTTTATGTGTTTTTTATTGTTAGCCGCCCAGAGTCCTTCGGGAGTGGGGCGGCTTATAAATTTTAAAAATAAATAAATAAATAAAATCTTGATCTTTAATTATAATGAGCCTACCAGGATAAACCTAGGCAGAGCTATTGGAAGTCTTGCTTTATTTTCTACTTAACGGCCAGTGAACTCCACGAAAGCCACTTTATCTCTTGTAAAGAGCTCTTTAAAGTTTTCCTCCAGTGCTAGATGCAATTTTTTCCCCCCAATTATGCTTAAACCTCCTGTTTTCCCAACTCCAGATACGACTCCACCTAAATCTTCAGGAAAAGGTGTCATCTCTGCAAGTGGCCTTTGGGCACTGGAACAGTCCCCACTTCTCTATAAAGGCCCTCCTACATCCCAGAGGAAGCGCCCAGACGGTAATGCAGATTCGCCTTTCAAAGCATTGGTGTAATGAGTAACGACATTTCAACGGAGCTGAATTTCTTGCATAGAGTATTGTGAGGGTACAAATTCCCGGTGTCCTCCAAAATTAACCTGAGTCTTGAGGTCTGTGGAGATTCTCAGCCATCCAGGTCCTGGTTGTCCCAAAGGAGCTTTTTCAAGAGACCACTGGACTTTCTTTGTTTTTCCTTGAAGATGTTTCACTTCTCATGCAAGAAGCTTCGTCAGCTCTGACTGGAGGGTGGGGAATGGAAGGGTTTCTATTCCTTGCAGACAGCTGGTCATTTGCATTCTTTTAGAGAGGTGTTGAGGCCACTTGGAGGTTTATCTGTGTCCTCAAGGTCACCTGAGTGGTGCAAATGGGTGTGGAGCCTTCTTGGAACTGTGGTAGACTGGAGATAGATCTATCCATAGACTATGAGGAATATAAACTCTTCCATTCCCCACCCTCCAGTCAGAGCTGAAGAAGCTTCTTCAGATGAGAGATGAAACGTCTTCAAAGAGAAACAAGAAAGTCCAGTTGCCTCCTGAAAAAAAAAATCATCTTTGGGGCAATTATGGCCTGGATGACGGAGCGTCTCCTTAGACCTTCCTCTTGAAAAAACATCTTTGGGATAACCTGAGGCTTTTTTTGAGCCAAGAAAGAGTTTTTCAAGACCAGTAAAAGCGCCTGCTCTTAACTGAGTGTGGTTTCAAAAACATGAGAAAAGAAAACGATAGGAAGGAAGGAAGGAAGGAAGGAAGGAAGGAAGAAAGAAAGAAAGAAAGAAAGAAAGAAAGAAAGAAAGAAAGAAAGAAAGAAAGAGAAAGAAAGAAAGAAAGAGAAAGAAAGAAAGAAAGAAAAGAAAGAAAGAAAGAAAGAAAGAAAGAAAGAAAGAAAGAAAGAAAGAAAGAAAAGCAAATTCAATCCCTGGCTGTTGGTTGCAGTAGCCTTGGAGAACATATCTAGAGTGCGTGAAGCCAAGTTGTAGCTAGGCTTGATTTCCCGAGCAGCGATTGTAGTTGAAACTGTGGCCTGTTTGAGGTTAACTTCCCTCAATCCTGCTTTGGAATGGTAACCAGTTTGAAGCAAAGGCTTTGCAAATCATGGTCATATGACCAGGGAACACTTCCAACAGCCATAAATGCAGGCTGGTTGCTGAGTGTCCAAAATGCGGTCACCTCACCTGGGGGGGGGGGAGATATTGTCAGAACTTCAGAACAAGATCGTAGGTCCATTTTGAGGGGGTCCGTCATGACTTCAGAAGGGTGCTAAAGTTGACTCCGTATTGCAGTGGTTCCCAACCTGTGGGTCGGGACCCCATTTGGGGTCGAACGACCATTTCACGGGGGTCGCCAAACAACGCAGTCCGCCACTTTTTCCCCCCTTTTCCTTAGCTGTGCTCCTCCCTTTTATTCTATTGGCTTTTGAAAGCCAATAGAATAGACTCTCTTGAATAGAGCCTAATTCTATTGGCTTTCAAAAGCCAACAGGAATTGTCCAGGCTGTCTCTGCCCTGCTGAGCCCGCCAAAAGTCCCCTTCTGCAAACGGTGCTGCACCAGTGGAGTAGTCCTCAACTTACGACCGGTTGAGTAGTCCTCGACTTACAACCGGTTGGGGGTCACGGCATTAAAAAGGTTGAGAACCACTGCTGTATTGCCAAATTAGAATAGGTAGAGGGGCAAGAACCTTGAATCCTTATCCTCCTCTGCTACAACTTCCCACTCTGCTAGACGACAGCAAGCTATTTTCATCTTTCTTTTGAGAAAGACATTCCCCTTAAGGAAACTGGAAAGCCCTACTCGTCCTTCAAGCAAGAAGTAAGCTTCCCCACCTCTGTTCTTCACGGCGTTCCACTGGGATTTCTAACCCATGTTTCCTCCTACAGCAGAAGACTCGGAGACGTTTGCAGCTGCCTACGAGGATGTCTCTCTTTTCCGCACCAGGCCAGGCAGAAAGAGATCCATTACCAGGACCTACTCACGGAAAAGGCCGCTCTGCTGAATCGGGATGGCCGGTGGGAATATGCTGGAGCCAGACATTCAACCTCTCTGAGACAGCTTTGCAATCCAAAACCAGGATTCAGCCACCAAAAGGCATTGCTGGGTGTGGCTGACAGTTCCAAGAACATCAGAAAGGGACTCTGTGTTTCTTGGCACTTCTGCTGAATTCCAAAAACTGGGTTGGACTTTAACTCCCATAATCCCCCCAGCCAGCATGACTGGCTGGGGAATTCTGGGAGCTGGAAGTCCACACGTTTTAAAATGGCCGAAGTTGGTGACCCCTGCTGGTACTGTATATAGGTTTTTAAAGTAAGGGCTGTGCCACCGTATGGCCTTTCCAAGGTTTTCAGCGGAAATATCCAGAATGGAGAACAGTGAAAGCAACCACTTTTAAATTGTTCGTTTGTAAAATAAATTAATTTTTTTTTTGACTGATTTTTCAAACGGTCGTTAAAAGTTTTAGCACATCTTAGATTCATCTTAAGTATTCCAAGGCTCTAGATTTGTCTCCACTGCTCTCTTGAAGTCCTAACCCTGAACCTGTTGACTATACCTGGAGGGAAAGAAAAATCAAATACCGTTTTTTTATGATCAAACCTTCTCAAGGGCAAACTGCAGACAAACTTACAAATAGCTGTTCTAGTTTATTGAGAGTACAGTCCAAGAAGCTACTTAAAGTATGTATACATATTTGCAAACAGATAAAATTTACTGTCCCTTTGTTTGGATGGTATTCATTACAGGAAATCCAGGTTTGCAAAGAAAAGTGTCTCCAAAGAATGGAAACAACCAGTTTCACTGTAAAAGGCCACTATACAAAAGTAACAAAAGGCAGGGAAGCCCAGGTAAAAGATCTCTGAAGATGTCAACATTTGACTGGGTTCATTCATTACACTAAAGCAGAATGTGATTTATATAATCTGGAGATCGTAAATGCTGGGAGAGATCTTCCCAAGGCCAAAATCCACCAGTACAGTATTTCTGATAAATACTTATCTAGTCTCTGTTTAGAGATCTCCAGCGAAGGAATCCACCAACATTTGAGGCAGTCTTTTCCATTATTTGGACATTTTCTATCATTAGGAAAGTGTAAAATCTCTATGGCAGACATGTCCAATCTTGGCAACTTTTAAGATTTGTGGACGTCAACTCCTACAGCTGGCTGGGTAATTCTGGGAGTTGAAGTCCACAAGTCTTAAATTTGCCAAGGTTGAGCACCCCTGATCTATGTCCTATCTTCTGGAGCAACTCTTCTCCATGCAGCCATGATGCATCCTTTTGTTAACTCAAGCTATTATTTCTTCAGAAGACCCTGATTTTGCATAATGGAGGGGCCCACCTCCTGTCTTTTTGGCGATTTATGAGCAGAAGGCTCTTATTAGCTTATTTTAGATGGAACAGTCAACATCTCAGAACTAGAGTGGATTTTTTCTGACATCAATGATTTCTGGATAAGACAATCCAGGAATAACGTTCTGGTTGGCCCGGTGCAATTCCTTCCGGGATCTGGGCAGCAAAGGAATCTCCTTGGCTTGGTTAGACCTTACGAGATAATCTGTCTCCATTTGACGAAAATCTTCCACTATCAAGTTATTGGCACTAGACATTGAGCAGCGCCTCCACGTGGACGGTAACGGTGTATGCACCAAGTCCCGGGCTTCCTCTTTTTGATTCCTTTCTGAGGGCTCCACCTGCAAGGATGGTTCCAGCTGGCTATTTTTGGTAAAATCTTCATAGGTGCTGAGTGAATGGGGTCTATCCCCAACCGCAAGGATGCTTCTTTCCATACCTGTAGGAGAAAAGAATCTTTTAGTGAAAGTGATGGAACGACATGGTTAATATAATAGCTGTTTGGGATTGGGTTTCACAAAGCCAACTGCTTTGCATACAGCAAAGCCCTTTTTAATATACTTGAATGATGTTCCTAGTAGGTACTGTATATAATATAAATTACGCAGCCAGCAGATAATGGTCAAATAAGCCAGGCAATGGTAGCAAGGGACAACAGGATCCATGAACTCAAGACATGTCCAAAAGTGCTTTTTCAGGAGGCAACTGGACTTTCTTGTTTTCCTTTGAAGATGTTTTGCTTCTCACCCAAGAAGCTTCTTCAGCTCTTGATGGTGGGGAATGGAAGGGTTTATATTCCTTGCAGACAGCTGGTCATTTGCATTCTTTCTGAGAGTCGTTGAAGCCGTTTGGAAGCTTACCTGTGTCCTCAGGGTCACTTGAGTAGTGTCAATGGGTGTGGAACCTTCTCGGCTGCAGGATGTTCCCCACCATCCAGTCAGAGCTGAAGAAGCTGCTTGGATGAGAAGCGAAACATCTTCAAAGAAAAACAAAGTCCAATTGCCTCCTGAAAAAGCACCTTTGGGACAACCATGACCTGGATGACTGAGGATCTCCATAGTACTCAGACATGATATCCCATAGTGCCAGGAGCTCTCTACGCCAGAGGTCCCCAACCTTTTGGGCATCAGGGACCGGTTCCATGGAGAGGTTTTTCCGCGGACCGGAGGGGGCGTGATTTTGTGTGCTGCCTGCATTTGTGCGGACCGGTACTGGTCGACCAACTGGGAGTTGGGAACCCCTGCTGTACACAGTGCAACCTGCATTTTTTAGCTCCTGGTGCTTCTGGGACAGTATTGCCAAACACGGTGCCTTGGCTCCTTTGCCAAGACATCTGTAGAGATCCTAAGTCCAGATGCATCCAGTTCCCATTTGGGAACATGACGAGATGAACTAATTCTACTTTATTGTAAGTCTGCGTTAACCAAACCTTGCAAGTCCAAAAGCACAAAACTTCCCATCTCCACTTTTAACTACTTGATTTTTTCCTAAGTTTCTTTCTCTGACTGTTAAAACCACTGCAGACTCCTGTATCTTGTCTGACGGTTTCCTAGTCCAGTGATGACGAACCTTTTAGAGACTGAGTGCCCAAACTGCAACCCAAAACCCACTTATGCATCGTTGGGTGCCAGGTGGGTGTGGCCCATTGGGTGGGCATGGCTGTGGTGGTAACGGCAGACTGGGTGGGACTAAAAAATTCAATCAATTCCAACTTTGCAAGATCTTTTTTTTTTCCCCATGAGAAGTTGAAATTGACTGATTGATTGAACCTTTTTTTTTTTTTGCACACAGCGGCGGAGGCCTAAAGCGAAAAGGTTTTATAAAACCCAGCTGAAGGCCTAGGATTGGGGCGACGGCACGCGTGCCCTCTGAGTGCCTCCTCTGGCACCCGTGCCATAGGTTCGTCACCACTGCCCTAGGCAATATCTCATCCTCTCTTTCCCCTGGTTCATTCATTTATTCCATTTCATCAATTTATCTTCCTGCCCCACTTCCTGTCCTCTCTTATCTGAACATTTCCTCCTTTTCTCAAGACCATTTCCTCAGTCCTCTACCAACCAGCAGAAAAGCAAAGTCTGATTCACCACACCAGAAACCTAAATCTCACCTCCGCTGTGTCCCTCTGACTGCTTTAACTTTTGGTTTAATTCCTCGTTTTGCCACTTGTAATGAGCCAATTTCTTTTCCAGCGTCTGGATCTTTTGCTCATACTGAAGCCTGTTGTTTCCCTGTCCTTCTATATGCTCTGCAAAAGAAGGAAATAAAGTCTGTTAAAAATGCAGAGATTTGGACAAACAAGGATTACAACAGAGAGAACACTTTTCTTTAAAAAAAATCACAGAATTAAAAAGATCAGAAGCTGATGGAAAACAACACAAGGAAACTTTCAAAGAATGTGCATCTGAATACATATTATCTTAAGGATAAACCTACTCTTCTATGTGCAATATAATGTAAGAACAGCTAATAAATAATCAGCTGATTCTTGTGTCACAGCATAGGGTAGCCCCTTAGCTGATCTGACAGATCTTTAAAAAGTTCAGCAGGATTGGAGCTGGTACATAGGATGGGGGAGCACAAGGAAATCTAGAGCTACCAATCTGATTCAGAAATTGGAAAAAGCACTCCAGAAAACAGCAATGACAGCCCCTCCTTTAGTGTTGGTCAGAGGTCTATATGATTGGGTCCATATGGTCCCCTGAAGTCCAGTTTCAGTAGAAGTTTGACTTTACTTTTCATTGTAAGGTTCTTCAAAGATCTCTGCTGTTTTTCAGCCAAATACATCTTTACAGATTCAATGGAAGAGGCAATTTCAGTTTTCCAAATCTGGTAGGAGAGAAGAATGGGATCCATTTTTTATGTGGCCCTCAGTTTATATGCCTTGGGAAATATGGATGATAAATCAATAAAAAAGGTTCATTACAAATGAGTATGAAGCAAATTCCCCAATTTCTTCAAGACCTCTCAAACAAGACGGAATATTAATTTGGGCACGGCCACCACAGATGTCTCCATCTTTCTTGCAATTCTACCTGAACAACTAGAACAGTTATAAATTTACACAGTGTGTGTTTTTAGGAACGGCAGTGCCATCAGTGATCAGATGAGGATTTAACAGAGACCACGATTCCTCCTCAGTCCTATTTATTACCCCGACTCTGCTGGAGCAGAAGCTGAATGTCCTGCTCATGTTCCTTCTGTTGCAAGGTCAGCTGACGGTCCATCTCCAAGCGTTGACGCTCCAGGGCCACCTCCAACCAAAACACCAGCTGGACCTGCTCTTCCAGCTGCATTTCCAGTTCAGAAAACGCCACACTCTGCTTGTGCTGGTCCTCTCGCAAGGTCACCACCTGATCATTACAGGAATGTTTCAACTGGCTGTGGTTATTTAAAAAAGGTAACAGGCAGTTCCACGAAGCCGAATTCTATAATAGTTATCCCAGAACTGAACAGGTACATAGCAGTTTAATTAGCTAAATGTTCTTCAAAACAAAGCGGATCAATTTTTCAACGAAGAAAAGTGACATGCAAGGGAGAAGTCTACAGCAGGAGTCCTCAACTCCCTGTCTGTGGACTGGCACCAGGCCCCAGTATGCCAGCAATCAGACCACACAAACAAGCAAAGCCCCATCCGTGGGATGCAGGCAGCACACAAAATCACGCACCCTCCAGTCCGTGGAAAAACCTCTCTCCACAAAACCGGTCCCTGGTGCCCAAAAGGTTGGGGACCCATAGTCTACAGTATCTCCTCTGACATGCTGGCTTTCTATGGCTGTGTGGGGGGGGGGAGTTTCACACACATTTCTGAGCCATGCATTATTGGATGCCTACCTTATCAAAGTATTTGCAAAGAAGTGCCCGGGTCTCGGCAGAAGAGAGGTAGCTGAGTTTTGCCATAAGATTCATCTCACATTGGGACAGAAGGCTGGCGGAGGACCTCACAACTCGCTGCCTGCAAGTAATGGACTCATTCTTATATTCTATGGCAGCATCCAGGGCTTCGATGGCTTCATCCAGCTGGAAAAGTATCCGCTCCTCCTAAAAACAGACCAAGATCCCCCCATGCCGAGAAATTATTTGATCCTCATGAGTGGTAAACAGTCAGCTGACTAGAATTCCAATCCTCGCTTTATCCACCGACCCATCTATCTACTGACCCTTCCTTCCTTCCTTCCTTCCTTCCTTCCTTCCTTCCTTCCTTCCTTCCTTCCTTCCTTCCTTCCTTCCTGTAATATAGTTACTGTTATGGCCATTGGTAGAATAAAGGGAGATCATGTTCTAAACTAGACATCTCCGAACTTGGCAACTTCCAAGATTGCGGACTTCAACTCCCAGAATTCCCTAGCCAGCATGCTGGCTGAGGAATTCTGGGAAATCCACCAGACTTACAGCTACCACGTTTGGAGGCCTCTATACTAAAGTATCACCAAGTCCCCAACTGAGCAGAATGATATTCATGGTTCAATGCAAGCTCCAAGATACCTCATTATCTTAATGATTACAATTTAAGGGTACTTGTTACCTCAACCCAACCTTTCTCATGGAATTGCTGTGGGGGGGGGGAATAAAACAAAGAGCAACCTCCATACAGAATTCAGTAGTGAAACATTTACTAACTTCCATGACGATTCAACCAAACATTGATTTTACATCTGTTTTTTGTTTTGTTTGTAATGGGATTGTTATCTGTTTTCCAAATAGAATGAGCAGACCTGCTTACCTCGGCCGATAGCAAGGTGCCCTGATTTAATTTCCCATCAATCTCCAATCGCTGCTTGAGCAACTGGTCCTTCTCCTGCCGCAAGCTATTAATTTCTTGTCGGATGTGTTGCTGGTCCTGTGCACTGCTGTGGCAAAGCTGCCCGTTCCTCTGGGTTAGCTCTTTCTCCAGGTACTCAAGACGGCTGGAGACACGAAGAATGTCATCATTCAGAGCCTGAAGCAGAGGGAGAAGGAAGAGACCTTAAGGATCATTCAGCATCCAACAGTCAGTTTTCCAGACTCCAATAACTCCTGGTAAGCAAATATTTACTGAAGAAAAGTTAGGAAGGCAAAATTAGAGAATGTCCACCGATCCCGGGAAAAGACACAGCTGCTTTAAAGAGTAGCAGAGATATAGTACTTGCACCCCTCAAGATTCTGAAGCATCTGTCTGAAGTTCACGTCCAAAGCATCGCACGATAGGACCAGTGGAATTGCCTAAATTTTCATACTGTTTCAGAGCTACTGTAGCTACCCCACCCTTAACAGAGCTTAAAGCTAAGTCACTGTAGCAGAGGAGTGAGAATTTATACATTATGTATAAATAATTCTTCATTCGCTCAGCATCTTACACAAGTTGTCCGTATTTCATTTAATCTACTTTCTTGACCAACGTTGACTGCTATAATATACTCAGGAACCAAAGGGACATTTTGCCCACCTGGCTAGATCGGAATCTCTTGTTTTCCAGGTCATTCTTCTCCTGAAGGAGAGCTTCTTTCTTGGCAACAATAGCTTCTCTCTTGGTCAATTCATCTTCCAGTTCACCCAGGGCGCGCCGCTGGTTGAGGATTTTTTCCATCTCTATATCCAACCACTTCTTCTGTTCTTCAATTTTCTGGTAGATAAACAGGAGAAAAAGAGAGCAGGTTGTCCACTGGGATCAGATATGCTAGACCAGGGGTCTTCAAACTTAGCCCTTTTATGACTTGTGGACTTCAACTCCCAGAATTCCTCAGCCAGGGTGCCTGGCTGAGGAATTCTGGGAGTTGAAGTCCACAAGTCATAAAAGGGTCAAGTTTGAAGACTCCTGTGCTAGACAAGGTGCACGTTTTTATTGTCAATTCCCCTCAAAAGATTCCTACTCTAAAAATCCCTCTTTGGACCAGACCAAATATATTCTCTTCTGACCTTGGGGTTCATGGATCACCTCTTCCAATTAACTCAGAGAGCAGAATATTTTTGTGATGCTATTTTTATTTATTTTTTACTTATTTAATCTGTACCCCACCTTTATTATTCTTACAAATAACTCAAGGTGGTGAACATATCCAAAACACCTTTCTCCTATTTTCCCCACAACAAGCACCTTGTCAGCTGGCTTGAGCTGAAAGACAGACTGGCCCAAAGTCACCCAGCTGACTTTCATGCCTAGTCAGGACTAGAACTCACCATCTCCTGGTGATTGGCCCAAAGTCACCCAGCCAGCTTTCATGCCTAAGGCAGGACTAGAACTCACCATCTCCTATAATTGGCCCAAAGTCACCTAGCCAGCTTTCATGCATAAAGCAGGACTACAACTCACACTCTCCTGGTGATTGACCCAAAGTCACTCAGCTGGCTTTCATAGCATCAACGTCACTGTGCAAATGACATTGTTGTATTATTTGGGTCATGATGTCCATGTTGTCCTTTGTCCCATGTGTGGACCACGTGCAGTGTCCTGCCAAGAAGCCCATACGCAGCTGCTTTTACCTGCTGCTGTTCTAGACTGATCATGGAATCATTGCTGCCGCTCCTGTGCTTCCGCTGGTAGGCAGCTACTTCCTCAGTTTTGATCCTCAGAATCTTCTGATGCTGCTCGTGCTTCAGCTCCAACTCCTAAAGATGGAAAGAAAAAAAATTATGCCATTTAGCTACTGTTTGTTTGTGTATTTATTTAAAACAAAGGAGAACAGCCCAGATCTTCTGGACAGCATATGGCTTCTGAACCTGCCTTGGACTCCAATAAAATTAATTAGATTCAAACACGATAGATAAGCTCTGCCTATCACCAGTTTTTCTCACTTGGATGCTGGAGCCCAGTCTCAAGGTTTCGACTGACGAGCCCAACTAAGCAAGCATCGTCAAGACAATCCAATCTCTTAATGCAAAACTTTATTGAGTACACCATTTCGGCAGAGATGAAAGCAAACCCAACTCTGGTTATTTCCCACGCAAACCACTATAATTAAAGCCTAGAATTCTCCCTCCCCCTATTAGTGCAGGTCACATGGGTCCAATCGAGTGTCAAAATATTGTTATGAGAAAGTGTCTCTGTGGGTTTGCAAACACCTGCTGAAATGTCCTTGGTTCACGGGGGCTGACTTCTTGTGGTCTGGAATCTGTGTTCCATTTCTCCCTCTCCTCCCTCCCTACTGCGTTGGCAAGCTGAGAAGCAATCATGGTGGCAACATCATAACTCGCTTCAAGCTTGACACCCAGCTATCTCTACCTTGACCCGATGTTGCCTCTTCTGCATCTCCGTTTCCAAGCGTCGCTTCTGCTCCACTTCTTGCCGCAAGCGCTTCTGAAGCTGCCCTTGCTGCTGCCGCATCAGCTGCACGTTCCTCTCTAATTCCAGCAAGCGTTTCTCATTTTGAGCAGAGAAGGAGGCCAGTCTCTCTGTCACTCGTTTCTTCTCCTGCAGGATCTGTGCCAAGAGAAACAAGACAGGGAGGGTAGCAGATGCCGGGACCGGACATTCAGTTCCTAAAATGGTCGGGACGACGGAACTGTGTCCTGATAAGGGTAGTCCTCAACTTACCATCACAATTGACCCCAACATTTATGTTGCTAAGTGAGACATTTGTCAAGTGAGTTTTGCCCCATTTTACAAACCTCCTCGCCACAGTTGTTACGTGAATGATTACAGTTGTTACGTTAATAACAGGGTTGTTAAGTGCGTCCGGCTTCTCCCATTGTCGCAAAAGGGGATCACGTGACCCCATGATACTGCAACCATCATAAATACGAGTCAGTTGCCAAGCATTTGAATTTTGTTCACGTGACCATGGGGATGCTGCAGTGGTTGTGTGAAAAATGGTCATAAGCCTCTTCTTGTAGTGCTGATGTAACTTTGAATGGTCCCTAAATGAACTGTTGATAAATCAAGGACTATCTGTACTTGGCTGCTCTCCCTTCTAAAGTTTGAGCTACTTCTCCAGACGTTCCCAGCATGAAGCAACAGCTACAGTGCCAGGTTTACATGTGACGCTTAAATTTAAAAATTCAAAGGATTCAGTCTGGGCCAAAAGACAAGCCCGTTTCACTCTGGGCTCACGTTAAACTCTTTACAAGTCACAATGGCTGGGTATCAGTAAAATGCTAGAGTTATTTAAACTTTTTTTTTTTTTTTTTGCATTTATAAACAGTTGGCTTCACACACATTATCCTACCCCATGAAACCAGTTTACAGTGGCGGTAGGGATTTGCTAAACTATCTAAACCAGGGGTAGGCAACCTTGGCTCTTTGATGACTTGTGGACTTCAACTCCCAGAATTCCTGAGCCAGCCACGCTGAGGGGAAAGGGAGAGGTTTCCAAGCTGAGCCATGCCGGCTCAGGAATTCTGGGAATTGAAGTCCACGAGTCATAAAAGAGCCAAGGTTGCCTATCCCTGATCTCAACCAAGCGTCTGCAACCTTGAGAACTTTAAGACTTGGGGACTTCAGCTCCCAAAATTCTTCAGCCAGCTGAAGTCCACAAGTCTTAAAGTTGTCAAGGTTGCAGACCCCTGATCTAAACCATTTTGGCTCCAGGCTTCATTTGAACCCTCTTCTTTTCTAGGCTACCTTTGCCTTGCTCTGAGCAGCTTCCACTTTGCTGCGATATTCCTGGAGTTTCCACTTTTCAGCAGGATCACGCGGTTCTTTGCTTTGCAGCTCTTGCAACTGCCTCTGGCCGTCGTTCAGTTCCACCCGTACCTCCTCGGCTTCCTCCTCCAGATGTTGGATCTTCTGCTGGTACTGCTTGTTCATGGCCTGAGCATGCTTGCCTGAAACAGACGGACTTCTGTGACATGGAAGAAGGTCAGCCCAGGAAGTGGCCTTCTGAACAGAAAAATGAGACCTCAAATGAACTAGAAAGAAGAGGAAGAATTGTGCAGAAGGATACAGCAGTCAAAGAGGAACAGAAGCAAAGTCTGATGACCCGAGAGAAAGCTCTGCTAGTCCTTTCCACAAGCAGTGAAGAAGAGAAACAGATGACCTGGGGAGGTAGGATTGTAGTAGCGGGCATAAGGAGTGGCCCTGAAGGACAAGAGGTAGAGGATCAAGCATGAGCTGAGTTCATTAAAAAAAAAAAAACTAATTTAAGTAAACGTCTTGGGCAAGTCCCTCTGTAATTCACAGAACGGTGAAGCAAGGAAGAAGAGAAGGACATTCAGACTTGCAAGGAAGATTATGCTGCTATCGCTTTTCCAAAAACTACTTTTTAGACCAATCTAGTATTGCAAGGGTCCCCAACCTCCAATCCGTGGACCAGTCAGTAACCGGTCCACACAAACAAGCAAATCTCCATCCACAAGATGCAGGCAGCACACAAAACCACGCACCCTCCGGTCCATGGAAAAACCTCTCTCCATGGAACCAGTCCCTGGTGCCCAAAAGGTTGGGGACCTCTGTAGTATAGGTTTCTCAGTTTCCTCTCCCCCCTAGACTGACAGTTATCAAGGAAAGAAACCATGCAGGGAGAGCAGAATCCTGAATGTTGCTCAACAGGAACCTTGCTTGAAAAATATTGCTTCTCAGGCTTATGAGAATTAATTTCATACCACAAATGTGACCCAATCGAAAAAGGGTCTCTACGGAGATAACATGGTGTCTATTTCAATCAATACGCCTATCCTGGCCCTCTTTTTCTCATTCTATTTTTATTTTAGATTTTTTAAAAAACATATGAGTGGGTTGAAAAAAAAATCTGAGAAAGCTGGCTTGCAGCACCATCCATTTTTCCACTAGTTATCAGCATTCTTTGCAAAGAAAATATAACTCTAATGAGTAGCCGCAACCAATGCTTTCTTGAGACGCATGCATATATCAAGAAAAAAAAAGGTAACCATAATAAAGTACATACTAGGGACCAAAGGGGACAAGAGGTGGAAGTGGACTAACGGGAAGCAATAAAATTTGTGATTTGCTATGCCCACCTTCTCAGTCATTTGGTGAACAGAGAAATCCCCGCAGTTATTTTACAATGGCTCTCCAAATTCTAAATGTGCCCACAGATCTAAAACACCTCTTGAGAGATGTATCTGCACACCTTCTACATCCTCTTCCCAGCCAGTCCAGCTCTATCCTCAACACCAGGGCTCTTCAAACTTGGCCCTTTTATGACTTGTGGACTTCAACTCCCAGAATTCCTCAGCCAGGCATAAAAGGGCCAAGTTTGAAGAGCCCTGCTCAACACACAGCTCTGTACCTGTCTTAATGAGCTCTACTATCAGGTCTTCTTTCATACGAATGTTGATGGCCAATTCACGGATCTTTTGGTGGGCCTGAAGCAGCTGCCATTCTGAATCCTTGCCTGGAAAGCTCCCTGCTGGACTGCCCAGCTCCTGTTGCCTACCATCTGGAACAGAAAATACGAGTGAGAGGTGTTTGGGACAAATTTTCTCACAATAAGGGATGGGAGCAATGGCACAAAGACAATGGAGTTGAGGTCCATTCATTTTAAAGCTGCCAAGGTTGAGAAGCACCATGACAGAGTGTTAAGGAAAGACTGATCAAAAGCATGAAAATATGGAGTACCTTTAGACAGTTCCAAAGATTTATCCTGAGCTGCCTCTGGGGATTTTGAGTTGTATTTTTTATTCTTTTTGGTTGAAAGCTCCTCTTTGCTCCAGCTGTGGGTTTTGTTCCTATAAGAAGACCAAGTTGTTGGGTTTAATAAAAACCCAGGATACCAATAAAGCAGACAAAAGAAAGAACAAAATTGAAAGCCATTTGAGAACTGTCATCTTATACTTGGATAGTTCCCTGAGACAACTGAAGGTATTGTACAACAAATATGAGAGATAAAAGTCTGTAGCAAGTCTCTGTGACAGGGTTATATGTGGTGCTAAGCCATGTCATACTTAATCATAGTTTACTACATAACCCATTACTGACTAGGGTTATATACTATGCAAGCCACAATAGTCAGTTCACGCAAAAGTAAACCTAAACAAACCAGATTATGGCTTAGTGAGATATGTGAACTGAGCCAGAAAGATAAGATTCATAGGATCTCTGTCAATTCATGTTAACCTTCTAACTTAGACATGTCAAACTCATGACGTCACATGATGTTGCGCAACGTATCGGGAGAGTTTTCCCATTGCCGGCAATGGGGTGGGCGTGGCTTTCTGATGACACATCCAGCCCGTGGGCTGGCAGTTTGACACCCCTGTTCTAACTCTTAAATTAAAGTTGAGTTAGCCTACCATAAGTAACTACTCATACTCTCTTCAATGTAGCAATATCCTTTTGAATCAAGTCCAGATGTTGAGTTTCTTATCTGTACTGTTCTGTGCAGAATAGAACAGTCTGTTCTGTCAATTAAGGTTCTTCTTTCAGCTTAGTGCCGTTTGCTCAAAATATTATCTCACTTTTCTAGCTGAAAGCTATGAACTATAGAAGCGAACTTTTCAGCTTCAAAGCAATCATTGTCTTGCAGATTTCACCGTGAAGATAATTGCGGACAGGCAAATAATTCAAGTCTCTTAATCCAAGAGACTCAAGCATAGATGCAATTTACGGCTTTGATTTGGACTGTCAATAAGAAGGCAACTTGACTGAAAGTCCCATCAGATCAGATTGACTGATCAGGCTGACGAGGGGGCTGAAAACGATGTTCTTTTTTTAGAAAACCAATTCAGAAAAATCAAATCAGTATCTAGAATCAAATAGAGGATTTCAATGGAATCAACGTTTCAAACTTGAACAACCCTTTTGAATTCAATGCAGATGCTTCATAGTTTTTTTAAAAAAACACCATATTTGAAACATTGTGGATACCACCAGACCCAAAACCATCTACAAGAAGATGTAAGATGTCACTCATGACTCACCTGTATTGCTGAAGGGGCCAGACTGGCCAACATCTATTCTCATCCTCCAAAGATGAATCCAAAACTTTGTCCAGTGTTTTCATTTGCAATACAGCCTTTGTCCCAAAGCTGTACGTACCATCTCCAGCGTGACTGTGACTTTGTCCCAATGAGTCTTCTCCATTGTGAGCTGTGACCCTATGGAGCTATTTAAAGAAATATGTGCAATGAAGAAAAGGCTGCAGGATGACTCTAAGAATTTGCTTACAGCTCTAAGTTATTTGCCCCAAGAAGGTTTGAGGTGACTTATAGCTACTTTGATTGAATTTTAATGATTTATCTTCTTCCAGGGAAATAAAAAAATAACTTATTGCAACACAAATATGAGCCACTTGCTAACCAATCACATTTTTGACCAGCAAGTTGCACAAGGCTAGGTCACGTCATCACGTTATGTGTGAAGGGAACCCCCAAAATTGGATGAATTGAGAAAGCCATGCTAAGTTAAGTATATAATGGGAATACGGTTAACGTGCCTCCCAGACACCTCATTATGTTCTTGCTTTTATTTTTCACTAGTTGTACCCAGCCACGCATTGCTGTGGCTCAAGAAAGAAAAAAGAAAGCGCACGTTTGTAGTATGTTTAATTTCACAATGCTTGTGGGTATACAATATTTTTTGTTGTTCCATTGTGTGTGCAGATATAGAGATTACGTCCAACAGATGGCACTGTTTTTCAAAAAAAGCATGTTTTTACCTGTTTTTCAAAAAAAGCATGTTTTTACCTGTCACAGGTGTGACATCTATATAATATAGGTATATAAAAACACGCGTGTATTCGAATGCAACGTTGTGTCAAAATTTCAAAGCAATCGGTGAAGAACTTTCGGAGATTTAAGTTTTGAACAAATGAACATTTACATTTTTATTTATATATAAGATTAATTCATGCAATGCCCAATAAGCTGATGCTCAAATTGTTTGCCATATTGTTAGGAAAAATGTATTAGGCATATTTTCCAGTGGAGAAAGATAGGTACCCAGGCCTGGGGCTCAGAATGTGTTAAGGACCCTGTGACTTAGCTATACTATTAGTCGATTAATCATCATGGCTGCTGTTTATATTTATTTATTTTGTGGACGTTTTTACTGTCTGCATGTTTTTACAATTACTTTGTTTTATGATTTTAGAACTGTAAGCTGCCCAGAGTCAGTCGGTTGAGTTGGACGGCTACAGAAATCGAATGAATAAATAAAGACTTTGAAGAAGGAGCTATCATCTTTTCCTCTCTCCCAAGATTATGATGTGATCTTGCACAGTAGCTTCTAAATTCCTGAAATAACCCACGATTTTGGTGTCCTTATGAGAGATTTCACAAGTGTATGCAAAAACGTTAATTCAGATGCCTATCGCAATCGCTTCTAAATGTGAGTTTATTTAACTGGATGAGGGTAGGAAGGGAGACATAGCCTGCAAGGTGCATCCAATCCAGACTTAAGAGAAAAAGTAACTCCCAAGTATAAGGTGATAAAAACAACTCACAAACCTTACTGGGATTATTACAGGCAAGCTTGAGCCAGTGGTGGGACTGGTGTGCATCCACAGGAGCTGTGTGTGGCCTTTGGTCAAGCTTCACCAAGGGGACAATCCCAAGCAGTTCAGGCATGGCCAAATGGGGCATCTTTAGGTAGTTCTGAAGTTCGGAGATGGTATCTTCCTGTTCTTGCAATTTGGCGCCCTGAAAAAAATAAATAACGCAAGACCAAATGTGACTGCTTGAAAGCGTAGCTGGTAACTTCAGGGCCATGGGCACCCCACTTCTTTATTGTTCCTATTCTGGTGTCCCCTCCTTCAGCAAAATGAGTAAAATGACTCATTGTCTTGTTTTTAAAGGGCGGTCGACCTATTCTCCAATGCACCTGAAGGCAGGAGAAGAAGCAACGGATGGAGAGCAACCTGGAACTAAGGAGAAATCAACCAGCTTGCCGTCAGAAGTTGTGGGTGCTCCAACACTGGAGGCTTTTAAGAAGGACTGGACAGCCACTTGTCTGGAATGGTATGGGGTCTTCTGCTTGAGTAGGGGGCTGGACTAGAAGTCCCTTCCAACTCTGATTTACTTTTTATTCTATTAAAGCACTAACATAACTTTGTGTATACTCCATGCATCTATCAAAAACTGTACGAAGAGGGGAAAATTGATCAAATCCCAATTGACTTCACCTTCTTTGGCGACATCACAGCACCATCTTCAGCTAGCTTCCAAGGCTATAGAAATACTTTATTTTTCCTTGACCTCCCCCCCCACCCCAATTTATAGCAGATATATCCATCTAGCAGCTTCCGGATGTGCTGGGATAAGAACTCTTCAAATTTCCCGCAAGTTTCTAAAGAAGGACTTCCCAGATTTGCAGTCCCAGCACTTTAAGGAAGGAAACTGCTTCAGAAGAATTACATGAGAGATACGGGCTTGCACCAAATGCCTGATTGCAGATCTTCTACCTGTTCCCACCGGCCTTTTGAGTGGACATCCAGAGAAACTTTGGGATTAGAAGGTAGGAAGGCAAGTACCTCAAAGGCAAGCCTGTAAGTAAGAGAATGGAGCGACTGACCCAAATTCCAAAGATGGATGATCTCCTCACCTCAAATGCAGCTGAAGGAAGATAAGCTCTCAAGGAGCCCAAAAGTGGAAAAAAAGAATACAGCTGCAAAGATGAATGACTCCTTGATCAGCAAGATGGCCGGCCAAAGGAGGAGAAGCTTGCCAACCTATCAAGGAGATACCTGGGCTTTGTACTGCTCCATAGCATCCTCAAGGGCTGCCAAGAAATCCTGGTTCTCTTTCTCTAAGCGCTCTACTTGCTCTTCCAGCCTCACCACCTCCTCCCTTCTCATCATCTCGGGTCCTCGTTGATGCTCCTCCTGGCAAAAGAAGAAGAGGACAAGGAGAGAAAAATGGGATCTTCTGCATGGGCTCTTCAGTAATTTCTTGGATCATCTCCCCATCCAGATCAGAGCCGAGCACCTTCATAACCACTTTCAGTATCTCCCCATGAGACGCTGTTGGGAAAAACAGCTCCATGTCTGGCACCCCCCAAATAATTCCCCTGGATCAAAAACAGCTGGCTGCTATGAGGAACTACAGGCCATACGTAAGTTCCCTTTGTTATCACATCAAGATTGGTCACAAAATTTAGCAGCGGCTACTTTAGGCAGCTTTCCAAGTCGTTTAACGATGGAGAAGGAGAAGGGAGGCTATTTAATTACATCCCCACCTTTAACGGTCCCCAAGAGCGAAAAAATAAAAATCCAAAATAATCCATCATGTCCCTTCCAAACACTTCACAGCGTAATAGTCTCTGGCAGCTTAAAAAAGACCCTTAAAATCTACATACCCCACCCAAATTCTAAGGACAGGAAAGATAATAGGATTAACCCACCACCACCATCAGAATACCAGAAAGGCACACTCAGACTCAGGTCAAAGTAAATGACACAGGAAATACAAAGCCTCAAACAGGAACAGGAAACAACCTGAAGAGCCCCAGAAGGTATCAAAACCCACCACTCCCTGTAGTCACTCTTTTTTCCAGAGCCGTCTTTCTGTCTGGCTCTCCTCTTCAATAAACTACAACCTTCTTTCTAAAGCAGTCTCCATGTTGTTTATTCCCGGCTTGGACTGGACCCTGATGAGGATTTTTCCTTCAACAATACTTTATTGTTGATCACCTATATGACAAGAATCTTGCCAGGGAAGTTTGCCTTCCCCTGGGAAACAGCAGATATAGACCTAACATTTGGACCTCAGATGTTGCCTCTCCTGAACCAACTCCTCTTTCCTAAATGGGCTCCCTCCCCTTCAGTTGGTGGTTCCACCACAGTACCTGAGTCTTGGCCAGCTTGGAACTGGAAGTTTTGGAGTGCAGCTCCTCAGCCGAAGTGCTTCCGATCCCGCTGTCTACGCCAGAGGTCAAGCTCAGTTCACTGGCCCCGTTTTCCACTGCACAGAGCCAGCCCTTCACTTGGAGCCCCTGTTCCTCTGTCAAATAGCCTTGCAGCTCCATCAAGAGCTGATAGGCAGCATCTGTGCAAGTCCGGTAGTGGTTGCATTCAGCTCGTAAGCGAGCCACATTTTCCTCCACATGGCCCTTGATGGGCACCTCCGATCGACGGATAATGCGAGTCTCCGAGCGGTGTCTGTGTTCCAGGGCCCTCTGAAGCTTCTTGATACGCAGCTGTAGGGCTTCTACGGGCTCTACCTCCTTGCTGCAATTCACCACAGCCCAATTTTTGATATTCTGAGCCCACCGGGCATAATTCAGAGTAGTCAGACTCTCATCAAAGTCGGAGGAGGAAGGGCTGACGCAGGCGATCATCACCGTTTTGGCGTTCCCGCCTAAAGAGCCTTTCAAGATCCTAAAAGCAGAGCAGGACTTCACCTTAGCAAGACTGAAGTAGAATGGGAGGAATCACCCATAAAGAAGAAACAATGTGGTCCCGTTTTTGTTTTGGGTCATAAATATCTCTTGGGAAGGAAAAACGTCTCAGGGGCTGTAAATGAAAATAACTGTGGCATGGAAGTTCATTTATTTATGCAGTTCTTAGCTTCAAATCAATTTTATTTCGGGAAGGAAAAAAAGCACCCATTGGCATTGTAGAATCCTGCCCTGAATTTAAAGTATGATTTGTTTACTTATTTTTGCTGCCTACGCCATAATTGTCTGGGTTCTCGTGATGTGCTAAGCCACACAGCCTAGCTTCCAAACATCAGCTTATGCGTTCTGCAAAGCCAGCCAGCAAAGCTTAGAAATCAGGGTTTTGCTTGAACCCAGGCTGTTATGATTTATCCAACGTCACTCTTATGTCCACAATGACTTAGCACACGCTGAAAACCCCGACAGACTATTTCCCAACTACTGAGCTGTATCATCTATTTCAGCTTAAAAAAGAAGTGAGGGGAGATAACAAAGGATAACAAAAGGTAACAAAATCTAATTCTAGAATTATATCCTAAGCCGAGCTGCTGAAGGAATCAGCAAAGAGACTACCTGGTGATTTTGGAATCCCGATACGGGACGTGGCTGCTTTTCCGGCGTGGGTCTCCCAGGGCACTGATGACGTTTCCCAAGGCCAAGAGGCTGGCATTGATCTGGATGCTCTCCTTCAGCCTCTCCCCGGTACATCCCAACTTCATCACCCGCTCAGAACCAGCCAGATCCACAAAGTGAAACTTGGAAGTGAGGATCTGCCCAGAGGTTGGAGCCAAAGTCTTCTCTGGGCAGGCGAAGCGAGCGAGGCGGCTGCTGCTCTGCCTTTGTGCCATGGTCACAGTGAAGATGGTATGGGAGCGACTGGACTTCCTGTTGAGGCGGGTGCTTCCCGTGTGCTTGGCTGCATTGCCCATGTCCAGCAGGCTCAGAACCTCATCCAGACCTTCCACTTCAGTTTCCTTCACCCCGTGCAGCACTGCAGTAAGAGAAGAAAGGAATAGTTAGGAAGAAGGAAGAAGAAGGAATGAGGAGGGAGGAGGGAGGAGAAGGAGAAGAAGGGGGTAGGAGGAGGAGGAGGAGGAAGAGAAGGAGGAGGAGGAGAAGAAGGAGAAGAAGGAGAAGAAAAGGAAGAAGGAGGAGGAGGAGGAGGAGGAGGAAGAAGAAGAAGAAGAAGAAGAAGAAGAAGAAGAAGAAGAAGAAGAAGAAGAAGAAGAAGAAGAAGAAGAAGAAGAAGAAGAAGAAGAAGAAGAAGAAGAAGAAGAAGAAGAAGAAGAAGAAGAAGAAGAAGAAGAAGAAGAAGAAGAAGAAGAAGAAGAAGAAGAAGAAGAAGAAGAAGAAGAAGAAGAACAACAACAACAACAACAACAATCTTTCTTGGAATTTTATATACTATCTTAGCAGCTATGATTAAAAAAAGGGGGACAATAATGAAAGGAGTGGATAATATAGTACTAATAGTAACAGGTGCCTTAGATGCCATCCCAAAACAACTGCAGAACCACTTAAACATCATTGGCATTGACAGAATTACTTTCAATCAATTACAAAAGGCAGCTTTACTTAGAACAGCTTACATCCTGTGACAATACTTTTAACACCAGCAAATTGCAACATCTGCCTATCCCAGATCCTTGGGAAGGACTCAAAAGGTAGATAAAAGTGCCAAATCCAATCTAAACATCTGGTTGACTGTGCAACCAACCATAATAATAAGAGTAACAACAACAAAAAAGAGGGCAGGTCATTAGGGAAAAAACTAGCCAAATCAAAAATCTCACTGGAAAATTGAATGCCTAGCAAGGGATAGATGTTGCCTTCAGCAACAAATGTGCTATCAAACTCGTTTTACAAAGGAGGAGAAACACATCTCCTAAGGGGTTCCTTATGGAGGAAGAGGGGAAGAGAAGAATCCTTTGGCTTATACCAGGGGTGTCAAACTGCCAGCCCACAGGCTGGATGCCTCACCAGGAAACCGCACCCACCCCATTGCCGGCAATGGAGAAAAAGCTCCGATACATCGCGCGATGTCACAAGTTTGACATGTCTGGCTTATACCTATATTGCCTCTGTCATCCTCCCATATCTGTATGTCCTTGCTGGCTGTGTCCACTTGCAACAAGTCTCGGAACTCCTCCTTGTACACTTCCAGATAAGAGACGCGGACCGTGTAGTTGAGCAGATCGTTCTCATCCATCAGCTTGAAGGCTTCAGCCATGGCTCGAGGGATTATGCCCTGCTCATCCTCACGGATGGAAGCTGGATAGGAGAAATGGGATTTGTTAGTGGCCCTGACTGCAGGGAGGATGCATCCGCTCCCCAAGGGAAATACTCTGATGCAACGGAATGGTCGTCTTCTTGGAGGCACCACTGTCACATATGCTCCCTTTCCCACTAAAGGCAGACCTCCTAACAAGGGCACGTAGGCTTGGCAGCGCTTTGAAGAAAGGCATTGCACAGCCTGGATATATAAATTAATAATAAAACAAGAGTGTTTTAAGGGTTCTTTTAAAAAAACTAGACCAAGGAAGGAAGGAAGGAAGGAAGGAAGGAAGGAAGGAAGGACGGAAGGAAGGAAGGAAGGAAGGAAGGAAGGAAGGAAGGAAGGAAGGAAGGAAGGAAGGGGAAGAAGAGGAGGGAAGGGAGGGAGAAGAGAGAGGGAGGGACGGAGAGGAAGGAAGGAAGGGAAGGGAAGGAGAAGAGAGAGGGAAGGAGAGGAAGGAAGGAAGGAAGGAAGAAGAGAGGGAGGGAGGGAGAGGAAGAAAGAAAGGAAGGAAGGGAGGGAGGGAAGGGAGGGAGAAGAGAGAGGGAGGGGGAGAAGAGAGAGGAAGGAAGAGAGGGAGGGAGGGAGAGGAAGGGAGAGAGGAAGGAAGGAAGAAGAGAGGGAGGGAGGGAGAGGAAGGAAGAAAGGAAGGAAGGGAGGGAGAAGAGAGAGGGAGGGAGAGGAAGGGAGGGAGAGAGGGAGGGAGGATACAGTACCCAATTATTCACCCAGGGTTATATAGCAACCAGAGAAATAAAAATTGGAGACATGGGGATTTCTATCTTCCACACTTTTTTTTTTTTTGCTATACGTCAAATGTAACACATTTAAAAATGGAAAGAAGTTTTCAATCCACCTCTTGACGTCCCAATTCCATCTAACAGAAATTTTGAAAATAAGACAATCTCGGAATCCTTATACTGAATAAACGCAACTCCCTTCTACCGAAGGATTCCGTCATGATCCTGTATACATTTGCTGAGCACAGACCATCTTTTAGAACGATTCTGGTTGCGGGTTGCAGTTCAGCACATCTGCACAGGTCCTGGTTGGGGAAGACTGCTCAGGCCGTCCTTGACTTACAACAGTTCGTTTAGTGACCACCATTCAAACTTACAATGGCACTGAGAAAAGCGACCTACGACTGTTTTTCTATACTGATGACCATTGCAGCATCCCCCAGGTTCAACATTCAGACGCTTGGCAACTGACTCATATTTATGACGGCTGCAGGGGGTCATGCGATCCCTTTTTCGACCTTCTGATAAGCGAAGTCCACGGAGGAAGCCAGATTAACAACCGTGTCACTAACTGAACAAGAGCAGTGAATGTGCTTAACCGCCGTGCCAAGAAAAGTCATAAAAGGAGGCCAAACGCAACTTCACAACGGCCTCCCTTAGCAACAGTGGGCTCTGTTGGGGTCGTAAGTACAGGACTACCTGCATTCATGCCTTCTAAAATAAGAGAGACTTTAAAGCAGAGGTTTCCAACCTACGGGGCACCAGGGACCGGTTCCGTGGAGAGAGGTTTTTATTTATTTATTTATGAGACTTATATACCGCTTTAAGTGCAAGCACTCTCTAAGCGGTGTACACCAGTAAGCAATGTATGTAATGTATATATATATATATATATATATATATATATATATATATATTTACATTGCCCCCAACAATCTGGGTCCTCATTTGACCTACCTCGGAAGGATGGAAGGCTGAGTCAACCTTGAGCCGGTGAGATTTGAACCGCTGACCTGCTGAACATAGTCAGCTAAAGTGGCCTGTAGTACTGCACTCTAACTGCTGCGCCACCTCAAAGGCTGCGTGGTTTTGTGTGCTGCCTGCATCCCACGATGGGCCTTTGCTTGTTTGTGCGGACCGGTTGCTGGCATGCCACAGCTCGGTACTGGTCCACAGACCGGGGGTTGGAGACCCCTGCTTTAAAGGACCTAATTCATGCAAGAAAACCAGTCGACTTACAGACACGTGCTTCTCCAATGGTATAGGTCTTCCCCGAGCCAGTCTGGCCGTAAGCAAAGACGGTGACATTAAAGCCTTCCAGGAACGCTTCCACCAGCGGCTGGACACAGGTGGCATACACAGAGACCTGGTCTGATGTTTCGGTGAAGATCGTCTCAAACTGGAAACGTTGGCTGTGGCCCAAAGTCACCTCCTTCTTCTCAGGGTCTCCCTGGAGGCAGGTCTGGTGCCCGTGTAACCTTTCCTTGGGCAACAGTGGCCGAATGCGCACGGCTACCCTGACCGGGGTCTCTTCCATCAATGGCTGGACCTTGGCTTTCAGACCCATGGTTGGCAAGGGCAGGAAGTCAGGAGAGAGACAAACCCAAAGGCGGCACCATCTTTCTGGTACAAGAAGAGGTCTGGAAGAAGGAGCTGTCTAGGCAGCTTCTTGGCTCCTCTCGTCTAGTCCCACAATATTCCCAAGATCTGGGAGGGAGACGAGCCCCAAAGAGAGGACGGGACCTACAGCATCGCCTTCCCCAAGGATGGGAACTGTAGCCAAGGCTGCTTCCAGGGCAGAAGCTGGTCTGTTGGACCCCCCTCTGCGTTCCTTCCACTCCCTCACCAGGGACAATCATCGAGTCCTCTCCACACGCTCAGAGGCACCCTGTGTCCAAAAAGGGGGAGCCGCCTCTCTCTGTCCCGACTCACCTCATGCCGCCTCCTTTCCTTGCGCATCACACCCTCCCCATCCACCCCCCAAAGTCCTGGGATAGCCGGCGCGGAGCGATGGCGTCAAGGGGCGGCTCCGGTTCCTTCCTCTCCCACATCCGAGGGAGGGCTGGGGGGGTAGCGAAGGGGGGAAGAAGAAGGAGGAAGGGGGAGAGTCTCGCCCGACCGGTCCAGAACGCGCCGCTCTTTCTGGGAAGACGATGAAGGAGCTGGTCTCTCCCGAGCCAGACTGCAGGGCGCATTTGGAACGCAGTAGGGACCGTTTGGCTTTCCAGATGTTGGCGAACTACAATTCCCAGCAGCTCCAGTGGAAAAGCATGCCGGGAGTTGTCCTGCATCAACATCTGGGGGAGAGGGCCATGGGGGGGGAGGAAGGGAGGGAGGAAGCCTCCTTCTTGGAATCCCAAAGATGCTTTTTCACGAGGCAACTGGACTTTCTTGTTCTTTTTTTTCTTTTCTTCTCCTTCTTGGAAAGGAACTCAAATCCTCTTTGAGGGCGAACGGGGGTGGTGGGGGGTAGTGGACGCAGTTTGGGCCTTTCTTGTTAACTCCGGGAGAAAAAAAAATCTCTCCGGCGATCTGGGTTTTCCTTCGGTGTGAACTTGTCTTGAGCTGCCCAGAAGCGCTTCGGAAAAAAAAAAAAAACTTCGGAAAACCCTTGCCAAGAAAATTGCAGGGACGAAAATCGGACGGGACTGAACGGAAGAAAGAAAGAAAAAAATTGACGTTTTGATTTAACTGTGAGATGTGCGCACAAGGAAGACGGAGGAACTTCTCGAGGCGCGTTTGCTTTGGAGGAGCTAAATTCTAAATTCTGTTGTTGTTTTTATTGGAAGAGCTGGAGAAACGCACAGAAACGAGGAAGGTGGATCTGTCGTTCCTCAAGTTTCAAAAAGCAAGGACAGTGGAGGAAACAGGGCTTCGTTTACATGACAAAACACGCCGGGCCTTTTTTTTCTCTCTCTCTCTCCAGCTTTGCTTAGCAAGATTCCTTCACTTAAGCCATGACCAGCTAGCTTTGGCCAATAAACCATGGACAGTGAGGGAACCTGCCCTTGTTCCTTAAAAAGGAAGAGACACATATTGAACGGAGTTGTGGCTTTTTTTCGTAAACCTTTTACAAGTTTATTTCAGAAATAAAGCGATTTTGAAACCAGAAAGTTACAGTGTAGCCCAGCGAAGTTGCGTTCTTATCCTGCTTAACTAAAACTGTGACAGGAACAGTATTGTACAACGGAAATGGGCTAATGCAATAACTAGGTTAATCGCAAAGCCATCAGAGTCTAGAAAAGGAAAACGGAAAACGACCTGTCCAATGGAGCGTTCATTGCAAAAATGGCTATTTCTTCCAGAAAAAAAGAAATGTTTTGATTTCAGGAATCAGGAATCAACGATGACTTGAAAGCGTCAAAAAATAATTAAAAAATCACTGTTACCCTATCATGGCACCGATATACCTGGGGATCTCTTTTCCTTTATTATGTCCCACTGATATTCTCTTTGTCGCATTCCTAGCCCATATGTAAGACAGCTTCAGCCATCCACATCTGTGTTGCTGAGATGTCTTTTTGACGCTTTCCAAAGACATCTTCCAAGGTATGCAACATCTGTTAGGCTTTGTCACTAATTATCTTGGAAGGACATCGGAGGGTGGCATCAGCCGCCCCTGGCAGAGCCAGACAAAGAGAGTCAATTTGACACTGGCGTAGTTTTGTGCCAACTCAAGTGCTGTTAAGTGAGACATTTGTTAATTGAGTTTTGCCCCATTTTAGGACCTTTTTGGCCCCAGTTGTTAAGTGGATTGCTGCAGCTGATAAGTTAGTAAGCCGGTTGTGAAGTGAACCCCATCAGAAGGTCTCAAGAGGGGATGCCAAGCATCTGAATTTTGATCACGTGACCACGGGGGCACTGCCAAGATTGTAACTGTTGACAAAATGGTCATAAGTCACATTTTTTTTCAGTGCCGTTGTAACTTTGAACGGTCACTAAACAAACTGTTGTAAGTCAAGGACTACCTAAACTGGCTTTCCTCGTCCCGGTAGTAGCTGTGCATTTGGTTGTGCTTACATCCACCATGAGAGGGAGCCTTGGTCTGTAGAGATCTTAAGCTTGTAGCATTCATCTACGTAAAACGAGCACCCCAAGATTACACTACTGGAAAAAAAGTGGTTGGATCTTTCGCCATTTCCCACATAAGGTGCTAAATCTCATTTAAGGCAATTGGTTTCCTTAACCAAAAAAAAAAAAAAAAGGAGGAGGAGGAGGAAAAACGATATTTATCTATCGCTACCATTCACCTGGTCTTCGGCATGTGAAAAAAAAAAGTATGATTTAGGTCAGGGGTCCCCAACTTTTTGGGCACCAGTGACCGGTTCTGTGGAGACAGGTTTTTCCATGGACCGAAGGGGACATGGTTTCGTGTGCTGCCTGCATTCTGCAAATGGGACTTTGTTTGTTTGTGCAGACCAGTTGCTGGCATGCCGTGGCCCGGTACCAGGGTTTGGGGACCGCTGATTTAGGTAGCAAAAAGGTTGTTCATCTCTAAAGTCAGGAACAATATAGCAGACTTGATTCAAGATACTGTCTGCCTGGAGCAGAATAATGGGACTGCCTTACAAGGTGCAAATAATACCAATTGGAACCAGAGGCATTGAACTTCCGCTCTTGAAGCCTAGTAGATAAATAAAATTAAATAATAATTAAAAGTAATACATTGGCCTGAGATTGCCTTTTGCAAATACTCAAGGCCAGCTCAACCTGCTTATCTTACATGAATACGTTCTATATGACTCTCATGGCGTGGCTTTTCTGCGTAGACATGTTACCCTGCATAGGTGCTTTGAACCCAGGTAACTAGCTCATCAGAGCCCCACCCTATATGAGAAGTGTGTGCAACACACCGAAAAGACTTGAGTTCATACAGATACAGAAGACTCTGAGTCCCATCTGAATCCTTTAGTTCCTACAAGGTGGCTCCCCATCCATTGTTATTTTTCATTTTATCCATGGATTTGGGGTGGAATAGACTTAGCCTGCTAGATTTGTTAACTGAGTCATTGCCCCTGATACCCTGGTTTTTTATTGCTCTTAAGAATGTGTTAGTTAGTAGCTGCCAGGAAGGGAACCCCTTCAGTTCCTCTGCTTTGGTACGATCCATGCAAATAACTCCCACGATGGCAAGTGAGAAAGACTCATTCTTGTTTTGACTGAACAGGGGAAAACAGCGGAAACAGTTCCCTCAGCTGATAGTCTGGACGAAAAAGAGATCTATAAATGGTTCTCCGAATCCCCCTTCGCAGGAGTGCCAGCTTCACTCCTGACCACCAGCCTGGGGCAGAGGTCTCCACTTCTACCCCTGTGAAGATGGAAGCCAACGTGGTGGTCCTAGGAGCTGACAGTGTGGGAAAGTCAGGTAAGTTGGCGACAAAACTACTCCAGGGTGTTTGCTACGCTAGGCTGCAAAAGGCTCTCTCTGCTAAAAGAAAGAAAGAAAGAAAGAAAGAAAGAAAGAAAGAAAGAAAGAAAGAAAGAAAGAAAGAAAAAGCCACAGAAAGAAACTTGCAAATGTGCAATGCAAGCTTCAGTTTGCAGGATACCATTGAAAAGTGAAAGTTGCCATGCCCAGAAACGGTAGACAGGTACAATGCAATGGTGCAACACTTAATGAGCGATGCTATCTGCAGCTAAACAGTCCTCTGCTCCATTAACCAAACAAATTACTAACCAGCTTGTCAGATTCCATAAGTGCTGCAGAACAGCAAAAGGAAATTAAAGAGGTCGTTCACAGAATTGGCCACAATTCTGATCTTCCGTGCACTTCCAACCCAATTATCTGCATGCTTAACCTAGAATAAGTCTCGTTGAATTCGGAGATCTGATGCCCAGCCACAACCTGGATCTCTAACCTTCTGAGCTGAGATGTTAGGACTGGATCTGTATCTGATGTGCTTTTTATAAGTTGCCAACCTTAAGATACGCTTGGGCTGAAGGGAAATTTTTGATCTTCTTCTCCAAAAGGAATGTATACGTGGGCTTATCAATGAGGAAGCAATCTCTAGAATCATGCCTAAATGTATTTAGGGTTATGGGCAACATTTGAACATAACTGGATGGTTGCAAACAAGCTTATAACTTTTTAGGGGAATTAATTTTCAGCGCTGCAAAGCTGGAATCACATAGAGAGTGCTGAAAATATTGATTTTACAAAAGTTGTAGGTTCTTGTTTTCTATTGAATTTTACAGTGTCTACCCCACGCATTAAAAATAGGGTAACGTGTTAAGGTACAAAGGTAAATTTTGAGGACATGGGTCTTTAAATATTTGAATTTGATTCGGAAGCTGGGTTTTATTTTTAAGGGGGGGGGGAAACGGCTTCTGCTTTTTTTGTTGGTGAATGATAACATCCTTTTCCATTCCTCCTCCTGCCCCATCTGTTCTATATGACAGTTACAACTCCCACTCTTTTTCACAGCTCTGACGGTGCGTTTCCTTACCAAGAGGTTTATTGGGGAGTATGGAGACATGGGTGAGTGTTCAGATTTTTACACTGTTTGATGCTGGTTCATCTCTTTCATCCTGAGAATGGTGGTGACGGATGGTTCATCGAACTGAACACTCACAAGAAATCTATCGGAATATCTTTTGGATAGGAGGACAGTGTTTATCAATCCTCACTGCTTTAACATATCTGGACTTAAACGCCCAGAATTCCCCAACCAGCCTTGCTGGCTGGAAAATTCTGGATATTAAAATCCACACATCTTAAAATAGCCAAGGTTGAAAAAGACTGGGCTAGGGGGTGATAGGGAAAGGAGGAAGTTTGAGATTCATGGGGACATGAAAAGTAAAAATACTAACCTAAGTTCTGTTTATCCGTGATTAAATGGAATGAAATGGAGAACAGAATAGAATAGAATAGAATAGAATAGAATAGAATAGAATAGAATAGAATAGAATAGAATAGAATAGAATAGAATGGAGTGGAGTGGAGTGGAGTGGAGTGGAGTGGAGTGGAGTGGAGTGGAGTGGAGTGGAGTGGAGTGGAATGGAAGAGAAGAGAATGGAGAAGGGAAGAGAATGAGAATGAGAATAGAATAGAATAGAATAGAATAGAATAGAATAGAATAGAATAGAATAGAATAGAATATGAAACGAATGGAATGGAATAAAACAGATTGTAGAATAGAATAGAATAGAATAGAATAGAATAGAATAGAATAGAATAGAATAGAATAGAATAGAATAGAATAGAATAGAAAGGGACCTTGAAGATCTTCTAGTCAAACCTCAAGCAGGATACCCTATACCATTGGACAAGTGGCTATCCAATCTATTCTTAAAAATTTCCAGTGATGGAGCACCCACAACTTCTGGAGGCAAGCTGCTCCACTGGCTAATTATTCTCACTGTTAGGAAGTTTCTTCTTAATCCCAGGTTGCTTCTCTCCTTGATTAGTTTCCATCCATTGTTTCCTGTCTTGCCTTCTGGTACTTTGGAGAATAAATTGACCCCCTTTTCTTTGTGTCAGCCCCTCAAATACCAGAATACTATTATCATGTCATATATGACATATGTCATATATGCTATATGATCGCATAGGTAAGATGGCTAACAACTTGAAAAAAGAAAAAATGGATGAACATTTTAAAATGCAATTTCAAACCAACAGTTCCATTGACTTCAAAATAATTTAGCATTTAAAATCCTAGCAAACAAAGATGTTTTTCAAAAGGCTACGAGAGGGGAAGTTGAGCAGCACTAAATTAAGCAGCACAGTAATTGACCAAAATCACACGATATTCTGAAGTGATAAATGATTATTTTAAGATCACAGTGGGTATTTTCAGAACACTTGAGGTAGAATCTAAACAAACTCACTTAATTTAGCCTGGCCATTAGCAAGCTTTACACATCCTGTCCAAAAGGAAAATAACTCTTATTTTTAAAGCAATATCCCCAAAAGAGGAACTTAGACAGAAAAAGCCACATCTGCTTACCTTATGACATTTTCAATAAATGTATGATGATCCTTTAATCTTAAAAGGAAATTATTCATGTAAAACATTTTCAGATGAGCGCGCAATAATTATGGTAAACTATAAGCCATAGTTTATATTTTACAGTGGAAGGACTCACCTATGCCAAATGTGATTTTTTTTTTTCATTTGGCTTAGTGGAATGTGTGAATGCAGTTGCTTGCGGTTTATTTAAAAACCATTATCAAGTAAACCTTAGCTTGACCAGCATCTTGTTTGAGGACAAAATGTTCTTTCTTGCCTTCTGCCATGAAATCTGACATCTCACCTAGATGGTGAAAAAAAAGATTCAATAACCAATGTATAATGCAGGTGTTAATAGTGTGTTGAACTGGGATTAGAAAGACCCAGATTCAACTCTCTTCTCAGCCATGGGCTCACTAGTTTCTCTTGAGCCAAAGCCTATTTCTTAGTTCAACCTCTTTCATAGGGTTGTTGTTTGGGGATAAAATGAAACAAAACATCCTTGCAATTGCAACAGAAATTCCAGATATGCATGGGGATAGATAGACACACACATTCAGAGGATAGATAGATAGATAGATAGATAGATAGATAGATAGGATAGGATAGGCAGATAATAGATAGATAGACAATAGAGAAAGTAGATGATAAATTAGAGAGAGAGATGATAGATAGATAGATAGATAGATAGATAGATAGATAGATAGATAGATAGATAGATAGATAGGATAGGCAGAGAGAGAGAGAGAGAGAGAGAGAGAGAGAGAGAGAGAGGGAGAGAGAGATTGACCGACATTTAGACAAATGGACACACACATATAACAGAGGGAGGATGGACTGATGATGGATGAATAGACAGACAGACAGCTATTGTAAATACAGTAGATGATAGATACCATAGGTAGATAGGCAAACAGACAGACAGACAGACATTGTAGATTGATGATAGATAGAGGGGGGGGGAGAGAGATAATATACACATAATACATACAGTGCATACACATACACAGATGTATCTCTTTCCATCCAAACAACCCAAGTAGGGCAAATCATGCAGGGATTTAATAGGAAAGGATAGAAAGTCAGGTTGGGAACAGAACATTGAAATAGTTATTTCATTTGTAGGATGGAAGCATCCTTATCTTTTTATAGTATTTTCTTTGGAAAATTCTACTTGCCCTATTGAACAACTGGAGAAATCACGTATAGGTTTGTTCACATATTGTACCCGTTGACAGTTTGGGGCTCATATACCAAAGGTTTGGCAATTAAACCACAAAAGACTATAACAACACAGGATGCTAGGCCCTGAACAAACAAACTACCTCATGGCTTAAGGTAACCTATGAAGCCAGCCAGCCAGGCAGGTGTGTCACTATTGGGAGAAGCCAAAAGGTACTGTAATGAGTAGAATGCATAGTGAGGCTGTGCTCTGTGGAGCTGCTCTTTCATTACACCCAAGGCTGCTGAAAGGGAGTGGCCGAGGAGAAAATACGTAGAAGAAAGAAAAAGGATGGCGCTCTTGAGAATGGCTTGTGGCAATCTGAACTTTCTGCTTTTCCCCACCCAGAGTCTATCTACACTCACAGTTTGGCAGTAGAAGGCAAAGAGATTCTTTTCCATATCTGGGACTTTCCTTGCTCGCAGGTAAGGAAGCAAGGATAACTATCAATATAAATCAGTGTGTGTACTTGTGTGCATGTGTAATCCGGTATAGTTATGGTTTACCTTCCAATAACAAAATACGTGCCTAATCATTCTTCTCCTCATCCTGCATTATTGTTTTTGAACTAATGGCTAAAGACTAATAAAGTAAATATATACAATAGGATTGCCCATCAGTTCATCTTAGAGGAGGATTTTTAGAATGCGTGGTTGAGCAAATGTAACACATCTTTGCAACTCATTAAAGCAGCCATGCCTGCATCAGCCTGGAAAGAGACATGGCTTTCCTTAATGAGTTGCAGACAATTAGTGTGATTGCGCTCCCACACATTCCAAAGCATCTTGTCTTACATCTAAGGCCCTTGACACAAACTTAATATCCAGTTCTTCTGTATAAAAGTTTGAAAGAAGAAAGAACATGTAAACACTCCATGCTGTTGGTTTTTGTAAAAAAAAAATTTAAAAAATCCTTCCATTTGCACCCTGTGAAGGGTGAATTCATTGTTATCTATATGCCTCCTGGCTACTTACCTATACTTTGGTTTAATTCTGAAGTCAGTTTTTTTTTTTTCAGTTCAAGCAACCACATAGTATGTTGAGTTTTAACTCCCAGAAGACTTGGGGAAGAAAAAGTGAGAATAAAAACTGGGTTTGACTTTAATTTAAATTTAATGAACATTAAATTGCATCAATTAAGTACAATTAAGTGAATGTTTCCGATGCAATCAAGAATTTTCATCTTAATTTGGCAGATCCTTTGGAAGGTTGCTGGGGGCCATATCCAAAGATTTAGAGAACTACGGTACATTCAGCCTGGGAACACAGGCTGAATGTGGTTCTCTAAGCTTGAGCTGACCTAGATGTCTCTCACACCAGACTTCATTTTAAAAAAGGTTGTGTTTTCCCATTGCACCAAGCCATAATATGGTTGATTGGTTTATAATTTCACATATATTGTGAATATTCTGGTTTATAAACCACGTTGTACCAATTTCTATTCTATTGTCGTTGTTGTCATCAGTATTTTCATGCAGTCTACCATAAAGTTCTGATTGGATTGGATAGTTTTGACTATCGTGTCCTTCCCAAGGAGCTAGGACAGACAAAGGCATTGTCATAATATTTATGCTTTTCCACGTGGTACAACTTTTGCAGTTCATGAGTTGAGATTCTGTCCACTTTGTCCAAGTGCTTTTCCAGATCTTTTGCTATGACACCAAGCACACCAACCATTATTGATAGGATTACTTTTGTTTTCCACATTTGCTCGAATAATTATGATTTTTCAGTCCAACGACAAATCTATTAGCCAAATGTTGCAAACGTACCTGTTTTCTTATTCAGGAGAAATCGGAAGAGAACTCATCCAAAGAGAAATGCATCCAATGGGCTGATGGCTTTGTCTTGGTCTACAGCATCTGTGACCGTGCAAGCTTCAACAGTGTCCAGTCCAAAGTCCAGTTCATCAAAGCCACCAAGGAAGGCCCAAGCCAGGAGAAAGTGCCCATTGTTATTGTGGGCAACAAGCGAGATTTACATCATCACCGGGAGGTTTCCAGTGAAGAAGGACGTCTCCTGGCTCTCTCCACGGACTGTGAATTCTATGAGGTATCAGCAGCTGAAGCCTACCATGGAGCAGTCATGGTCTTCCATGGCTTAGCAGAACGCATATGGGAGGCCAAGCTGGCCCTGAAAAAGGGCACAGGAATCCGCAATATTGTCAAGAGTGTATCTGCAGTCTTTGCTCGGAAAAGAACAGACTCAATGTGAAAAAAGAAAAGAAAGCTAACGTTCTGTAAACACTCTGGGAGAACATCCCATTTTCCCTCCCTCTTATTTGGGCAGACCGGAGCGTGGATTTTGCTGATGTGGAGTCGGCAGCCCCCTCATTCTGCTAATCCTGGAGGAGAATCAACCCAAGAGGTGGTATATATGGCAGTCCTGGGTGCAAATTCAAGAAGGAAGGAAGCGGTCATGCCCATGTCTCCATCCTAAAACACCAGAACCAAAGGATTTGCCCAAGAGAAAATTAACATCTTGCTCAAATCCACCTAGTAAGTTGGAATTTGGGAGTCCCGTGTTACTAGTGCAAACTCCAGTACTGTACTCAATTTGATATTTACAGAGAGCTATATGGATGGAACATCATCACTCTGCCCCCTACGTAAACTGGACTAAACCAGAGTTCATCTAACCATAGTTTCCTAGATTAACAACAGCTTAATCTTTAATATTGCTCTGAAGCCATAAGGGGACATCATAGCATGACACCATATTATGAAGTTCTACCCCATGCTGTTCAGGAGATGTAGTAGAAGGTCTGTCAAGGTGCTTGGAAGCTACCAATGTGGATGAGGAGGAACCAAGTGAGGTTCAACCCTAATAAGATGAAGTGGTTGTCCATTCAAACAGTGATTGACTCTGAGACAGCATCCCTCTTAGGTCTGGAGGAGGGGGATTGCTTCCCCTGAAAGAGCTTGCTTCCAAACCAGAATGCCTGGATTCATACTATACTGTAAGCCAAAAACCAATTAAATGTAGCTCAATGCATTGGATGATCCCTACCCATAACAGTTTTGTTACTGGGTTGGGAATGCAGCCTGAGTCCACAGAAGCTAAAATGCATGGATTTCAGAGGGATAATTATAATAATCTCCTGCAAAAAAACAAAAAAAAAGGCCAATATCAAGACCTAAATAGAGAAGAGGTCTACTAGTCCAACAGTCGAGCTTCTGCTTTGTGTTCAGAAGGTCCCTGGCTTAGTTTGACCATTTTTAACTGGCAAAAGTTCTCCAGATGTTGCCCCACTCCCTACCTCTGGATGCCCCATTGGATGGAGAGCGCTTAATTAGAAATGCCAAGAGTGGCAACCCAGCACCAGGCTTTAGAGCAGTGGTTCTCAACCTGTGGGTCGGGACCCTATTTGGGGTCGAATGACCATTTCACGGGGGTCGCCAAACCACGCTGTCCGCCATTTTTTCCCCTTTTCCCTAGCTGTCCTACTCCCTCTTATTGGTGGCCACACCCACTTGGGGGTCACCACAACATGGGGAACTGTATTATGGGGTCACGGCATTAGAAAGGTTGAGAATCACTGGTTTAAGGTTTAAACCAGTGGTTCTCAACCTTGTGGGTCGGGACCTCATTTGGGGTCGAACGACCATTTCACGGGGGTCGCCAAACAAGGCTGTCCACCATTTTGTTCCCCCTTTTCTTTGGCCACGCCCCTGGCACCCGGTGATGTATAAGTGGTTCGGGGTCACCACAACATGGGGAACTGTATGATGGGGTCACGGCATTAGAAAGGTTGAGAACCACTGCTTTAGAGGGAACCTTCTCCATTCCAGGTTCTGGTGGGCTCTGGAAGGCTGACTCATTCAGTTAATAGTGCTGCTCTACTCTCTAGGAAACTAGGGATTAGCTGCCATTTTAATCTCACCGTAACCAGAAATAGGAACTGTCTACGGTTGCTGTAAGCTAATATTGCATCTGCAAGGATTTAACCTAAATATTTGTGCATGAAAATGATTGTCCTTTCTTGCTCCGTCTCTTGAATCCAGTGGAATTTGGATAAGCAAACATGGATAATTTGTTTGCTGTCTTAGTAGCTTCTCCATGTACCTCAAAGGCAAGCTATCTCTTCCCCAGTAAGGACCTGCGTGAAAGGAGAGAAAAGAGCCCATCGAAGGAAAGGGGAAAGGAAAAATGGAAAGGAAGAAAAGGAGAGGGGAGGGGAGGAGAGGAAAGGAAAGGAAAGAGAAAAAGAAAGAGGGAAGAGGAAAGAAAAGGAAGATAGAAGACGGGAAGGAAAGGAAAGAAAAGAAAGATAGACGGAGGAAAGGAAAGGAAGATAGAAGAAGGAAAGGAAAGGAAAGGAAGATAGACAAAGGAAAGGAAAGGAAAGAAAGATAGAAGGGAAGGAAAGGAAGATAGACAAAGGAAAGGAAAGGAAGATAGACAAAGGAAAGGAAGATAGAAGAAGGAAAGGAAAGGAAAGGAAGATAGATGAAGAAAAGGAAAGGAAGATAGACAAAGGAAAGGAAAGAAAGATAGAAGAAGGGAAGGAAAGGAAAGGAAAAAGGAAAGGAAAGGAAGATAGACGAAGGAAAGGAAGGGAAGATAGAAGAAGGGAAGGAAAGGAAAGGAAGATAGATGAAGGAAAGGAAAGGAAAAGAAAGGAAGATAGAAGAAGGAAAGGAAAGGAAAGGAAAGGTATCAGCTCAGAGAAACTGGGTGGCCTCATCCATTGTTGAGTTTGTCCAGCTCTCTCAACTCCCCTCTCTGCTGTCATCAACTTGGAAGAGCCATATCAGTTGCATCTCTCTGCTGAGATTTGCATCTCTCTGCCAAATTCTCCTTCCACCTCCAGTTCTGTCTTGCTTGCTTTTGTTGACTCAGTTATTGCCAACCAGCAGCACGGCAAGTTAGAGGCTCAGAACTGCGTGTCCTCCTGCCTCTTTCCCTCCCTCCCTCCTTCTTCCCTGACAGCACACAAGGGCTCCTGCTAAGTGAGACACAGCACACGTGCCTGTACAGTTAAAGACGTGACTTCCTTCCAGGCCTTTGTGCGGGTGTGTCAGGCCTTCAACAAGAATAGAGAGGAGAAGAGCTGCAGTTCTTTGTGTCCTGCTCAAAAACAACCTTCAGGCCTCCACAACTGAGGAAAAGTGGAGGGGGGAAAAAAACCCAGAAGAATGGATTTCCTGAAAGGAAATTCATTGGCAAGTGAGGTTGATCCCAAATACCTCACTCTGGATTGGCAGATTGACTAGGGCAGGGGTCCACAACCTAGACAACTTTAAGACTTGTGGACTTCAGCTCCCAGAATTCCTCAGCCAGCTATGAAGTCCACAAGTCTTAAAGTTGTCAAGGTTGCAGACCCGTGCACTAGGGCGACACAGGCAGTCCTTGACTTACAACAGTTCATTTTTAGTGACCGTTCGAAGTCACAACGGCACTTAACACAGGGACCTCCGACCAGTTTTCACACCGAACAACCGTTGCAGCATCCCCACAATCACGCCATCAAAATTTGGACACTGTAAAGACATTCGACATATGCTTGGAGCATTCCAGCTTAGTAGATCAGAAAACGCAAAGAATGTAAGTTTCCAGCTAACTAGGATGAAGGGTTAACTTTTAAAAACAAACGTGGTGCCCAAATCAACAAGGGATATATAGGTTATATCACCCTATACTGTGTTTCATTGAGCAGTGCTTATTGCTCCAGCCACAACTGGCTAAGACTGTGGTGTACAATGAGAATCTTGTTCTATCACAGCTGTTTTGACGCAATTAGGTCAGCCGATAGCAATTCCTGCTCTTAAACTACAATGTGTGAATCCAAGTCCATGGTTTGAGATGAAAATACTGCAGCTAGGTCTGGAGCTTCCCCAGCAAACAGGGGTTGCTGTTTGGAATTTTGAAAGATAAAACATTGAATTTTGCCAAATATTTCAGCCCATCTTTTCCTGCAGGATTATTATGAGTGTAACACGGAAAGTGGAGACTGATGATTGCTGTGCTGAATTTCAAAGAGGCAGCATGTCACACGTATAATCAGAGAATGAGGTGGAGAAATGGATCAATAGACATTTCCACCACTCTCATCATTCAAGCCAATTTATTTCCAATATTCAAAGGCAAGCATCACTGCAGGGAAAACAACAACAACTCAAAGCTAAATCAACACAAGGCACAAGGTGCATGGATTGCGTTAAGTCAACGTGGAAGCCTACCGTAACATAATTAGAAGTACCAAACATGTTTATAAAAACATATGGATACACACACACACACACTTTGGGTGTGTCTGGTGGTGGTGTGGGGGGAGAGAATGAACTTAAAAATAGTCCAATGAGAATCAGATATACTCTCTGGATAAATGTTCTGGCTGGATTCATAATTTATAGAATCCTAGAATTAGACGCTCCTTAGTGCTCATCTGCTCCATTCCCCTGCCTGGTGCAGCATCTACGGTAGATGTGGCCATGCAACCTCTACTCCTGAAGACCTCTAGCGAAGGAGAACATATGTAGCAGCCTATATCACTGGCCCACAGCTCATACAGTCAGGAAGTCTCTTCTGATGTTCATCCTGGACCTTCTTGTTATTTTAACCCAGGCCGCTGCTCTTTGGGGCCATAGAGAATATGTTCACGCCTCCAAATCCTTCAACATCTTAATTACTTTTGTGATAAAGCCATAGTTTGTTGGATAAACCCACAAGCTGTGGCAAGCCGTATGGACCTAATCATGATTTAAGGGTCTACTAACAGCACTTAACAAAACACAATTTTCTGGTACCCTTCTTACTTTTTAAAGTTTGGAGTTAAGTCCTAAACTTTAAAAAGGAGTCCTGAGCATTGAGCTGTACACAGCTGTTCCTCAAAGCAAAGTCAACTTTCTGATTATTTCACTTACAGAATACTCAGCTCGGATCTTTGAGATCCAATAATTCTTATTCCCTACTTTTGATGCTTTTACAGCATAATCAATGTGTAAATAAATGTGTATGTGATGTATTTTGGTTTTGAAAAGGAAATAAAAAATGACCTGCACAAATCTATTAGTTTAGCATTTTTAACTTCGTAGTTTATTTATAGCAGGGAGGGGATTAAAAAGTAATACTTATAGAATATATGAAGTATATACATGGGAAGGTCAATATACCTTGACTTTGCTTGTCAGAAGGTTGCAAAAGTTGATCACATGACCTAGGATACTGCAACCGCCAAACATCTGGATTTTGATCATGAGGATGCTGCAATGGTCGTTTAAGTGTGAAAAATGGTCACTTTTTTCAATGCCATCGTAACTTCAAAAGTCAATAAAACTGTTATAAGTCAAGAACTATCTGTAGATGGATGTGGCAGAGACTAAGGTAGCTTGCAAGAAAAGAAAAATTAGGATAGGGACCATGAATGGAATGGTATTGACCTGTACTTGTTTTAATCATTTCATTTCTTTCCCTGCATTTTTTTTTGAAGTCCCATAACCTGACAGGGAAAACCATGAAGGATATATATGAGCCGTAGTGGTGCAGTGGTTAGAATGCAATAATGCAAGTTAACTCTGTCCACAGTCTGGAGTTCGATCCTGATGGGGTTCAAGGTTGACTCAGCCTTTCATCCTTCCGAGGTTGGTAAAATGAGGACCCAGATTGTTGGGGACAAATAATGCTGACTCTGTAAACCGCTTAGAGCACTATGAAGCGGTATATAAGTCTAGGTACCATTGCTGTATATAAGTAAGAATGAGAAAAAGCTGCACATCCCTTCCTACATGGAATTCCAACCATCACTGGTTTCTGGGGGGGGGGGAAACACCTGGAGACATGTAGCCAAGTACGCCTTCTGAGGTAGGAACATTCCCTGTTTGACATGCACCTTTTTGTCTGCAGCTGCTCCCTCACTTTTTTCCCTAACTTTCTTGTTCTTGCTGGATAAACTGTTCTTTCCAGCTATTGGCTATACGGTCCTGGTTTAAATCAAATGGTGCATGGTGTATACAACAAATGATTTGCTGCATTACAGTATTGTAAACATGCCTGAAAAGACCTCTGCCAGGCGATTTTAAATCACTTTAAGCACAGCAACATTTAGCCGATGGATTGTGATTCAGATCCCCCACACGAGAGCAGGCAAATTATGTTTTCAGCCAAAAGACAAAGATAAGTTCATGCAGTTAACCTTTCAGCCCCAGAGTTTACTCCAACGCCCACATTACTTAAGCCCAAGCCCTCTCCCCTTTGCTCCTGTTCCGGAAGAATTGAGTAGAAAAATTATTTGTCTTCCTATTCAATCCCTCCTCTTGTGCTCTTTGCATAGCCAAAAAACCAAGAGTTTTCTACTGTTTCTTATTCCGGCTCTCCAGCAGTTACTCTGACTGTACACCCATCGGGTTTTTTCAGTCCTTGAGAATTATGGGATGCTTGTGTATTTACAGTACTGATTGAGAAATGCCCAAGATTGAGACAGTCGGGGACAAGGATTGCAAAATTCATTTAGCTCTGCTTCCTCTCCCGTCACCTAACCAGACCCACAAAGGCATAAACAGGAATTATTGATACCAAGTGATGGCTTAGTGATGGAGCCCAGGAGCCCGAACGTAAAGACTTCCAGTCCATATTTTGTTCAGTTCAAACGGATACATTTGTACCTCTTTTACCTCAAGATCTCCAGATTTTAGGTACATTCCCCAGTCCCCCCCCCTTCTATAGTGAAGAACCATAGGGAAAAAAGAACACATGATTTCTCCAACCTATGTTCAGTTAAGGACATCCAGCTTGCTTTGGTTCCCGATTTCACTGACCAGTTACTCTTACCATTTTCTAAAATGTTTTTCCTAACATTTAATCAGAAATGGCTTTCCTGTAACTTGATTAGTCTTTGCTATATAATGGGACATTAGCTATCATGAATTTCTTCTATGCAACTACTGTTCATATCCTTGGAGTCTATACAACTACTATTCTCTCTCCCTGGAAAGTTGTGTCCGACCCATCACGACCCCATGGACCATGTTCCTCCAGGTCTTCCTGTCCTCTACCATCTTCTGGAGTCCATTTCAGCTCACGCCTACTGCTTCAGTGACTCCATCCAGCCACCTCATTCTCTGTCGTCCCATTCTTCTATTGCCTTCCATCTTTCTCCAGTGAGTCCTTCCTTCTCATTAGGTGGCCAAAGTACTTGAGTTTCAACTTCAGGATCTGGCCTTCTAAAGAGCAGTCGGGGTTGATCTCTTCTAGGACTGACCGGTTTGAATGCCTTGCAATCCAGGGGACTCGCAGGACTCTTCTCCAGCACCATAGTTGAAAGGCTCAATTCTTTGGCGCTCAGCCTTTCTTATGGTCCAGCTTTCACAGCCATGGATTGCAACTGGGAAAACCATGGATGGCCTTGGCAGGGTGATGTCTCTGCTTTTTAGTATGCTGTCTAGATTTGCCATAGCTTTCCTCCCCAGGAGCAAGCGTCTTTTAATTTCTTGGCTGCAGTCCCCATCTATGGTGATCTTGGAGCCCAGGAAGATAAAATCTGTCACTACCTCCGTTTCTACTAAAATACCAAATATTGGAAGCAAATCACACATACAGGAGTCCCAGGGGAGGGGACGGGAGCCCAGTTTATCTAATTTCTGTTCATCATGCAGCTAGAGGGTCACAAGCAGACACATCAAAGCCAAATTGGTTACTTCTTTCATCTGATGAGATTTGGAAGAAACCAGTAACGAGATTAAGCAGAGATCTGCCATAACAGTAGATGTGAAGAAAAGTAAAATGTTCTTTTTCCCTGCTGCTGTTAAATGTCATATTGGCTCCAAAGACTTAGATGTTAATTTCTCTGCCAAGGCTACACCACACACAAACCAGCCCTATTTATAGATACCAAAGGCAGAAAAGCTATACAATACATAACTGGATGCAGGAAGCAGCCATTGTAATAGTTAATGGTTTAAAGATTTTGACTGGAGAAAACCAATGTTCAAGTCCTGACAATGGTCTTCACCTGGTGATTTTCAGCAAGCATTTTCACCAATCTGCCTCACAGCTTGTTCCATCTCTTTCAGAGAAAGACGGATGTTTTTGTCACAATAATGGCATGGGGATGGAGAGAGAATTTAACTCCTCTCATACCACAGTTGCAACCCTCATCTCTCGCCTCTTTCAAAACCATCAATTTTGAATAAACAAGAAATCAAGCTACCTTCAACGTACTTTGGAACAATTGTCGAAGAAGCATGGAACTGTCCTCAGAAAGCCAGTAAAAGTTGATTATTTTATTGGAGAATTTTTAAATGCTGTACTAATAAAGCAGGCATTAAAAGAGCAGATGGCACATGAGGATCACGGGGGAGATTTAAACTTACACATAAGCAGTAAATTAAGCAGAAGATTTGGGTTGTCAGTAGCTTTGTTAACAGAGCCCAAACCAGCATATTGTTTTTGTGAATTGCGTGACTCCAGCCATGGTGATTTGTCAAGCCATGTTTCATGGCTTTGGGTGTCAATTGTGATTTTGCAAGTCATAGCTAAGTATGATATAAAATCTCAGCCTTTGGAGCTGCTGAACTGTAGTTTAGACTGTTGTGTGAAGTCATCTAATAGTTATATATATATGTGTGTGTGTGTGTGTGTGTGTGTGTGTGTGTGTGTGTGTGTGTGTAGGTCTTTGGTTATTCGGGTTTTCTCCCGCATCAAATTGGAAGTGCCTTTTTTCTTTGAAAACGTTTTGTTTCTCATCCAAGAAGCGAAGAATGGATGAGAAGCGAAACGTTTTCAAAGAAAAAAAAAACCCAGAAAGTCCAGTTGCCTTTTGGAAAAGCACACTCGGGGTAGCAATTCATACTTAACAAATCCTAGTTTAGCATAGTGAGCAAACCCACTCACTAGCTTAGTCTTTCTTGATGGCAGCGCTATAGAGTCCTGCAAAGTGGGCCCTTATGTAGGTGGCTTGCAGGCTAGGACGGAACAGCCCCTCACTCCACCTCCTGCTGCTGGATCCCTCCTTGTAAGGGGAGAAAGCAGACTTCCGAGCCATAGTAGGTTCAGCTTCCAAGGGTGGGCTTTCCTGAAGGGTGAGGGGCTCATCAAGACTGAGGAATGGAAGAGGATAATGACCCCGACTGGATCGTCTTTCTTGCAGCTTCTTGCTCTCAGGAGTAACAAGCTGGACCCCATCTGGTTCTTGGCAAGATTCTGGCGGAACCGCCCCCATTGTTTCCTCTTCTTTCATCACAAGCCTCGGGAAGGTGAACTAGTGAGTGGAAAATGGAAAAGAGAGAGAGAGAGACAGAGATCCCTGGTGATTTAATGAATTATTTTCTCTTCCCAAAATCTATGTTTTCCACCAGACTTGGGGGTCATACTATCAATAACATTGGCATTTCCGGGACTTTGATACCATTCAAGACCCCTTGCTTTTTTGACATAGTCCTTCGGGAACGTTGTTTTCTATTCTTGGTTGGTAGAGAGTTCAAAGAGTGAGTGGCCTATGTACATTTGCTTGTCTGGACTTCCCCTGTGTGTTTCCTTTGGGAAAAGAAAGAAGAATAATGTTTGACTTTGCTCAATCTGCTCGACTAAAATTGCATACATTATGGGAACTTAGCTCACAAGGTATATTACAGTGAATCAGACTATCCTGCTGAGCCATCACTTTGTTTAAGCCTCTCAAGCACAACACAGACATTGTACTTGGTTCCTCCTCAACAAAGATTTAGCATGTGGTGTGAACTCAGCAACCAACCGCCAACTCAGTCAAAAATGGCTGCTTTTAATAGCTATGTAATAACTAGCTTGCTTTCCTGTTATAGTCTAGGACAGCAGACCCCAACCTTTTGGGCACCAGGGGCTATTTCTGTGGAGAAAGTTTTTTCCATGGACTGGATGCTGCCTGCGTCCCGTAGTTGGGGCTTTGCTTGTTTATGCGGTCCTGTTGCTGGCATGCCGTGGACTGGTGCTGATCCACAGACCGGGGCTTGGGGATCCTGGTCTCGGATCCTGACCCACAAAGGGTAACAACTGACTGCATGTATTTTTCATCAAGTGGGACACTCAAGGATTATTTAGTTTAGTTAGTGGTTAGTTGGAGGATGAAAGCTACTTTGGACTAGAATATTAGGGATTAGATACAGCTCACAGCTGACATGTGTTGCTGGATTTAGTTCTCAGCAACCCAGGGTAGGACTGGAAGCGCTCCTGTCTGAAATGTTGACAGTTGTGACTTAAATGAGCCGAGGTGGCGCAGCAATTAGAGTGCAGTACTGCAGGCCACTTTAGCTGACTGTGCTCAGCAGGTCAGCGGTTCAAATCTCACCGGCTCAAGGTTGACTCAGCCTTCCATCCTTCCGAGGTAGGTAAAATGAGGACCCAGATTGTTGGGGGCAATGTAAAACATATATATACATTGCTTACTGGTGTACACCGCTTAGAGAGTGCTTGCACTTAAAGCGGTATATAAGTCTCATAAATAAATAAATTCTAGGCAAGAGTAATGTATCCCTTAGCAGCCAGGTGGGAAAAAGAAACGAGAAAGAAATGGCAGAATGCAAACACAAAAAGAAAGGATATTGGGATGAGAAGGGAAAACTATAGGAGTGAAAGAATGCTAGAACAAGGGAGAAAGAAAAAAGAATGTTGCAAGAACAAGAGAAAGGAAAAAAAAACATAAAGGAAAAGCACACCAGAACAAGATCTGTCTGGCCATCTTGAATATTGTCCAACAAGGTTTTGAAGGTAGCATATTGTTTAGTATCCTTTCTCATTTCACCCCAAAATAAAGATGCTGCTAAATGGGGCTTACACTGCCACCAATTATGTGCTACCTCTGAATATGAGCTTTTATACTTATCCTCCATGAATTTCAACTGCCTTTCATACTATGGGAAAGCTCAAGAATTGAGCTTCAGAGGCCTCCATGTGCTAACTCAGATCTAGTGGTTCACATGTCTACATTGACGGCTGGAGATGATCCACCACGGAATCACAGAATTGGAAGGAATCGCACAGATCTCTCAGCCAAATGCAAGAAAACCAATTAAGACAGTTCAGAAAGGTGGCTAGCTAGCCTTTTCTTAAAAACCTACAGCGATGAAGAACTTGCAATCTTCATAAGTAGCCTGTCCTACTCTTGTCCAATTCTTACAATCAGAAAGTTCTTCCTTTCCTCCAAGGTTTCATAGAGAAGATGCTAGAGACCAAAATCAAATCTGTGTTTCCCCATTGAGATACTTCCCCCTTCCACTTCAGAATATAGGAAAGTTCTTCAACAGCATGTTGGATCTGAATAAGCATCCATCTTGTTCAGCATTCCTTGCCAGAAATGGCTGAACAGATGCATCCAGGAAGTTCCTAAGCTAGAACTGGACAAGCACTTCTCTTCCACTGTTCCCTTTTAGTCACTGAGACTAAGAACACAATGCCTGGGATTCAGAAGGTGGCATTCAGCTATGCAAGCCGTTCTCCTTGCATCTGTTGCGTCCCTTTTTCAAGTCAGCCCAATCGGTGGCCACATCTTACAATTAATTATGCATTGGTTGAACACATGCTTTTAAATCAGTCTCAAAATCTCTCTGGTTTTGGCTTCAAGAAACATACAAAATCCAGTCCTTCCTTCCTTCCTTCCTTCCTTCCTTCCTTCCTTCCTTCCTTCCTTCCTTCCTTCCTTCCTTCCTTCCTTCCTTCCATCCCTCTTTCTCTTGCTGTCTCATTTGTGTGTGTGTGTGTGTGTGTTTACACGTTTATCTTCCTGTTTAAAATCAGTAGTCCCAATGGATTTTGGGAAAGATGTTAATCAAATCCATGAATTACTGTAGAGCCAGTTAAAAATAAAACAGCCTTTTCACCTTCACCTCCAAATTAATCTCCCAGAAATGGAAAAAGGATCTTTACTAGAGATCAGACTCCAGTCTTGGCACTCAAAACAGGAGGCAGCTGAGTTAGAATTTCTTCGCCCTGAATTTCCTTCAGAAAAGAATAGGGCCAAATGCCAAGCCTCTTTCTGCAGGGAAAACAAAACCCATAACGGGGAAAGAGAGACATAGTCTGAAAGCAGGACTTATCAATTGGTTTCTAAGCGATAGTATTTTAGCCACGACTTGTCCTGCTTTCTGAACCGTGAATCCAGACTTATTTTGTCTGCTCAAAATTCGGATAGTGGCTCAGGAAATGGAATGCAGAGAATCTAGGAAATAGCTGAGCAAGGATTATGTTGCTCATGAGCCAAAAGGATCCAGACACCACTAAAATCCTGGTTTCGCCTTCTAGATAAATGCAAACTTTTTTTTTATTTGTTGAATTTGAAGACTGCCCATCTGGCTCGCATTAATTGTAATGCGTGCAATTAAAACATAAAAATCTAAAACCCATATAAAATACAATACCTCAAAAAAAAAAAAAAAAAAAAGAAGAAGAAGAAGAAGAACCGGATAAGAACAAGAATAAAATATGTTAAAAGTTAAAAGGTGAGGGGAAGGCGATCAAGGAGCCAACTGGCTCCAGGGTTGCATCCTACTGGGATGAGGTCCATGAAAGTTGGCAAAGTCAAGTCTTTAAAGTCCTATGAAAGACCAGGAGATCAGGGCCCCCCTCATCTTGGCGAGGGGGGGAGGAAGTATTCCAGAGAGCGGGATCCATGGCAGAAAGGTCCCCTTCCTGAACCCTGCCAGTTTGAAATTCTTTCAAACTTGGCAACTTTAAAACTTGTAGACTTCAACTTCCACAATTCCACTGCCAATCCAGGGAAGTCACAAGTCTTAAAATTGTCAAGTTTAGAGACCTCTGCTGTAACTGACGTGATCCATAGCATATCTTCCCTACTAACTGGATAAGATGGGCTGACATAATCAGGATAAGATGGTTTCCAAGGTAACTTGGCCCCATGCCATATAGAGCTTTGACCAACACCTTGAACTGGACCTGGAAGCATCATGTAGCTCCCGCAGCCAAGGTGTTATGTGCTCCTTCAATTTGCACAGTAATCTACCTGAGAAACTCAAGTACTTTGGCCACCTAATGAGAAGGAAGGACTCACTGGAGAAGAGCCTAATGCTGGGAAAGATGGAGGGCAAGAGAAGAAGGGGACGGCAGAGAATGAGGTGGCTGGATGGAGTCACTGAAGCAGTAGGCGTGAACTTAAATGGACTCCAGAAGATGGTAGAGGACAGGAAGACCTGGAGGAACATTGGCCATGGGGTCGCGATGGGTCGGACACGATTTCACAACTAACAATCTACCTGAAGTCCTGAGAAATTCTCACTCCATACTCCAAATAACCATATAAGCTCTAGTCTCTATATTCTGTGCCCCTGGAACAGCTACAGATCTTAGAGAAAGATCTGGAGAGAGTTTTCTTTTCTTTTCTTTTCAAAAAACTATAAATTGAACTTATATGCCACCCAGAGTCATTTCTTGTGAGATGGGCAGCTATATAAATTTGATGAGATAGGCAGACAGACAGGCAGACAGACAGACAGACAATAAAACTGTTGTTTACTGTTAAGGCACTTCTTAGTTCAGCAACACATGCAACTTTATTTGACACTTACCAAATATGAGATGCACATAGCCAGTTTCACTCCTTTGTCCTTAGTAACCTGGATGGCTTGGCATGTCTGTCTGAAAGCAAGCTGGGAAACGGCAACGGCTAAGGATTTAATGCTTCCAAAGGTGCTGGGTGGAGGCATCTTTTCTGATACACATCCTGCTGGAGACTTGTAGACTACAAGCAAGAAATGGGAAAAAATGTATAATTAATAAGCCAGACTGTTGTTCTTTAACTGATTAAAGATGTTAAATGATTCCATACATTCTGTGTCAATGGTTTTCAACTTGGGGGGGGGAGCCCATGAGGTCCTCAAGAAAGCCCATGAAGAAATGTTATGATTTAAATCTTGATTTACCCTAAGGCTTGGGAGCCTGTGGCCATGGTCCGTGGCCACAAAAGGTATTTAAAGAGGGTCAGTGGGGAAGAAAAAGTTGAGAACCACTGTTCTATGTCACCCGAGCATCTCTGCCTATGAGAAGACTTGATTACGGATGATTGGGAACAAGCAGATACTTTGGTAGCTCACATAACATAATTTAATGTCATCTCTTTACAGTCCAGTCTTCCAAACAGCGCAGCCCGCACTGACCCCTCAGATCTTTGGGTGCTGTCTCTCCGTGTCAGTCTAGGAACAATGCAACATCACTTTCTCTGCTTGTGTAAGAAACAAAGCCCTCTCTCAGCAAGGCTTATAACTTATAATTTTGAAAATGTTGCTGTTCCAAATGGGGCAAGTTTGTGTGTGGTGTTGAACTCAAGTCCAGCAAATTCTTTGACAACCTCAAAGAAACGGAGGTAGGAATGTTTCTAGCACCCTCTTGTGGAAGGCAGGGCTAGATGAATCAAAAGCTGGAATTAAGATTGCCAGGAGAAATATCAACAACTAAGATATGCAGATGATACCACTTTAATGGCAGAAAGAGAAGAGGAATTAAAGAGACTCTTGATGCGGGTGAAGAAGGAGAGTGCAAAAGTTGGCTTGAAACTCAACATTAAGAAAACCAAGATCATGGCATCCGGCCCTCTCAATTCCTGGCAAATAGATGGGGAAGAAATGGAGGTAGTGACAGATTTTATTTTCCTGGGCTCCAAGATCACCTCAGACGGGGACTGTAGCCAAGAAATTAAAAGATGCTTGCTCTTGGGGAGGAAAGCTATGGCACATCTAGACAGCATACTAAAAAGCAGAGACATCACCCTGCCAATAAAAGTGCGTATAGTCAAGGCCATGGTTTTCCCAGTTACAATGTATGGCTGTGAAAGCTGGACCATAAGAAAGGCTGAGCGCCAAAGAATTGAGGCCTTTGAACTATGGTGCTGGAGAAGACTCCTGCGAGTCCCCTGGACTGCAAGGCGATCAAACTGGTCAGTCCTAGAGGAGATCAACCCTGACTGCTCTTGAGAAGGCCAGATCCTGAAGTTGAAACTCAAGTACTTTGGCCACCTAATGAGAAGGAAGGACTCACTGGAGAAGAGCCTGATGCTGGGAAAGATTGAGGGCAAGAGAAGAAGGGGACGACGGAGAAGGGGGTGGCTGGATGGAGTCACTGAAGCAGTAGGGGTGAGCTTAAATGGACTCCAGAAGATGGTAGAGGACAGGAAGGCCTGGAGGAACATTGCCCATGGGGTCACAATGGGTCGGACACGACTTCGCAACTAACAACAATAACTTGTGGAAATAGGGATACTGGAGTCTAAGAAACTGCAACCAATCAATCAGAATAGAGCTTGGAGATTTTCTAGTCCAGCCCTCTGCTCAAGCAGGAGACTCTATACCATTTCAGACAGGTGACTGTCCAATCTCTTCTTAAAAACCTCCAGTGATGGAGCACCCACAACTTCTGAAGGGAAGCCGTTCCACCATATAACCTGACTTTGTTAGCCAACTCCAAAATGTCTTTAAAAAAAAATCAGGACTACAACACTCAAATTCTGAAGCCAGTAAATACCCAGCTTCAACTTCTGATCAAGAAAATGGGTTTATAAAACTAACAAGATGAGCATCTCCTAAAAGGGAAAGCTCTGGATGCCAAACAACATATGTTGTTTCTTTTTTTAAAAAAAAGCAAAAATAAAAGATGGTCTCTCTCTCTCTCTCTCTTTATTTGGATACAATATTTTGAGTGGAACCCAAACAACGAAGCACAAATAAATGACAGAGTATATCCTCAATCTAATTTGTGTTACTTTTTAGTTCAGACTGAGGCAGAGATGCAAAACTGCCGAATTTACATTCTATTTTTATATAACGTTATTAGAGATTTTTTAAAAGGAAGACAAATGCTAATACAAACTGATATAAAGAAAGAAGACAATGAGAAAGCTATGTGCAAAAAATGTAACAGAAATAAAAAGAAAAATAGAGAAAAAAAGATACTAAGAAGTAGTTTCCGATCTTTCTTACGCAGTCATAAGTACAATTATAAATTTACCTTTTACTCAATGGTTACAACATAACAACACAATTCTTTTCTTTTTATAAGTTGTTCTGTCTAATCATCAGAACTACAAACCATTTTTTCCTGTTTTATGCAAAAAGTCCATAAAGAGTTTCCAGTATGTAATTAGCATATTGTCCTTTTTTTGTATCAAAGAAGTTAATTTAGTCATCTCAGCAAGTTCCATCATCTTCACCAACCTTTCCATCCCACTGCAGTTATAGTCTAAAGCAGTGTTTCTTCATCTCAGCAGTTTTGCTGGCTGAGGAATTCTGGGAGTTGAAGTCCACATATCTTAAAGTTGCTAGGGTTGAAAAACATTGCTTTTGAGTTCTGCAAAGGGACAAGGCTAGCAGCACAATCCCTTCCCTCAAAGATAGGAAGATAAACATGCTCTGATGACAATACCACAGTCACTTAGGTATAGCCCTGCTGTTTCTGGCTCCAGACTCTATTAGATACGTGGTTACACCTGCCAGGTATCATAGTCAGTTGGAGTCAGTAAACCACCAGAAAGCATTCTCGCTTGCACGGTGCCATGCGTTTCCATCGGCCGTCCTGTACGGCAAGTATAAAAAGACACCATTGGCTGAAAGACTCTGCTCCTGTGGCTCAGGAGAGGTGAGACCATTGGACACATACTCCTTCGATGTTCCTTAATAATAATAATGATAAAGTTGGAAGGGACCTTGGAGGTCATCTAGTCCAACCCCCTGCTCAGGCAGGAAACCCTATACCATTTTGGACAAATGGTTGTCCAGTTTCTTCTTAAAAACTTCCAGTGTTGGCGCATTCACCGCTTCTGGAGGCAGGTTGTTCCACTGGTTAATTGTTCTAACTGTTAGGAAGTTTCTCCTTAGTTCAAGGTTGCTTCTCTCCTTGCTTAGTTTCCACCCGTTGCTTCTTGTCCTACCTTCAGGCACTTTGGAAAATAGCTTGACTTCTTCTTCTTTGTGGCAGCCCCTGAGATATTGGAACACTGCTATCATGTCCCCCCTCGTCCTTCTCTTCATTAAACTAGACATACCCAATTCCAGCAACCATTCCTTATATGTTTTAGCCTCCAGTCCCCTGATCATGTTTGTTGCTCTTCTCTGCACTCTTTCTAGAGTCTCAACATCTTTTTTACATCATGGTGACCAAAACTGGATGCAGTATTCCAAGTGTGGCCTTACCAAGGCATTGTAAAGTGGTATTAATACTTCACGTGATCTTGATTCTGTCCCTCTGTTAATGCAGCCTAACACTGTGTTGGCCTTTTTGGCAGCTGCAGCACACGGCTGGCTCCTATTTAAGTGATTGTCCACTAGGACTCCGAGATCCCTCTCACAGTTACTTCTATTGAGCAAGATACCCCCTATATTATACCTGTACATTTGGTTTTTCTTGCCTAAATGTAGAACCTTCTATAAAGCTATTAGGAAAAACCATATCCTCCCCATAAGTGATAGGTATTCTGGTCGTTCGGAAAGTATTTATCTCCAGTGGCTGCTTAAGGACAAGCAGGCAGGGATCACGGTGCAGGTGGCTAGATTCTGCGCAGCAGCACTGGGGATTCGCCAGAAACATAAATAAACATTTTAGATCTTTTTAATAATCTTTTATAATCAATTTTATTAAGTGTTTTTACCCAGCATTAGACTATAGTCAATGTATTTCTTATTGACAGGTCAGTATGACTCAGTTTTTCTGATGCTAGCTAGTTTTTTTTATACTGTCTGTAAAACTAGGCAGACCTTGGCTGATTACATCATTAATGGTAATATATTGCTATGTCTTCTTGTGTTGGTTCTGTTTAGCTTTGTTTTATTTGAATGTTTAATTTATGTGTTGGCCTTTGGCTGTAATAATAAATTGAACACCACAGTTACCCTTTTGTGTCAAGAACAGCTAAGGACCCATCTACTTTGTGTAGGACAATCCTCTATTTGAAAACATTATTTGTTTAACATCTGGCCAGCTTAAAGATGAAGAATAAAAAGGTAGAAGAAGAGGATCTTGAAATAGTCTATTAGGAGAACAAATTGGGCAGATCACCTGTGCTGGCAAGCTCCTTAGAACTAGGAGATGGAGCAAACACTTTGAGGTATTTATGGAGGCCCACCTATGTTCGACTAGACTCTTTAGAAATCAATAAAAACAACAGTGCCAGTCAATCTCCATCGAGGAGCAAATACTACAGTCCTGAAACATCTTGCTAATCAGAAAACTGGGGTGCATATATGAATGTAAAGAGCTGAAGTTTTTCAGCTCCAAAATGAGATTTTTTTTTTTACAATAGATCAACCAGGCACTATATTAACCTGAATTGGGCTCTGTTGTCCAATCCACCACCTTCTCCAGCTTGCCGACTGCAGAGGTTTTGGCCACCTGGTTCTCTTGACTCCTCTTTGCATTCTCTGTCTTGACCCTCAGGCTGTTCTTGGATTGCTCATTATTTTCAGCATTCAGTCCTAAGACTTTGTCCAGGATGTCCATGACAGAACATACCAAGTACTGAAGGTGAGCTAGAATGGTGTCCTTCAAATCAGAAGTAGCCTGAGGAAGAGGAGATAATGGAGAAAGTTCTTTATTATGACCATTTTATGTTTTCAAGCAAGACAGTGGATCTGTCTGGTAGAATTAGCAGACAGGTAAATAGTAAGAAGGAGCTGTCCAGAAGTTCACTAGGCTAGTATAGTCCTAACGGAGAGCTCAGCAGCTTTTAGACCAGGGGTCTTCAAACTTGGCCCATTTATGACTTGTGGACTGCAACTCCCAGAATGCCTCAGTTGAAGTCCACAAGTCATAAAAGGGCCAAGTCTGAAGACCCCTGTTCTAGACAGGCACCAACATTTAAGTCACGAAAGCCTACATTTTTGAGATGAGAGCTACTGTATACTTAGAACATGGGTCCAGAATAAAATATGTGCAGCCAGGTTACAATCCTGGTTTAATTCAGCAAGATAGTTTTATTCTTATTATTATTATTATTTTACTTACTTCCTCCACCGGTTTCTGAAGAATGGGTATCTTTTTCTCCAAATGTTCCAAACCTTGACAAGCCAAAACATTGGCTGCCGCAACTGAACCAAAAAAAAAAAAAAAAAAAGAGAGAGAGAGAGAGAAGAATGTTAAAACAGTGCTGGAACAGAAGGGAGGGTCAGCCACTGGATGAATTGATTCCCCTGTATACACATTTCACCAAGATTCACAGACTATGTTTGGGTGGTGCACTAAACCACAGTTACAATACATGCTACCATGTTACAAAGTGCATTCCTCATCTATATTGTAATTATATGCAACCTTCAGTTTGGAGAATAGAGTATTTTGGAGAATTCTAATACATTCCATCCCTCTTCTGAACTACATCATTCCAGAGGTGGTTGGATGGTTATCCAGAAGTAAAGTTTGCAACTGGAAGTCGTTTAAGGTATTTTGGATATGGCATGGCATGAAACAGCTGGACTGCTGCCATGAAACTTCAATGCTACCAGTCTGGGGACTTCTGGGAAATCTCTGAATTACCTTGGAATGGTCTGGTAAAGGTACAGCATGGATCAGGGAAAGAAGAGAACTGTATGGAACTAACTGCCAAAAATGCCAACTCAGTGCTAGGCTGCATTAACAGAGGGATATAATCAAGATCACGTGAAGTATTAATACCACTTTACAATGCCTTGGTAAGGCCACACTTGGAATACTGCATCCAGTTTTGGTCACTACGATGCAAAAAAAAAATGTTGAGACTCTAGAAAAAGTACAGAGAAGAGGAACAAAGATGATTAGGGGACTGGAGGCTAAAACATATGAGGAACGGTTGCTGGAATTGGGAATGTCTAGTTTAATGAAGAGAAGGATGAGGGGGGACATGATAGCATCTTCCAATATTTGGGGGGGCTGCCACAAAGAAGAAGGAGTCAAGCTATTCTCCAAAGCACCTGAAGGCAGGACAAGAAGCAACGGATAGAAACTAATCAAAGAGAGAAGCAAACTAGAACTAAGGAGAAATTTCCTGACAGAATAATTAATCAGTGGAACAATCTGCCTCCAGAAGTTGTGAATGTTCCAACACTGGAAGTCTTTAAGAAGAGATTAGACAGCCATTTGTCCAAAATGGTGTAGGGTTTCCTGCCTGAGCAGGGGGTTGGACTAGATGACCTCCAAGGTCCCTTCCAACTTTATTATTGTTATTGTTATTACTACTACTACTACTACTATTACTACTACTACTAATAATAATAATAATATATTTTCCACAATATGCCTTACATAGCAATACTTTAGCCATGATGGGAAATCAAAGGCACTAAGGTACCAAAGAACTGTAATCAAATAAAATGATAAATATTTATTCACTTATCAAGTCACAGAACAATGGACTGTAATTATTTGATTCTCCCCCAGAAGATCCAGAATATGTGTCAGCAAGACACCAACCGATAGCACTACAGAGTGGACTCTGGAGATTAAAGCTGCTGACACTGTGAGAAATTAAAATGGGTGTTTGGCTCCTTTCCAAAACGAAGCGTATACAACACTTACATTGAGGCTGCAGCTTATGTACCACAGGCTTCACACTCCACAAAGCCAAGGAGCTGGCGTTCTGGAGAGCCCGCTCACCGGTGGCACACATTGATGCCATCAAGGGGTGAATCTCTTTGGCACTGGCATATGTCCTCTGGAGATGGGTGAGGGCTGAATTCACCACAGGGAACTGCAGAACTCTCTGTAACACACTGCTTTGCTGTTCAGAAGAAAATAAAATTAAAAAGAGGATGGGGATATAACCAGAGGAGAGAAAATATCCCTAGAAAGAATAGTGAAAACATTATAGTTAACTACCATTAATTCTTTCTCTGGCTTATTATTGACTGGGAATCTGGCACCTTTGCTATCCCAAACCTGTATAATAACACGTGTGGAATTTCTTTCCTAGACAGACCTGGGGATGCTGTGGTTAAAAACAACGATAAGTAATTCCAAAGGGCCATTGGTCAGCCAAGCTTGTTTATTTGTTTGTTTATGGAGAACCAACCTAGAACTAAGGAGAAATTTCCTGACAGTGAGAACAATTAACCAGTGGAATGTCTTGCCTCCAGAAGTCATGAGTGCTCCATCGCTGGAGGTTTTTAAGAAGAGATGAGACAGCCATTTGTGCAGAATGGTATAGGATCTCCTGCCCGAGCAGGGGGTGAGACTAGATGACCTCCAAAGTCCCTTCCAGCTCTGCTATTCTCTATTTAAAAAGCTGCTAATTACCAAAGATCTATTTGCTTTTCTGAGATGTTTTTTTTTCTGAGATGGTCAACCTATGATCTGAAAATACATTACTGCATAAGCTGTGTCCTGTGTCATACATGAAGAATACTGTGTATGTGTGTGTATGCACCTTCTGAACAATCTTGACTTGTGGCAACCATATGGACAAGTCCATGCCCTTTTCTTGGCAACATTTTCAGAATTGACCGGCTTCTGTCTTTCTTCCTGAGAGTGACTATCCCAACGTCACCCAGCTGGCTTCGTGCCTTGGACAGAATTAGACTCCCAGTTTCCCCGCCTGCTGCCTTAGCTTAACCAGTACAGCAAATGGGCTTGGAAGAACAACCGGTGGGACAATTTTCATCCCCAGACAGCGTAAGGGGAAGATACCTCTACCCATATGAATCTTCACCCCTTTCCCACCCCCACCCCCTGCAAGCTGCTATTTACGAAAACATGAAGAAGGCAAAAGAAATAGTCTTCGTGCTTGACATTTAGTCTGGGGAATCTTCTTTTGCCGTTTCACATTATTTGAAAGCCAAACTCTTTTCTGTAACAATGGCGCAGGTGGCTCTGTTTCAAATGAAACACATAGATGGCTTTTTAAAAAAAAATAAAAAATAAAAATGAAAATAGTAGACAGTGTCTAATTCAGCCAAGATTAAAATTTGCTTTAGACTGCAGAATTAGATCAGGTCCCCTGAAGTACAGAGAAGAGCAACAAAGATGATTAGGGGACTGGAGGCTAAAACATGTGAGGAACGGTTGCTGGAATTGGGGATGTCAATTTTAATGAAGAGAAGGACGAGGGGGGACATGATAGCAGTCTTCCAGTATCTCAGGGGCTGCCCCAAAGAAGAGGGAGTCAAGCTATTCTCCAAAGCGCCTGAAGGCAGGACAAGAAGCAACGGATGGAAACTAATCCAGGAGAGAAGCAACCTAGAACTAAGGAGAAACTTCCTGACAGTTAGAACAATTAACCAGTGGAACAACCTGCCTCCAGAAGCGGTGAATGCTCCAACACTGGAAGTTTTTAAGAAGAGACTGGACAGCCATTTGTCTGAAATGGTATAGGGTTTCCTGCCTGAGCAGGAGGTTGGACTAGATAACCTCCAAGTCCCTTCCAACTTTATTACTATTATTATTATTATTATTATTATTATTATTATTATTATTATTATTATTATTATTCTGTTGACTAGCACAAATAGTACAAATGGTGTCTCACAATGATTATTTTTTTTAGCCATTTTGAGAGCGATAATTATAGCTTTACTATAAAAAGAAGGTTTTTATTGAGTCACCTTACCTTGGGGCTTCCACTCTGCATTACTGGTTTGCTTTTGGCTGCCATTGTCCAGCATTAGCCTGCAATTAAATCATGGGGTAACGTAGGAAAAAACAAACAAACGAGATTATTTAAAAAAAAAAAAATCTGGGAATACAACCTGTATTGGAGAAAGCTGACTACAAAAATTGCCCAGCCTCTGTCAGAAAGCCAGTTCTTTGCATGCCCAACTGAATCCTGAGGATTTTAGATAGGATGGGAAAAGCAAGCTCCTATTTCCATGTGCAAGAGAAGACTTAAAAAAAAAAAAAATCTCTTGGAGGCAATAGCCAAGTTCTCGCGTTACTCTAAGCCCAAACTGGTTTGTTTGGTTTCGCTGGATCCAGTGCATGAACCCAACGGCTGTAGTTTGTAAACCATGGTTTACTGATCAACACGTTAAGCCAACCCCGTTGTGGCTTCCTTACACTTGGGTGGTACCTTGCTTAAAGTGATTCAATCACTTGAATTTCAAAGACCGTCTACAAGTGTTACGCAATGTCAGTTGCACAGGACAGCTACTCACAGGCTGCAGAAGTCTTGAACAACGTTCCAGCAGAGCCAGTCTCGACTGTGAAAGAAAAAATTCCTGCCCCAGACTATAATGCTATGAAGCCCCACCTTCCAGCTGAATAATTCTGCCAAGCTTCTTCAGGGATTAAGAAAGATGGCTCCCTCGGGCCAGCTAAAACTCAAACAGACATCTGAAATACCAGCCAAGGGCAACTCCAAATTATGGAAAGAATTGTCCAGACAACATAACAAAATGTGAAAACTGCCATCTCTCAGGATCTTTGGAAAGTACCTACAGTAATCCAACATTTTTGGGGGGATGGGGTGGAGAATCTAGGTGCTTTTAGGGAATGCCTTGGTCACACACACACACACACACACACACACACACACACACACCTTGATGCACAGGCTTTATTTTCTACATTAGCTTGGCAATTCTTGGCATACACCTGGAAGTGAGGGAACCCCCCCCCCTTCTCCTGGCCTTCCGTAAAGGTGTAAAAAGATGGCTCTGCTGTCTTGCTTGGGGCGTGCAGAGACGCACACAGCCCTGGGGCCTGTTATTACCCTAAAAGCCCTCCTCCCACTTTTTCAATTAATTTTTTTCACATCCCTTACCTCTTTTAAATTTTAGATACTGCTTCTTATGCTTTTCATATGCTTTTCATGTTTTATGCTATACCACCCTGTGTCCCTTACCTCTCGCACGAATGAAGGCGAATAAACGTGTCCCAGGATAATGTTGCAGGATCCAATCTAGATCAGTTGCCGGGACCAGAGGTTTAGTCTTCCGAGCTTCTGGACTTGTGCTGGACTTGAGCTACAAATATTTTCTTCTTTTGGCAAAGTCCTGGGGCTGGTGGCAAATCTTTTGAAAGTATGTGATGGACACACTCAGAAAACTGCTCCTAAGTCAAAGTCTGTCAAAGCAACATCCATCCATCATCCTTCTGGATGTTATGCATCATATAAGGAAGACCTTTGTGGACCCATAAGCACAAATACCAGAGCTTGGTGTTTTTGTGTGTGTGTATGGCATTGAAACCTCCTATTTATTTATTTTTAATTGGAAAGTATTTTTGGGGGGAATCAGCTGCAAGAAGGGAGATGGTGTCTAGGATATCTATAATCAGACATTGCCAGCGACTCCTTTATAACTATGAAAAATCCTTCCGTGAATCCCACAGTTTTCAATATGTTGTTCATGCTAAAATAACATTTTTTTTGTTGTTGTTGCAGAGGTAGGGAAAGATGGATCAGCTCATCCTCACCCCACTATTTCATCTAATACCTGCTTCTTTTGACTCATGAAAACCACCACCTCCTCTTTTGCAGGTTTAATGCTTTTCACCCTAATTCGTTACTCCGTGATGTAGGCAAAAAAGCAAAAGAGATTATGTAAATTAGAAAATTCTTCCCTTAAGCCTGGCAAAGAGGCACTGAAGCACAAAGGGCAACAGCCATCCCAAAATGAAATATTTGGCAACAACTATACAGTTGGCCGAGAGAGGACTGAAGGCATTTAAAAAAAATAATCTAGAAGACAAATTCATTTTAGGCTTATACATGGGGGACATTAAAGGAGACAACTGCACTTCACCCTGAAAAATGGTCGTAAGCCCCTTTTTTCGGCGCCGTTGTAACTTTGAACCGTCACTAAAGGAACTGTTGTAAATTGAGAACTACCCGTATATGTCTTACTATGCACAATAAACTAGCAGGAGACTCGTTTCCAAAGTGAAAAGTTTAGATATTCTTTTATTTACATTTTTTTTCTCAGCCAAAATAGAAATACAATTGCACTTATTCCGGAGAGAATCAGAATTCTGAAGAAAAAGGCACAATACTGTTCCTGAATCCCATTCCCCCCCAAGAAAAGCAAACTGTCTCATTTCTAGCAATGTACAGATTAAGCACAAACTTTAAGTTTGAATCAGAATACTGAAGAAAAAGGCACAATACTGTTCCTGAATCCCATTCCCCCCAAGAAAAGCAAACTGTCTCATTTCTAGCAATGTACAGATTAAGCACAAACTTTAAGTATAAACTTTCTCCCTCACTCCCACTGCACATTTAGCACCTGAAAACAATGCTCCATACTGTATAAACCTTCTTTCAGGGGATCCAATGTGTTTGTGACGAATAAATGCTCATCGTCATTCCACAGGCAAAAGAATTAGCGTGACATTAAAAAACAAAATCATAAAAAAACTTCGCAGTCTGCCAGAAACAAGAATAGCTAAATGTTAGCTAGAGACAGCAGTTTGGGGGCCTGTAAACATGTACTGTTTCTGGTTAAAGAGGGTTAGTTAAGCTCTGGAATTCATCCCGGATAACAGCAATAAACCCTTAAAAAGCAATGCTGGGGGGTGGGGGAGAAATACGTAATCTAAAAGGCAATTCTGTTTCAAATTAACTTCAAATCCGCTGTTCTCTATCCCAGAACGAAAGACTTGACTGGCTCCTCACCAAGGTTTGAGACCGACACATCTTGAGTAGGGACAGTTTTGCTTGTTTCGTTGCGTAGCTGGAAAAAGGTCTTCGGTCAAGGACGTTTTATCGCTCTCCCAACTTAATCCAGGTCATTTGGGCTGCCCAATATGACAGCCCAAGGAAAAGAAGAAGAAAGAATTCAACTAGGGTTTGGGAGGACAAAACTCCATCATCAAAGAAGTGGAGGCCAATATGCACCAGGGGTGAAACAAGCTCCAAGTCAATGCTTCAACCGTAGGTGTGGCTTCATCACAGTAAGGATTCCCACCAGGGAGGAGATGACACCACACAGCCCTATAACTCCAGAGTTGGTCTTGTAGATGCCCAGTCGGTCCAACGGACTAAAGATATCACAAAGGTTCTTGACCGTATCCAGCAAGAGGGGTGGGTAGTTCTTTAATGTGAGGAAGGCAAGCAGGAGAAAAGTCTGTAGCTCACCGTTGGTCAGGAAAGCCACATTCTGAAATTTCTGCCTGCCGGCTGTCGAGGTCTTTTGGGGCTTCTGGCTGGAGGTGGTCTGCTTCATGCGCCAGCAGAGCTCATAAAAATCCTTGACCAGGTTTATCACCAGGGAATAGTAGTAGCACTTGGTCGCCCATTTGCGCCACTTCTTCTCATTGATCTCCGAGAGGAGCCCAACGCTCTTCACCCACAAGACGGTGTCACAGGCAAAGTACATAACCCGGTTCATATTGGAGGCAGTCAGGAAGAAGCGAGGAATGATGTACGGCAACTGAGAAGCTTGATGGGCTGCCACGACGGCATGCACGATATTGCCAAGCCTAAACACTGCAAGAGAAACCAGAGCTGAAACAGGGTGGTGGAAATAGGCCTGGAGTCTGACGGCGCCACTGATGCATCACGTGCAGCCACGTACTCCGTCAGCTTTGGGCAATGACACAATTCAAGGTAGGAGAATAATGGGGGAGAATAAAAATGGTTTTGCCCAATAAGATAATGAACTTAGGGTCCAGGGTTGAGTTCCAGTTCTGGAAAGCTACTACTAAAACACTCCAGTTCATTGATGGCTACTCCCAGATTTCATCAAGGGTGATCTTCTGTAATCTCTCTCTCTCTCCCTCCCTCCCCCTCTCCCTCTCTCCCTCCATCCCTCTCTCTCTCCAACCATCCATCATCTATCCATCCATCCATCCATCCATCTCTATCTATCTATCTATCTATCTATCTATCTATCTATCTATCTATCTATCTATCTATCTATCTATCTAGTTCCATTATGTATTCAAGATGGACAGTGATTAATATTTATATGTTATTTATATGTAAGAGTATAAGTCTACATATGTTGTATATAGTATATAGTATGTTGTATATAGTATATTTAAATGTGTGTTATGTATGTGTACACTTTGAGAGCAACTAAATTTCATTTTTAATGTGTGCCATTGTGCCCACAGTAAAAAATGACAATAAAGGTTACCTAATCTAACAATATCATTATCCATCTCTCTCTCTCTCATCTATCTGTCTGTCTGCCTGTCTGTCTGTCTAGCTAGCTACCTAGCTAGGTATCTATCTATCTATCTATCTATCTATCTATCTATCTATCTATCTATCTATCTATCTATCTATCTATCTATCTATCTATCTACCTACCTACCTACCTACCTACCTACCTACCTACCTATCTATCATCTATCAATATCATTATCCATCTCTCTCTCTCTCTCTCTCTCTCTCTGAAGAAACTTCTTGGATGAGAAGTGAAATGTCTTCAAAGAAAAACAAGAAAGTCCAGTTGCTTCATGAAAAAGCATCTTTGGGACAACTATGACTTGGATGACTGAGAATCTCCATAGGCATTTACAACATTCTTTGAATATTTTGAACCAAGCTGCAATGATGGAGTCCCTTACCATTCCTGCAATCAAGTTCCATCATTAAAAGAAAGGCTGGGGGGGGGGGAAACAGATATCAAGCCCCACAAGCACAAATGAGGACGTTTGTCATGTCAAAGCCAAAAAATACACAGCTCCCTGTCTCCTGGTTAAATGTCAACAAATGTGGATGATTTTAAATGGAAAAGAAAAGGCTGCTGCACTTAACAATACAAACACACCATTGTACAACAGCAAAGGTAGGAACTGGGAAAGGATCAGGCCAGTCAAACAGGCTATTCTCACCCCAGAGCAAAAAGAATAGTAATAGCACATTCCTTATGCAAATTCATACGTGCAAATTGATGAAGCCTACATTAGGACACAAAAATCCAGGTCATGTAAATGCAATAATCATGACATAGTAAACTAATTGAGAAATTTTGATTAAGAAGCAGACCTGGCTTTCCCATGCAGGCACAAGGAATGAAGGTCAGCAAGTAGGAATCAGCAGTTCCCAAGTTAGAGAAAGTCATAACACTTGGAGACTCTCAAGGCCTCCAGGCCATCAAGAGAACAGCCCAAAGATATCTTGGCTCAGGAAAGCAGAAAAATACAGAATTTAAGCCTCTGAGCACTGACCTATTTAAAGAGCTTTGATTGCAATATTCCCGCAGTGGACAAATCTGGATCTATTACGTCATTCCAGGCAAACCCAACCAAAGGGATCATAGGAGCTTTGGAAGGCATCAAAGCTGAGCAAGGTTGAAGTACAGATGAATCATCCATCTACTACTGCAACCAGTAAGGAACCCTCGCCGTTAAATTCCCATCAGGAACTGTCCATAAAGCCAAAATCCTTTACAAATGACAAAAATCAGAGTATAACCCTAGGCATTATTCAACATTTTCTTTTCTGGGACTTACTCCTAAGTAAGGAGAGTTGTGAACTTCAGCCCGAGTCACTGTGCCTCAGCATGAGTGAAGCAGTCCACGATGGAAGCAGATGAGATGCTTAAAAGCTTACCCCTTCCCATGGTCTCAACAACGGTGGGACTATTTTGATCAATAAATTAAGGACAGGTTTACTTTTCCTCTTCACTCATGTTCAATTATCACAGACTGTCTGGACAAGCCCCTGAAGTTTTCTTGGCAAGGTTTTTTTTTTTTTTTTTTTTTTAAAAAAAAGCAGTTTGCCATTGCCTCCCTCCAAAGGCTAAGAAAAAGTGACTGGCCCAAGTTCACCCAGCTGGTGACCTAGAACTAGAACTAGAACTCCCGGTCTTCCCATTTCTAGCCTGATGCCATTACACCAAACTGGCTCTCAAGGGCAGCATTGCAAGATTCCTAGTCCGTAACCCAATTCTGGTACACAGTATTGAGGTGTTACTTTACTTTTTTTCTTTTTAAAAAGGTGACTGTTCTTTCTACCCCATCCACCTACCCCTTACTTTGGGACTGTCAGCAATCCACTTCTTCTTTCTACCCCATCCACCTACCCTTTACTTTGGGACTGTCAGCAATCCACTTCTTCTTTCTACCCCATCCACCTATCCCTTACTTTGGGACTGTCAGCAATCCACTTCTTTCCCTTTTCTTTCTTCAACATACACAGTATCTAAAACTAACATACTCACTCTTGCGTCCTGAGCTCATGCTTGATTCCAGAAGTCTGAGCTTCATAACCACTTTCTCTCGGTGAGTCTTACGCTCTAGAATATAACTAAGCAGCATGCATGAATACTGAGTTGCTCTGGAAAGGGAAGCAAAGAGAGGTGCATCGCTGGTCACACATCACAAGCAAAGCGGGCTGTGTCTTCCCACAAGGAAAGCGAAGGAGATATATACATACGTACATAGAGAGAGAGAGAGAGACATATTATGCGCACGGGTTCCTTCCTCCCTGTGCAGAAGATGCTAGAGGGCTGTTGAGCTGTAAGGCAAGTTTTCTAATATATAGTTTTGCACAAGGTAAAGTTGCTCAGTCAGAGGAGATGTCGCAAGTGGTGCATAAGAATCTATTCAATTATCCTGGAAAAACATGTTTATTTCCAAAAGCATTTGCTGGCAAAAAAAAAAAAAAAAGGGGGGCTGTCTCTTCCAAACCTCCTCTCAGTGCTGGTTATCGGAAGACCATTTACAATTATTTTATGTTAAATAATAAAATATACAAACACCAGGACATTCTAAAACTATAAAAAGTTTTAATAGAATAAAACCAAGTTTTCACTGGCAGCTGCCAGTGAAAGCTTGGTTTTATTCTATTAAAACTTTTTATAGTTTTAGAATTTCCTGGTGTTCGTATATTTTATTATTTAACATGAATCTACCCAGGAATCACCGTTTTGTTTTTAATATTCTTAAGAATAATTATTAGATAGATAGATAGATAGATAGATAGATAGATAGATAGATAGATAGATAGATAAATTTTATTAGTTTTTATAGGGTTAGGGAGAGGGGATTAGGATTGGGATTTGGGTTAGGGTTGGGGTTTTTCCAAGTAACATTTTCAATATTTAGCAAACAGCATAATGTCTGGGTACATGTATTCAACTAACAATAATAGATATATATATAATATATATTCGAACTTACATATCACATTCCTTTCTCTCTGACTTGTTTTTCTAGCCATTGATAGAAATTATCCCACGTTTTAAAATACACCGAATCTTCTTTCTCTTTCATCTTTAAAGTCAATCTATCCATTTCTGCACACTCTAGAATTTTCTTAATTAGTACTTTTTCAGTTGGTAAGTTTTCATTTTTCTAATATTGGGCAAATACAATTCTTGCTGTTGTTCATATAGGTAGTATTAGATATCTACAATCTTTCTCATAGTTGGCTCTTATTATTCCTAACAGAAATAATTCTGGTTTAAAGTCTATTTCGTTTTTTTTAGTCATCTTCTCCAACCATAAATGTATTTTAAGCCAAAATCTTTTTTGCTTTAGGGCATGTCCACCAGAACCATTTACAATTCTTGTGAAGCAGCTGGAATCCACGATGGGATAACACTTTGAATCCTGCAGAAAAGGCATCATAACAGAATGAATAAAACAAACAGCCAATTTCTTGCATCTGTGGAGTATCCATCATGACAGGTCATAACACTATTGATTTATTTTTTTCCTTTTTGCTCCTACCTGAACATCCATGAAACTGAACCTGGGGGCTTTACACCACCTTTTCTGGCGTTATACATTAAGCAGTATCTTGGTATAACCGACAAACGGTTGAAGCAGGACTTTTGAGAGTGAGGTTTGTTTCCATCTACAGCTGTGGGAGAACTGATCACGCTGAGCCTAGAGCCAACTTTGAGTCCAATTTATTGCACAAATGTTGTGCTGTTGCAAAGGCAAAACTGAAGGACAGATTACTACCCACTTTGCCTTGAGGGTATGAGGGTGAGGTGGGTTGTGAAGTTGCCAAATAACAATCCCTCGGCTCAATGTCAATTTTAAAAGCAGCCTGCAATGCTGAAAGATAAGTTTACATAACACCGGCTAATAATAACACAAAGCAGGTAAGGCTAAAACAAAGCCTGCGTTGGCAACTCTTTGGCATGGTTATTTTTTTTTTCTACCTCTCTCAACAGGCCTGGAGGAAAGAGATGGGGGAAATTTATTAGGCAGAGGTACATGTGATCTGTGTGATTCTCACACCTCCATAAAGCAGCAAGATCATCATTCCCAGACATGATTTGTTTTGCTCAAAAACCTTCCCCTGCGAAATTATCAGGCAAGGCTGTTTCTCCTACCAGATTTATTTATTTACATTTTCTTATTGATATCTTGTGGGATGATGCAGGGATCCCTTTCCCTGGAATCTGATTTCCATCATGTTTATGGGACATCTTCAATCTTCCACCACCCTGTCAAAAGCTTCCATGGCTGGGAATCCAGCAAACTGTGGTCCCAACACATTTGGAGGACAGCAGGTAAATATACCAGGTTTGGGATTTTTTTGCCTGTCTGGGGAACTAGGTTATTTTTTTGTGTACAATCCACAAAATAACAGTGCTCTGTGATGTCATGCTGGCGACATGACCACGGAAATGTCTTCGGACAGCACCTGCTCAATGGCCTTGGAATGGAGATGAGCATGACACCCTGTAGTTGGCGAATGAAGTTAAAAGGAACTCATTGTCCTTTACCTTTACAATCCACAACAGAAGGCAACTTTGACCCCGCCAGCACCTGTTAAATCTCAGCAATTCTCCACTCTCTTTCATTGCTGACATTGCATTCTTTGCAGTATTTATACCTTGTGCAATTTCCATGTGGGAGTGGAGCTGCGTTTGCAAATCACTGAGAAGTAGGAGTGAAGAGCTATGAAGAAATATGTCAATTATACTGATGCCTCTCTCTCTCAATTATACTGATGCCTCAATGCAAATATTCCTACAACTCCTTCAAGTTATCAGATCTGCGACTGCCATCACACAACTGCCAACCTTGATTAATGTGAGCCTTAACATGTTGTGCAAACTCAGTCATTGTGTGAACCAACGTCTTACGCAACACCAGGGAACAGGTTGTTCAGTAATCAGATGACCACGTTGTGCAAAGGTATCTGTAGCCTATATTCACACAAGTCTGATGAAGCCCAAGAGGGTGAAGGAATACCCTGTCTCACACCTGATTGGTCAGTTTTCCTGTGGCTTTAGACTAAAATCCAGAACCCACGAGTCCTGTGGACTTGAAATTTGCCAAAATTTCTAAAACGTTTTATGGTAAAAATGATCACAAAGCATCTTGTGACATAATATACTGAAGTTTGACTGTGCTACATGGCTCAATCCAGGCTACTTTCAAGGCATTGCTGAATATCTCTCTGAACTTCTAGCAACTTTTCCAGTGAAGGCATTGAGGAATAAGCTTGACCAGCCCAAAGCACTTGAGGGCAAGACAAAAAGTACTGGGTGGAAGCCAGTTAAAGAGAGTTCCAACTAAGGAGAAATTTCCTAACAGTGAGAACAATTAATCAGTGGAATGGCTTGCTTCAGGAACAGAACAGAACAGAACAGAATAATTGGAAGGGTGGAGGTCATCTAGTCATCTAGTCCAACTGGCTGCTCAGGCAGGAAACCCTATGGCATTTCAGACAAATGGTTGTCCAATCTCTTCTTAAAAACTTCCAATGTTGGAGCATTCACCACTTCTGGAGGCAGGTTGTTCCACTGATTCATTGTTCTCAGCATCAGGAAATTCCTCCTTAGTTCTAGGTTGCTTCTCTCCTTGATTAGTTTCCATCCCCATCGCTTCTTGTCCTGCCTTCAAGCTCTTTGGAGAATAGCTTGACTCCCTCTTCTTTGGGGCAACCCCTGAGATATTGGAACACTGCTCTCCTGTCACCCCTCGTCCTTCTCTTCATTAAAGAAGCTGTGGGTGCTCCATCACTGAAGACTCTCAAAAACGAGACTGGACAGCTACTTGTCTGAAAGGGTATAGGGCAGGGGTTCTCACTGGCTGAGGAATTCTGGGAGTTGAAGTCCACAAGTCTTAAAGTGGCCAAGGTTGAGAACCCTTGGTCTAGGGTCTCCTGCTCAGGCAGGGGGTTGGACTAGAAGACCTCCAAGGTCCCTTCCAACCCAATGCTTCTAAGATCTATCTCAACTAGGAGTTGCAAAGGGGAGGGTCGTGGGAACCCAACCCGACGGGCTGCGAGTCCCCTGCCCCTGGGGGGGGGGGCTCTGCACGCTCCCTGCAAAGGAGGGGGGCCGCCACCCCCTCTTCCCCGCCCCCCTCACCGAAAGAGGCGCTCCCGACCCTGCGTCTGGTTGGTGAAGTGCACAAAAGCCTCCATGCCACCTGCAGCCACCGCGCCGGACCGCTCCGAACTCCGGACAGGAATCAGCTGTTTCTCCGGGGAGGGAGGGAGGGCAGGGAGGGGGCGGGGCCGAACCGTGGCCACGCCCCGGCCTTCCATGCCCTGGACTCCATTTCCCGTCCTTCCCTTCTTCCTTCCGCCCGGGGTTGCCACAGCAACGCGTCAACTTCCGGAGACAGGTGTGCGCTCAGGGGGGGGGGGGACAGGTATGTGCAGAATTAGGCGAAAGCCACGAAGAGGATTTTTTTTTTTTTTCCCCTCCAGGAGCTTCGATTTGGGGCTGCTTCGCCTGCGGGAATCATTTTTCTTTGCTTTTGAACGGAGCTTTTCCCAACCAGGGGACTGCAGCACCCATTATCCCCAGCTGAGGGGTGTGTGTGTGTGTGTGTGTGTGTGTGTGTGTGGAGTTGCAGTTCAACGCCTCTAAAAGCGCCCCCAGGGCTTAGAGGAAGGGAACCTTTTGCCAACCGCAAGATTTCCAGCGAGGGTTGAGCCTCTGGGATGCCCTGGAAACCTTGTTTTGTTTTTGTTCGTTTGCGTTTTTGTTTCTGTTTTGCTTGTGTTTTGTTTGTGTTTGCTTTGCTTTGCTTTGCTTAGGTTTTGTTTTGTTTCTGGGTCTGCCCAGCTCAAACGAGGGCAGTGTACGAAAAAGTGCTTTTAAAAGAAAAACAAAGTTTCCCTAAGTATTGCAAAACAGTGTCATGTTGCATTGAGAGTTGGCAAGGGTGTGTGTGTGTGTGTGTGTGTGTGTGTGTAGGATTGCAGCAAAGCAATAAATGGGTTGCATACAGGGCCAGTTTGGTGCAACGGTTAAGCCACCTGGCTAGAAACCAGGACATTGTGAATTCTAGTCCCACCTTAGGTATGAAAGCCAGCTGGGTGACTTTGGGCTAGTTGGTCTCTCTCAGCCCAACCTGCCTCACAGGACTGTTGTTATGGGAAGGGGGGAATAGGAGGAGAAAAGAGTGTTAGGTATATTTGGTGCTTTGAATTATTTATGAAAAAGAAAGGTGGGGATTAAAAAAAGAAAGCTTGAGAGTGATCTTTGCTTCTCTCTCTTTCAAAACCAAATCCCACCTTCCCTATTTAGCAAGGCTGATTGGTAATTGGATTGAATTTTATGGCAGAACTCAGCTGAGCCGAAGAGAAGATGCCTTTTTATCTTCGGAAGCAGCACTTGGACATTCCTGCACCCACCGAAAAAGACTGGATTAAAAAAGACGAAGAGGAAAATTTCTTCCAGAATGACCCCGACGAACTCCTAGACTCGTTGCCTCAGCCTTTCTGCATGATCAATAAAATATTGAAAGACTTGTTTGAAAGAGCCTGGGAACGAATTGAAGAAAGGCGCCCGTTACAGGAGACGAAGCAGCAAAGTTTCACACCCTTACTCTGTCACCCTACAAATAAATTCATGGTAATCTAAGGCTCTTTCAGATAAAGAGTCCAAGGAAACTTTGATATGTGACCTTGGCATCATATTATTTTTCTTCTACAGCATCATCCTCTTGGACAACCACATTGGTTTTCTTTTGGCTATAATTTCAGGGAGATATGAATTGGACGATACCACCAAGACATAAATCTAAATATTTCTAGATCATCCCTTTGCCCCAGAGACCCCTTATTTATAATTCCATCAAAACCATTAAAATTAGCACGGGTTTATTAAATATTTTTAATGAGTCAGAGAAGTTAAAGCATGGAACCAGTTAAAAGCTAGATGAAGTAAAATATATATATATCCTCCATATAAAGACATTGTAGTATAGAAAGATTGGAATTATTATGACATTCATATCGTATGTTCACGTTTCTGAGGTAAACATGTTCTCTTCTTTTAAATCTTCCCAGGTATCAGGGAGGGTAAACTGCCTGTCAGCTTCTGAAGGGTACATCTTTATGGGGCACTCCACTGGGATTTCTGTCTTCAGCTCAACCACCTGTGAAAACGTGTCTACTTGGGAGGCAACCAAACTTGAAATTTGTTCCATTCAGCTGTCAGTCCTTGGTGGTGTCTCCCATCTCCTTGGAACGGTGGATGAGATGGGTAGGCAGCTATACATTTATGTTCATTAAGAATGAACGGTTAATTTGCTGATTGGTTCACAATTTATTATGAGTGTTATTCAATGAAGTCTTGTAAGATGAGTTTCAAGTTTTTCCTATTTACTAGCCATGGAGAATAAACTTCTTCCTCCATCTGAAGAAATGATTTTCATTTATGAGAATTAGCATTCTCAGCCAATCAAAGTATAGTTAACTGGATAAATAAAGGCACCATCTAGGTGTATGCTAATGAACATGAAGGAAAAAATTGCCCTCCCCTAGAATCATTCTTGTTTTGTTTTCCAGGTTTTGCACGTCTTTTTTGTTTTGTCAGAGAAAACCTCTTGCATATAAGATCCATAAATGAAGTGGTGAGTTTGTCTCATATTAGCTGCTAGTGCTTATATTTATCTACCTGTCATTTTTCAGTTGTCTAAATTGTACCTTTTTGAACATCCCAGTTATTAAAACCCATTGTGTGATTCCCATAATCTTAAAAAAGTTATGTTTTTAATTGAACTATTGTCAGAGTTTAAAATCTAAGCAGAATCGGGTCTGGTTAGTACTTAAAGGGAAGATCTCCAGGGCTATAGACGTAGATTTAGAAGGGGAAAAAAATATCTAGGAGAAGGCTGTGTCAAGAATACTGCATGGACAGTTCAATTTGAAGAAGACTTTCTTTTTTCTTTATTAGTTGGGAGGATATTACTGCACACATGTCTTCTGAAGCCACTTTAACGAGACATCTGGTTGACCACTGTGCAAAAAAAAGTACAGGTAGTCCTCAATTTCCAACAGTTCATTTAAGGAATGTTCAAAGATACATGAAAAAAGTGACTTATGATCCTGTTTCACACTTATGACCATTGCAGTGTCCCATGGTCACATGATCAGAATTTGGACACTTGGCAATCAGCTATTTATGACGGCAGCAGTGTCCCGGTTGTAAAAGATTGTAAAAATGGGGCAAAATTAACAATTTTGGCAACAGAAATTTTGGGCTCAATTGTGGTCATTAAGTCGAGGATTATCTGTGCTGGGCTGAATTCTTGTCCCCCTCAGACCTTCTCCAATAAAGTCTTTTGCTTTTCTGTCCAATCTCTCAAGGAGCTGCAGCAAAAATATGCAGTTTTGGACTCCTTGCTATTCTGGTTGAATAGGCCTAGCTTGATCTCATATTTCGTATTCTCCTGTTTGTCAGGAAGATATCAGCAAACGAAACGTCTGCGTGGCACTGGAGCTTTCTCAGGAGAGTGACTATGCAGGATTCCTGCTACAAGGCAAGTCTCAGCCTCTCTTAACCTTCTGATGTGCTTGAGGTCCAGATCTATATTTGGGTGGTTTTGATATATAATAATAATAATAATAATAATAATAATAATAATAATAATAATAATAATCAAGGGTAGTACCAATAGTCATAGGCTCCTTGGGTGCAATCCCAAAACAACTGGAGCACCACTTGAACACAATTGGCATTGACAAATTCGCTATTAGTCAATTGCAAAAGGCGGCCTTATTAGGAACTGCTTCCATCCTACGACGATATCTGTAATACCATCAAACATCCACATCTGCCTATCCTAGGTCCTGGGTAAGGACTCGATAGGTAGACAAAATGCCAAATCTAGTCTGAACATCTGGATGACTGTGCGATGATCCATAATAATAAAGTTGGAAGGGACCTTGGAGATCATCAAGTCCAACCCCCTGCTCAGGCAGGAAACCCTACACCATTTCAGACAAATGGCTGTCCAGTCTCTTCATAAAAACTTCCAGTGTTGGTGCATTTACCGCTTCTGGAGGCAAGTGGTTCCATTGGTTAATTGTTCTCATTGTCAGGAAGTTCTAAGTCCTTAGTTCTAAGTTGCTTCTCTCTTTGGTTAGCTTCCACCCGTTACTTCTTGTCCTGCCTTCAGGTGCTTTGGAGAATAGCTTGACTCCCTCTTCTTTGGGGCAGCCCCTGAGATATTGGAACACTGCTATCATGTCCCCCCTCATCCTTCTCTTCGTTAAAGTAGACATACCCAATTCCAGCAGCCGTCTTTGAAAATAGCCCTTCCTACTAAAGTACTGAATTTGCCCTACTCATGATGAATCCCAAAGGTGCTTTTTCATGAGGCAACTGGACTTCCTTATTTTTTCTTTGAAGACATTTCACCTCATCCAATAAGCTTTTTCAGTTCTCAAGGAGCTTCTTGGATGAGAGGCAAAACATCTTCAAAAACAAAAAAGCAAGGAAGTCCAGTTGCCTCGTGAAAAAGCATCTTTGGGATTATTTATTTATTTATGAGACTTATATACCGCTTTAAGTGCAGGCACTCTCTAAGCAGTGTACACCAGTAAGCAATGTATATATATATATATATATTTACATTGCCCCCAACAATCTGGGTCCTCAGATTGACCTCGATATCCGAGAATCTCCATAGACATTTTACTATGGATTAAATTTGTTTGAAGTCCAAGTCCCTGGAGGCACACCATTATTATTTTTTTAATCTACCTAATCATAGATTTCATAATCGTGGCATGATTTTGATATTTTGTTTCTATATGGAGATGCGGAATGCATTTGGATATGTTTATAATTCGTATACACAAACAACAGTAATTTGTATCATAAAGAGCCAGCTTGTTTTTTCTCTCTCTAAAACCTGATTTACAGCATAACATGCCATTATCTTGTTAGAATAGTTGTGTTGAAATCCAAGCTGCATTATTAACACTGAACAGTATTTAATATTTCAAGTTTGGAGACAGTGAATACTTTTGAATGCATGTCTGACTTCTTTTTTTTTCACTTTGCAAATCAGGCTCAAGCAGTTCTGCAACTGACTTCCCTTTTATATATATACTCAAAAGTTTAAGGAATTTCCATTAGAAATTTTCTAAAACTCCTGAGAGCTGCTCGAACAGCAGGGGACAACTTGCAGCCTCTAAAAACTTTTCCTTTTTGCAGTCTGAGCCCGTTCCAACTGCAGAATTAAGTCTCAGGTCATTTTAAAGTGGAAAATATAAAATAACTTTTCTATCAGCATATAACATTTTATACACTGACCCGGGTTTTGGTGAGATGGGCAGTTATATGAATTTGACAAATATACATAAATAAGCTTGAAACAGTTTTAAAAAAACAATAGAAAATCTCAGCTCAACTTGTATACTTCCCACTTTGTCTCATTCCTTGAATTGGCCCTGTCATCCATCTAAACTGGATCACATTTACATCTCCTGCCCAGTAAAATTTGTTCACCTTTTACTTGTGTTTGACAGACATGTCAAACACAAGGCCCGGGGGCCGGATGCGGCCCGCGAAGTGGTTTCATGTGGCCCATGAAGCCATCCTGGAAACAGTGAGGAAACGGCCTCCGCTGCCTTGGCCAATGTACAATTTTGTGGTGGCCATCTATGCTGAAATGCATTCAGTCTTAGCTCCACAAGGCCATCTAGAAATAGTGAGGAACCAGCCCCTGCCGTGTCGGCCCTGCACCCTGGGTGCATGCTGGGGAGGTGTCACCCTTTGTGAGGAATGAAGAAATGGACCATGCCTCGGCGCTTGCCCCGGTCCCACCCCCTTCTGCCAGAGACCCTAAGATCTGTCCCATTCCTGCCTAGCCCCCCACAGGCACCCTTGATGTAGAGCTGGCCATGCCCACCCAGTAGGCCACACCCACTCCATCTATGCCTACCCAGTAGGCTGCACCCCCCTGGCCGCCCCCCCTGCCCCCCCCCCCGAGGGCAACCACAATGCTGATACGGTCCTCAATGAAATTGAGTTTGACACCCCTGTCCTAGAATTAACAATTAACAGTGAGTGGGGGCAAAAATCTGTGAATCTGTTTTTGTTGTCATGGGACACGGTTAATAATAAGAATCATTCTGTATTTTAAAGGACTGTGAGACCTTTCTTCTCCTTCTTTATTGCTTAATGTGCTTTCTTCTGATTTCTCAAAAAAGGCAGCTCTGAATCTTGGCTGGAGATTTACCGATTGCCTAAGGATTCCTGGCAGAAGGAGACGGAACATCTCCATACAATTGCTCTCCCAGGTTCAGGATTTGTCAAGGACACGGGGCTCAGCCAGCTGCCTGTGCAAGAGAAATTACCAGAGAGATCTATGGTAAAAATCACTTTTTTTACAAGTCCAAATGATTAGCAGCTGTAAGTTTTCCATTTAACTGAAGAAATATCACTAATGTTCTCAAGGCACCTTATTGCTAAACCGTCTTGACCCAACATTTAAACCAGTGTTTCCCAAACTTGACAATTTTAAGGCATGTGGACTTCAACTCCCAGAATTCCACAGCGAGCGTTGCTGGCTGTGGAATTCTGGGAGTTGAAGTCCACATGCCTTAAAATTGTCAAGTTTGGGAAACACTGATTTAAACCATATAATCTGCTCTCAGTGATGATCTATGTTGTGCACTACAACACAGATATGGCCGGAGAATGAGCTTATCTCTCTCTAATTGTGTTAAAAGTGCCTAAAACAGCTCAGTTGTCTATGGGGCTCTCCCTGAGAATTAACCTTAATTTTGGATTTTCTTTCTTCTTAAAATTTATATCTGGTGATGCCAGATAGAAGCGTCCTGCTATTTTCTTCTGACAGAATACTTCTCCCCTCTAGGATGTCTATTCACATTTAGTAGTTTTTAATAAAATGAGCCAAGATGATAAGAGTCCTTTTCAAATAAGAATCGGAACCTGCTTGCTCTTTGGGTTTCTGGTGTTGCTGTTGTTTGGTTAGGGGTTCTAAGAGCTGTACTAATTCCATGGAAGTGTAGTTTTAGGTAGAGTCAGAACATCTACCTAAGTTCTTCCAACGTTGTTCTATGTATTTCTGAACCATTGATGTTTTTGTATTTCTATAGCACAAGAATGTTGATATTCAAGTAACTGAAGATATGGTAAGCAATCCTGACTTTGAACTCTTTAGGTTGTTAATTGGCTGAAAACAGCCCTAGTCAAACAACTCGATTGTCAAGAAGTGTGCTTTGAGAAGGAAGTTATAAAATGGGGCGCCATGGATACAATTTTTTATTCTGTATGTTACTCCCATTCCATCCTTGGAAGCAGTGGTGGGATTCAGATATGTGAACAACCAGTTATCTGTATGGATGCCACTTCTGGGCCTGGTCAACAAAAAATTAGCTACCAGTTCTGCTGAAGTGGTGAGAACCAGCTGAATCCCACCACAGGAAGGAAGGAAGGAAGGAAGGAAGGAAGGAAGGAAGGAAGGAAGGAAGGAAGGAAGGAAGGAAGGAAGGAACGAAGGAAGGGAGGAAGGAAGGGAGGGAGGGAGGGAGGGAGGGAAGAAGGAAGGAAGGAAGGAAGCAAGGAAGGAAGGAAGCAAGCAAGGAAGGAGTGGTGGGATTCAGATATGTGAACAACCAGTTCTCTATATGGATGCCACTTCTGGAAGTCCATTCTGGGCCTGGTCAACAGAAAATTAGCTACCAGTTCTGCCCAAGTAGTGCGAACTGGCTGAATCCCACCACTGCTTGGAAGGCTTTGGTCCCACTTGGTTATGTACATTGGAAAAAAGCACATTTTGAAGAAGAAGAAGAAGAAGAGGAAGAGGAAGAGGAAGAGGAAGAGGAAGAAGAAGAAGAAGAAGAAGAAGAAGAAGAAGAAGAAGAAGAAGAAGAAGAAGAAGAAGAAGAAGAAGAAGAAGAAGAAGAAGAAGAAGAAGAAGAAGAAGAAGAAGAAGAAGAAGAAGAAGAAGAAGAAGAAGAAGAAGAAGAAGAAGAAGAAGAAGAAGAAGAAGAAGAAGAAGAAGAAGAAGAAAGAAGATGATGGAATGGTGGGGTGATCAAAAACAGGGAGAAGTCTGTGGCATCCCTTTTATTTCCAAGAGTGCCTGTGGGCTTTAATCAGGTCTCATAAACTTTCACGGAAAATAGAAATGGTAGCTAGTTGCAGCTCAGGGCTCCCTTGGGCCAGAAAAAGAGATCAAGAGAATCTGGGGTTATGGGCAGAATCCTGGGTAAAAGAGATCTAGATGACAAAAGGGAACATTTTGATAAATCAATAGAGGGAATCGGTTGCATTTACTGTGGTAACCATTTTGTGTGACTGCCCACAATGTGTTTGCAAAAATCTACAGGCACTCACCCAACCCCCCAAAAGCTGAAATAGTCCTATTCTACTATATCCCATTTCTTGATGTCTTTCTTGATGGCCACATCAATCATGAATGGTGTTGAGTGAGAAGTCTTCAAGATGTCTTCTAGGGCAAGGTTCTGCAACCTTGACAACTTTAAGACTGGTGGACTTCAGCTCCCAGAATTCCTCAGCCAGCTATGCTGGCTGAGGAATTCTGGGAGCTGAAGTCCACAAATCTTAAAGTTGTGAAGGTTGTAGACCCTGTTCTAGGGCTTGTTTTCTCCACAAGACTTCAAAGAAAGCCACTGAGTTTTGACTTTAAAACTGAAATGGCACTCTGGGGCTATGAAGTACCCAGCCAGTCTTCAGAATCCAGTTGAGTCAGTACAGCATTGTGCTAAGCATCTGGTACCAGATGTTGACAAATTGATGAAACATTGCGACATTACAACTTAGAGCCCGCCTTTCAAAACCTTTCACCCTGATTCTTGACACAAAAACATAAGTTATGGAATTTTCATTGGGATGTTGCGAGACATGTTTCATCATTTACCCCTTTTACTGCCACACCCCCTACCCTTCACACTCATCTACGAGCTGTGAGGAAAGTTGCAAAGTCTTATCCTGATTGGTTAGTTATGTCTAAAGAGGACAGTATTTAGGATAGGATAACCCAGAAGTCTCCAGTCTCCTTTAGACTGTTGGGCATGTTTGAAATATTTCAAATTTGACATTGGACTGTTAAATTTCAGCCACTTTCTAAGGCTGCGGGCACCTTAGAAAATGATTGCTAGTATTAAAGTGGAAGATGCACTAGCTGTAGTAAATCACAAAGCACCTATTTGCCACTTATGATCTCCTCCTCCTCCTCTTCTCCTTCTCCCTCTCCCCCCTCCTCCTCCTCCTCCTCCTCTTCTTCTTCTTCTTCTTCTTCTTCTTCTTCTTCTTCTTCTTCTTCTTCTTCTTCTTCTTCTTCTTCTTCTTCTTATTCTTCTTCTTCTTCTTCTTCTTCTTCTTCTTCTTCTTCTTCTTCTTCTTCTTCTTCTTCTTCTTCTTCTTCTTCTTCTTCTTCTTCTTCTTCTTCTTATTCTTCTTCTTCTTCTTCTTCTTCTTCTTCTTCTTCTCCTCCTCCTCCTCCTCCTCCTCCTCCTCCTCCTCCTCCTCCTCCTCCCTCTGCTCCTCCTCCTCCTCTGGGTCTCTGCTGGCTACCAGAGAAAATGACACTAATGCCCACGGACATCATGCCACCCATTTATAGTCCAACCAGAAATTGCTTGACTCCTCAAATCCTGATTTTATCAAGGAGCAGCATCAAACACATTGTTTAGAATTGCCATTTTGATTCTTTGCAGGATTTGCAACAGCTACTAAGCAAAATTGAATCTAAGCTGCTTCCCCCTGTTCTACTGTTGAAGGTCAGACCACCCAAACCTCTTTCAGGTTAGAAACCTTCTCAACTCTTTCTTGTTTTCTCAACTTTTGTACTTCACTGTGCAAAAGGTTCTGGGAGAGAACCTGACATAGTTAGCAACACCATTGCTGACACAAGCCTTCCTAATCTTGTCTAAGAGGCTGGGTCAATGATGTTGATTCTTATTACTATATTATTATAATTGTTGATAACGACTTTTTTTTTAAATAATGGGGTAATGAAATATTTATATTAGTTGGACTGAGATCTGAAAAAAAGGCTTCATTCTTTAGGGGGGAAAAAATGAAGCAGAGCTAAGTTGTTATGAAAGACCTTGTTCCACAAAGCTGATTTGTTGCACCGCCTAAAGCTGCACCAAGAGGAACAAGTGTCTTTAAACACTACTACCTCCAATGTTCTCAAGAGAAAGAGAGGGAAAAAATGTTATTTTTCAGGAACTGCTACCTGTGCATTGGGCGTCGGCAAATGGATCCCCTTGTGGTCATCAGTATATGGAACTGCATACTTATTTCTCAAGGTGCTACTCTATGTATTTGCCTATGTTTCTTAGCCTTAGCCATTTTGAGATAGGCGGACTTCAACTCCCAGAATCCCTCAGCCAGCAGCACGTATGGATTTCAGCTCCCAGAATTCTGGGAGTTGAAGTTCACCCATCTTAAGGTTGCCAAAGTTGAGAAATAAGGCTTAGAAATAAGCCTCCCTGTAATTCCTTGGCATTTTAACTCCAAGGGCTTTCAACCTGAGCCTCTTACTTAATTAGTTCACCTATTTCTTTTTTTCTAAAAGTCCAAGGATTATCGCTCCCTCATATTAAAGATAAAGAAACAAAACAAGCAGAAGCAAATTTCAAGGGGATTGGATTGAGGGAGAAGGGGGCTCTCTTAACACCGTTGCGGATGTGTTGAAATTCCAGTAAGCGCATTCAGGAGCCCGTTCGAGGCTATAATGAAGAGCGATGAAGGCAACGTCATTGGCCTGGGCTACAACACCTTGATCAGAGAGTGCCAGATGGAATGTCTGCAAGAGATTTTCAACAGCAAGTTCCAACAGTATCTGGAGATAGAGGATGATCTGGAGAGCAAAGAGGAAACACTTAGGTAAGCAGAGGAAAAGATCTGCTTCGGCTGTTGATTTCCAGTTGCATTGTTTAGGGCAGAGGTCCCCAACCGTTTGAGCACCAGCGACCACCGGTTCTGTGGAGAGAGGTTTTTCCACGGACCGGAGGGTGCATGTTTTTGTGTACTGCCTGCATCCCGCAGATGGGGGATGTCGTGGCCCAGTACTGGTCCACAGACCGGGGGTTGGGGACCCCTGGTTTAGAGTATATAATCATACCATGTAATTCTGTTGCTGAGATGAAGCTGGTAAGGTGTAGGAAACCTGGTTTCCTAAGATGATTTGATAACATTTTTCTGATTTTTATAATAGCCTTCCCATTGTTTTTCCAGTCATTTTGGCCATCAGGATTTCAACCGTAATAGATTTGGAGGGAACCAGCTTACAGAAGGCTACTTATATGTGCATTTTAATTGGAAGATAGCAATAGCACTTAGACTTATATACCACTTCACAGTGCTTTACAGGCCTCTCTAAGTGGTTTATAGAGTCAGCATCTTGCCCCCAACAATCTGGATCCTCATTTTACCAGCTTTGGAAGAATGGAAGGTTGAGTCAACCTTGAGCTGGTTAGGATTGAACTCCTGGCAGTGAGCAGTGAATTAGTCTGCAATACTGCATTCTAACCACAGCACCTCCATGGCTCCCCCTCCTTTTTTTTAAATACTTTTTTTAAAAAACAATTTGAGTGACATACAAGTAACCCTAATAAATAACACTCCTCTAAACCATTGTTGCTGGCTTTCTTAAACTGTTACTGGCTTCCTTGAAATCTCGTGATAATGTGTGTGTTTTCACGAATTGTCATCTCTGTCTATTTTAGTTGTGCAAAATTCCATTTTCACTTACCTGGCCGCACCTTTCAAACTGGAACGGAATTAAAAGCTGAGGCAGGTAATTTCCCCGCTCTGGGCAGGACCCTGAATTGTCTTGACGAAACTCCTTCAGCAGAATTATAGTATGAATACGAACACAAATCAACATGTTTAGACCCAGGAGTCTGCACTCTGTGGGTGGGATCTTAACTTGCGCGTTTCTTTCCTGATTCTCATTTTCCCATGGTCCTTCCAAAGGAAAGAATAGGGGGTGGGAAAATAAAATCCTTTGCCTTTTAATTTTTTTCTCAGGACCTTATCTCTGTGATCCCTTGGTTTTGTTTACATTTTCTAGATATGCCTGTCGCCTTCAGTGTTCACTGGAGCAACAGTCACAATCTTTGCTTCTATTTCCTGAGTCGTCCACCCAAGGAAAAACCTGGTAATGCTACTGTGGAGTCTCTTACAAGAGTTTTCTGAAGTTTTTATGTGCATTTCAGACTTTCTGGTGATATATTTCAGACTCGTCAAGATATAATCCTCTGTACAAACTGTTTTATTGGGGGGGACTGAAATTCAACAGCCAAATCCTGGTATCAGATCATATTTCATAAAAATAAAAAAGAGTACAGGACATCTGAGTCATAAGAATTTGGCACTGGGAGTTGCCCCATGATTTTAGCTCCATTTATTTGCAAAACAAAACAAAACACAAACAAAGTCTAAACATGTGTATAGTTTTCGGTCTTGAATAAGCAGCTTTAGGCATGCTGCTTTTAAAATTAGTCACCTGAAAAAACTCTCTTTTCCAAAACATACTTTTGAGATTACACATTTTGCTAAGTGTAGTTTGTTTTCACCCTAGTTGCGCTGAATATGCTGCGGTTGGTTAGATTTGTGCAACATTCTTAGCCATAAATTGCAGTGACTGGGTTCACATGACACATTAAGGGGAAACTAAAGTCACTTCATGAGGGTTTAGCACTGTGTGTATTTAGCTTCTGGGTCAGACAGTTGGCCCATCTCACTCAAAGCTCATAAATGCTGAAACACATAATCCAGCATCACCGTGGGACCCAGGGTTGCCAGTTTCTGTAGTAATTTGATAGAGTATGGATTCTGTTTATTCCTATGTGTAGTTCTATGAATCAAAAGGAAGGAGGTGGAGAATCTGGAGGGGTGCTTAGCAGAAGACAATGTTCTTTCCCTACTATGGGGCCCATCTCTCATACGATTCTCTGTTCTTTCTAGATTCTGATCCCAAGCCAGATATTCTTTGGCCATGTGCTGCTCCGATTGTATATTCAACTGTCAGCCCTTGTTCGTCTTACTTCGCCTTTGCCTGTGAAGATAGGGTTATTACTTTGTGGGACACATCAGTTGGTGAGCGTTTTCCCTATCAGCTCGGGAAAGTTAGATAAAAGGAGAATTCCCACCCTGAAATTTTATCACGGTGGCAAACCACTTCTCTTAAACCAAGAGTTTTCTAAGTGATGGGCCAGGACTTCACTCCTTAAATAAGCTGAGTACCATTTTCTTCTTCTACTTCCATATAACTAAGCATCTTATTTTATCACACGCATACCCCAAATTACATTTGGTTGGAAACCTTGTGGGGGAGGTTGGACTTTAATTACCTAAATATTTAGGAGATTGTCCAATTCTAGAAGACTTTGGACAGTATGCAACATGGGCTGGGCTTGTAATGTAAGAAGAAGCCCATGGCATTTTTGCGTCGCTTAGGCTAGTACCTACTCTCTACTAATTTCTGCAGAAAGTTGACTCTGGCATAGTGAAGTAAACTGTTAGGAGAGCCTTGATAAAGAGGAGCCTACTACCCTCCATCTCCATTTGTGCTTTTCTAGGGTTTCCATTCTCTGCCATGGTGCTTCCCGAAAACTACGTTGCACGAAACATTCAATTCATGCCACGTTTACTACCATCCAGAGAGAAGACGTCTTGCTGTAGTAAGGATCCTGCCCATACCATGGTGCAGCTTTTGGTGCTGTGCACAGATGGGTCACTTCACCTGCTCACATCGGGGACCAAAGAATTTAGGTCCAAGTTATTAGGAATCAGGTGAGGCAGCCCACATAAAGGTCCAGAACATTTGAGGAAATGGGGATGATCTCCACAAGCGGCATTCTCTGGCCCTGATTTTCCCTGAAGAAGAAATACAGGCTATCTTGCCAACTACTGCAACGTAATTGTGTTCGTGACAAAAAGGCATTGCATTTTATTGCTTTTAGGGATGTCCATTGGCACAACCAGCCAAGATTGGAAATGTCCTTATTTGAAAAGAGTGTAGGCAATTGGAATCCACTGTAATTGCAAAGCTTGGGTGTTTCTTGAAACCATTTAAGAATGCTGTTGATTCTTAATTCATTCTATTTGTCCAAGAAAACAGATGAGAATTTAAGAGAGAGGATTGGGAAAACAAAGAATAACTATGAGAGGGCAGATGCACGAGAGTCATGCAGATGCTAAGAAAAGAATTTGTCCATTAAAGAAGGTGGACCCGTACAAACACAACTCGGAGAACTGGTTTTAGAATTTTTTTTAACCCTTCTTCCACCCTTTTCCATGATCTGTTTTCCCTAATTCCACACTATCGAATGACACCTTCTTGGAGATTCAATGGTACTGTAATATTGAATTTTTTCTTTAAAAAAAAAAGGCCAAAGGGTTTTGGGATGGGATTTTTTTCCAGGCCAACATGACTATTTTTTTTTTTTTAACAAGGACGGAAATTGAATCTTTCTAGAATTTTTAAGGGAATTTCTGGTGCCATTCTAGAATGTTATTGTGCAAGCCTGAGGGCTAATACTATATTCTGTGTAAAAAAAATGAACTCTGCGCACTAGACCGGTTTGTCGAACAAGTTGAAATAGGGTTGGTGGGCAATGCACAATAAATTCCATTAGTCTTTATGGTCATTTTAGATCAGAATCAACGAAGGACTGAACACAGTTCTCTTAAACAGTTGTATGACTTACAACTCTCTTGGTCATTAATAGGCTTTTCTGAAGATACTAAGTGAAAAAAAGTACATAAAGTCACTTTTTTAATAGGCCTGAGGTTCCTGATCAGACCGTCAGTGGTGTGGCCACCATTCCAACTTTGCCTGATGCGGTGAGTGCCATATTGTTACTTCCTAAAAATTTCTCGTCTCTCTCCAAATCCAAGAAACCTGAAGGTGGGAGATCAAGGGAGAGGTGCTTAGAGATGAAATTAAATGCTATAACACAACACCCCATGAGTGTGTGGAAGTCATGAGTGCATGTCCTTTTTCTTTCTCCCAGGTGCTGATTTTCTTCTGGATTGGCGTCATTAATCTGATGGATACCACGACCGATGAGATCATTTGCCAATTCATGGTGCCACCTTCCTACAAAGTTGCATCCCCTTGGCAGCCCGTTTTTTCCATGGATACAAATGGCAGGTGGTTGGCCGTCCAAGGTAAGGCGTTCTGGAAAGGCACACCCACACCCGAACACGTAAGGAGAGGCAGGGTTCCTCTTTTAAGCAATGTCTTGAATTTCTTCAATGATTTCCTCAGCTCTCAAATTCTGGCTCACCTTCAACTTCTCCTTCTCCTTCTCCTTCTCCTTTAGAAGAGCTTGTTAGATCCTACTGGTATCATCCTTGGAGCACTTCCACAGTGCCATCATTTTATAAAGCTGTCATGGTTCCGAAAGAAGAAGCTCTTCAAAGAACTTTGAGGCATTGTTTACCTTAAAGAATCTTTAATTTGCAATATAGCTCCTGACAGTGAGAACAATTAACCAGTGGAACAGCCTGCCTCCAGAAGCAGTAAATGCTCCAACACTGGAAGTTTTTAAGAAGAGACTGGACAGCCATTTGTCCGAAATGGTGTAGGGTTTCCTGCCTGAGCAGGGGGTTGGACTAGATGACCTCCAAGATCCCTTCCAACTTTACTACTCTTACTATTACTACTAGCTTCGGCACAGTACATAGAGAAGCCAAAATCTAAAATTCTCCTCCCCCAAACACACAGTATCTAAGCATAATTCACTCCTTCATTTAACAGTCATTAATCACATTCTCCAATTAGTTTGAAGTGTGAACTTACCCTCCCATTATCTCCTCTTATTACAACTAACCTTGAAGAATACTCTACTGAGATATTGTTATAGCTAACTAGTCCCCAAGCACATTCTTCTCCCTTCCCTCCAGCACCATCTAATATTTACTCTAAAGGTAATACACAGAAAATGTCTGCATCTTTATATATTGTCAAGCAAGAACATTTGATGTTAGCAGCATTGACATAAGCATTTTGAAGGCGATTAACAATCGTTTCCACGTTTGTCGGCCTCAGAGCCCTGAGCAGGACAGGTGGCTTAATTTGTCTTGCTTGATTTCTCTCTTAATTCTAATTCTGCCGCTTGATTAATCAATCTAAGGTGGACCTTTTAAAATAGGAAGGCTATAAATAATCTCTAACCCTAACCTTTCAACTACAGGGGAGTCTAAGGCTGGTAAAGCGGAAATGGAAACCATCTTTATTTATGACTTCAGCACATATTCTTTCATGGAAACGTTTGCTGCAAAAGCTGAGAATCTACCTGCTGCCTTTCCAGAATTGCCCTGGGACAAACGTTGTGATCTTTTCTTAAATAACAAGTAAGTCGACAGCAGCATTTCCTATTTTTTTAGAAACGAGACCGACCTTTTTTTCATGGAGGACTGCTCTTTTTTTTTAAACCAAGCAAAATTATCATTCTGAAAGGTCGAATTAAATATATTGAAAGAAGGCACCGTAGGTGTATCTAATCTCTTTAATTTTGTTACCTATGAGTTGTTGTTTTTTTTGCTGTGGTTTTGATCGCATTTTGGTCTGGCCCATTTACTCTTTCTGGAATGCAGCCCCTCGCCAAAATCAGTACTGGCCTCCCAAAAGCATCTTTAGATCTTTAGAAAAAATCTTTACCATTTTTAGCTGAACTCTTCTTCCAGTCCTAGTTATTCCGGGGGAAGAAAAAAAACACAAACTACAACTATCACAGTACTTTCCTGAAATGTGCACTTTATCCATAGAATCACTAGATGGCAATATGATGTGTGCAATGAATTTACGACTGGTTAGCTAGATTAAACTTAGAAGATGAGTAAGAGATAGGTGCTGCTTTGAACAAATGAGGATGATGTTTAATAATTGTGTGTAATGCAGACAAGGGAAATTCCAGTGGGGCTTATTTAGCTTCATCTTGGCTCATATGTGACTCTGGACTATAACCCTACAATCATAGTCCAGCAAATAATGGCTTGCCGCAGTGCCCAAACTGAGTGACTCTTGGTTTGTCTAGCCCAGTGGTTCTCAACCTGTGGGTCAGGACCCCATTTGGGGTCGAACGACCATTTCACGGGGGTCGCAAAACAACGCAGTCCGCCATTTTTTCCTCCCTTTTCCTTAGCTGTGCTACTCCCTTTTATTCTATTGGCTTTTGAAAGCCAATAGAATAGACTCTCTTGAATAGAGTCTAATTCTATTGGCTTTCAAAAGCCCATAGGAATTGTCCAGGCTGTCTCTGCCCTGCTGAGCCCACCAAAAGTTCCATTCTGCAAATGGTGCTGCACCAGTTGAGTAGTCCTCGACTTACGACCGGTTGAGCAGTCCTCGACTTACGACCGGTTGGGGGAGTCGCGGCATTAAAAAGGTTGAGAACCACTGGTCTAGCCCAATGCTATCCACAGTGGCGGCTATCAGTTTTGAACATGGGACCTGACTTAACTCTTTTGATTGGAACTGTCAGAGCATAGAGTTGGGACCTGCAGGATCAATGCCATTTCTGCTCCCAGTGCCACGATATTTCCTACTTTGCTCAGCGTTAGTTCTTTTACCATAAATGGTCTGTGGGAAGTTCATTCCCACATACCATTACAGCTACCTTTGGGGTTGAGTCCTTTCGACCAACTCTTCACACTCCAAACAGAGGGAGCATGCCAGGAATTGAACCAGAGGAGTAAAAACCGTTTGGTGGAACACATTCCCAACATGCTACCCTAATACTCTTTAGCAGGAGCAGCTGTTAAGAGCAATGTCCTATTTTGAGAGTTATTTTGTCGATCTATTTGCAAAGGCCGCTAAAATCCTATATATCTGAAAGCACTGTGAAAACTTAAAAGTGCCATACAAATCCAGGAGTAACTGTCTGGGAGCCGGGGAACCCAGTTACAAATAATTTACTCCCCAGGCAATGAGGGGAACAAAAACCCGAACCCAAACCAAAGGGAGCTGGAATCACTATTTGTGTCTCTTGGCTAGTTTGCAGAGGCTGTCCACAATTAGCCAACAGATGCCAGAATGCTGGAGCCAGCTGCAGGAATATGCAGCCAGCTTGAAGAGGAAGATGTTTGGTGAAGTGAATGTGCAGCAAGAGTTCAGGTTGGTTTCTGTTCTTTGTCACTCCCAGAGACAGATGCTGAATCATAATTGCTTTGATCAACCCAGGACAGATATTGTTCTTTGTGTTCCCTATCGCAAAGATGCTCTGTGGATATTTTGCATGTCAGCTCAGGAAACAGGGCTAATATCAGGCGACAGAGAATAGTACCCCAAAATATTTGGATGGTAACAGAATGAGTTCCCTATTTCTATACCTATCTCCTTTATTACCTGGGTTAAAAAGCGACTGTGTTACCTTTGCCCCGCCATGTTTAAAGGCATGTTGGTTGGCTACACGCCACGTTTAAAGGCACTTAACCCGACCCAGCTTTTTTTTTTCGGAAATGAAATGAAAAAGATGAATTACCTAACCACTGGGTGAATTTTTAACAGCCAGAATTTTCATCAGTGCTGACGTGGGAATCACTGGAGTTGTTAAGCTAGTAACAACTAACTTAACAGTTAAGCTTCTCCATTGACTTCATTTGTCGTGATCATGTAACCCTGGGACACTGCAACCATCATAAATATGAGTCAGTCACCAAGCATCTGAATTTTGATCACATGATCATGGAGATGCTGCAACGGTCCTAAGTGTGAAAATAAGTCACTCTTTTCCAGAGCCATGGTAACTTTGAACGGTCACTAAACAAATGTTGTAGATCGAGGACTACCTAATTAAAACAGGTTTTGAACAGGGCAGCTTTTGCAAATACTCAGATTACGATTATTTGCAAAAGTCCTGTTAGTGTTTATCCTGTATATATGCTTTGCTATATTACGGAATCATCGTTGATGTGGCAAGCTTCCATTTCAAAAGTTGTCCCTGATGTGCTCCCCTAAATCAAACATTGTCCAGCGAGAAGAAAAATGTAAAAGTAGACTTTCTGCTCAAACCTACCAATCTTGCTGGGTGAAGACTGCATTCAAAGATTTCAATCAAAGGCCGTTTGAACTAATCAGATTTTACTTCTGAATTCATAGGGATAAAAAAAAACAAAATGCCCCTAAATAAGTCCAGCAATGGATGAGTTTTTGTGCAGCCGTACAAAAGCAACCTCCCCAAATCAGACTGCCTTTCTGAATCCATTAAGCAGACTGAGATCCCTCAGTTTTTCCACGGGTGGGGAAATGAGGCTTTCCTTTGCTTTTTAGACTACATGAAGCCCATTTTAGAAGGTACGCTATAATTTTATTTCCCACCTACAAAGGAGGGCAAAATTGTGCTGCCAAATTTCGGCCAACTGTGCCACAGAATTCTGGGGAGGATTCTGAGGGCCACAAAAATGTGTTGGGGAGCAGGTTATCTACCCTAGCAATACGCTGTCCATTTTGAACCATACCTCTTGATAGGCCTTCTGTTGAAGGGCAGACAATCACTCAGCGGTGGAAAAGTAAAGTAAAAAAAAAAAAAATGTACTTAGGAATCATGTCTGCTGATATCTAGAATCCTGTCCATTTGCCTTTTGTTATAATACTTTCTACCATTATGTTGTTTCTGAGATCATAAAAACGAGTTCTCTTATAGCAGTTCTTCTCTGTTTTAGCTTTTTTCCTGGGACTAGCGAAGAAGTATTACATGTTGACCCGGAACCTGAAATACCATCAACCTAAGCAGCAACTTTGCCATCTGATTCCATTTTTGGACACTTTTAAATAGCATCTGGTTTCTTGCAAGCCATTATTTCATTTAAAAGGAAGGAACAAGGTCAGAAACCAAGTATGGAAGAATTAACATGGGAATGGAGCCTCCAGTTGCCTTTGGAGGCTCAAAGAGTAATCTCTATTATATACTTCAGAGTATGAGAAGACAGCAGGGGATAGGGACCAAATGCCTTGGAGGTCTATGATGCTAAGAAACATACAAGAAATTTATACCAAAATACTTGTTTCTCCTCCTTTTGCATCCGTTCAGACGGATCTTAAGCCTGCAGATAAAGCCTTCGTTTGGTTATTATTATTATTATTAATTTTAAAAGCAAGATGGACCTGAACAATAGATGTCATTACTACTCTTTTTTTTTTTACAAATAAACATAGCACTTACTTTGACAATATTGGAACTATCTGGAAATGAAAGACTCTGGTGTGATCCAATTCTAATTTCAGTTTGGCTGGGTAGAGGTGCCACTTTTTCCCCATCGACGGTGACAGATTTTTCCCAAAACAATAGAGAGCATTCTTCAATATCCCTAAGAATCATCATCCATTAGGAGGATCAGATGTAACAGCAGATCACGGTGAGCAAATGAGGAGAAACCTGGGGGGTCTTTTTCCTTTCCTTCTGCACATCACAATTCCACTACTTGGCTTCTGTTCAATGTAACCCTGAAATCATACTGCTGATTCGCAAAACATGTTAAGTTATAATGTGGCTTGTCTGTGGCTCAATGTTTTTTTGTTTTGTTTTGTGAATCCAGCCATTATTGTTTCTGAATCACTGGCTAGCTCAGCGAGTTTGGCAAATCCAGCAAATGGAAAATCAGTTATAATCTGGGCTGGTAAAGAGTGATCTGCTCTCGCCTAGCGGAGTTTGATCAAAATAAAGCAGCAAATTATCATTTGAATTCATACACACCTGAAATAAGTAACTTCTTGCTCAGTGCTTTTTTGTACTTTTGGTATGAAGGTTTTGTCTGAATTATTACTTGTTTAGGGGTGGGGTGTGAGTGGGGAAATGTTTCAGGAAGCTTTCTTGTGTGTGCACCTGCCTTCATCTGGTTGTAGATTTGCAACAGCTATCCATTAGGTTGGAGATTATTAGAGGCTGCTATTCAATAAACAGAATTTTAGCTGCTCGGCAGTCCACAAGAGAGCACTCGTGCAACACATCCCAATTCTATGCTTCCTTCAAGAGCCTAGCTTCGTTACAGGCCAAATGGACCTCAGCAACATCTTTTGGGGGAATTAAATGGGAACGCCTAGGATAAAACAGGACTGGCTTCACCCTATTACATCAGCCTGTCCCACCCAGCCAGGCAGAGAAGATATATTGCAGAGTTAAAGCACAGGTCCCCAGCCTTTTGGGCACCAGGGACCGGTTCCGTGAAAAGAGGTTTTTCCGCAGACCAGAGGGAGCGTGATTTTGTGTGCTGCCTGCATCCCGCGGATGGGGCTTTGTTTGTTTGTGCGACCGATTGCTGGCATGCCTTGGCCCAGTACTGGTCCACGGACCGGGGGTGGGGACCCCTGAGTTAAAGAACTCTGACTGGTGGGGTCTAGGAAGAGAACTTTCTCTGCCATTGTCCCCACCCTGTGAAATATTCCAGTCCCTCCAGAGGGGAGGCAGGCCTCCACTCTCCTGATCTTCCAGAAAAGGGTTAAAACAGGGCTCTGCAGCCTTGCATAGGGAACCCAAAAGAGCATGCAGTTGTGGAGTTCGTTGGTGCTATGAGAGTCCTCCCAACTAATTCTTAATAGCACTTAATTATTCTTGCCTTCTGTTTTAAAAAAAACAAACTGAACACTTTAATTTTTAATATACTGTTTTTATATTTTAATGTTTTATCATACAGCCACCCAGAGTCCCCTCTTTGTGGGAGATGGGTGGTTGAGGATTGCAATAAATAAATATTACGGTCGTGGGTACTCCATCTCTGGAGGGATTTAAGAAGAGACTGGAGAGCCATTTGTTTGAAATGATAAAGGCTCCCCTACTTAAGCAGAGGGTTGGGCTAGAAGACCTCCAAGATCCCTTACAACTCTGTTATTCCGTAATATCCATCAATACGGAAAGCTCCAGTTTACTGCTCTGCCTGTATGTTTCCTTTATCTTTTCTCTCTTTCAGGATTACACTGTTATTTATATAATTGGCCTTGCATTGCTTCTTCCATTGGTTATTTCTGCACGTTTGGAAAAACAAGCAAATCTATGCCTAATGATGGAACAAGGAACCTACAACACCACTCCATCTTCTGTCTAAATTTTACCTGCCACAGAGATATATGTAGAAAAAGGAGAGCTTTAACCGATTTAAAAGGGGGAAGGAAGCTAAAAAATATTGTATTTTAAAGTTCCAGGCCCCACCCTTTTATTTGAGACAGAATACAAATGCCATCTTCGCAGCTTTTATGTTCCTTCCCGAGTTTCTTCATTTAAGCCGGGCCTCACGATAATCTAATTAGTTTTTGCCGTCTTTTGAAAAGCTGGGCCTTTTCCATTTGGATAAATTGGGGCCTGAAACAGTTCCTTCATATTATTAGGAAACAAAGGGCTTTATTTATTTCTTTCATTGTCACCAGAGACGACAGCACAAGCTAAAAATCATTCTAAGTGATGTTCCACCTCCCAAGAAGGTCATCCGGCAGTTACAAAGCACCGGCAGAAATGATTGATGAGAGATTAACAAAGGGCGCTCCGGCATACTTGCCAGTGACAAGATCAGCGGGATGGAATTTTCGTGCTGATTCAAAAAACACCTTCCTTGCTGTCTGGTGAGAATGGCATGTTTACAAAGGCTGCGTTTTCCTCTTTTTAAAAAACCGTATAATTTGGCTACAGAGAAGGTAGAAATGTTTCAAAAGAAAAATGGAACAAAGCAGGCCTTTTATATTTTGTTAAGGTCTAGCTTTGAAATGACCCCCTGAGTAAGTATGGAAAATGATACCAAAGGAAGAGCAGAGGGGATTATGGCTGTCAGACCAGCCTTGTCCCTCCAATTACTTCCACCATCAAGAATAAATAGGTCATTGAAAATGCTCGTGATTAACAGTGTATTTTTGTTTGGTAAATGACAGCTCTTTCTGAAAGCTGTTCAGATCAACAGCACTGTCTGAAACTTGCACAATCTTTTTCTTAAGCTCTATAAGTATAGAGAAAAAGCAGCATAGCCCAGAGTCGGAGTCAAGAGAGGAATCAGAATCTCTACATTCCCACAAACAAGCCCAACCCCTCTTGAATTCTGTTAGCCCTTATCCTAATATCCTAATGTTAGCCTAATAGTGCCAACCATTAGTTGACTAGATTCCTGTACATAGGCATCAGCTTAATTGGAACTTAAGGTGTGGCTCTCGTCTTTCGCGTCTGGCATTAGGCTAGTTTTTAGCCTCTCGTGCTGCCTCATTCATGTCATTGACTTAATTCGCTTGCTATTGCCGCATTTGCCCACCTTAAATAGATTATGGCTGTGCATGTTCCACACCACATCTTTTAGGAGACATCTAGACGAAGCCACTGGAAATGGTGTATTGTTTGAATATTAACAATACTGCAGTTCTCTGTCTTTGCACGTTATGCCACAAAGGGCTTATCTTGCTGTTCTGATAAGCACTATTCTACTTCAACACCTTTCCCCAAGCTGACTCATTGCAAATGTTCTTGGACTGGAATTCCCAGGATTCTCACCAATCATGGGCTTGCCTTTTCTGCCTCAGTGGCCACATCGATAGTAACGAGCCACACTGTCAAGAGTCCAATCCCTCCATACACATTCCCAAGATAATTGGGTTTATTTCCTTCATCTTTAGCATCATTTTATTTGTTGGAGGTAAAACGAAAACAGTTCCTGTGTTTTTCCCACCTTCTCAGCATTTTCTAATAGCAATTTAAATATTAGAAGTCATTTGTAGGTCACTATTTCCCAAGGAGCATTATCTTACATTGTACATTGTTCTTTTCTGCACTAGTAAAATCATTTTGTTCTAGGCTTCTTGAAGTTGCGGGTTTTCTAAGAATTGTTTTAATTGAAAATACTAAAATATTTATTCCCTGTTCTTTCGGTCTGAAAGGTTTTCAGATTATGAAAAACAGGTTTCCTACCACGTAGAATCTACAAAGACAGGTCACAAAAGAAAGAAGCACAGAGGAGTTTCTCCTAAAGCAATGGTTCTCAATCTGTGGGTCGGGACCCCATTTGGGGTCGAACGACCATTTCACGGGGGTCGCCAAACAACGCAGTCCGCCATTTTTTCCCCCCTTTTCCTTAGCTGTGCTACTCCTTTTTATTCTATTGGCTTTTGAAAGCCAATAGAATAGACTCTCTTGAATAGAGTCTAATTCTATTGGCTTTCAAAAGCCAATAGGAATTGTCCAGGCTGTCTCTGCCCTGCTGAGCCCACCAAAATTCCACTTCTGCAAACGGTGCTGCACCAGTTGAGTAGTCCTCGACTTACGATTGGTTGAGTAGTCCTCGACTTACGACCGGTTGGGGGTCGCAGCATTAAGAAGGTTGAGAACCATGTCCTAAAGCTATATATGGATACAATTCTAATGGGGGGATGTTGTAAATTGACCTTGAGAAACAGGAGGAAGAGCTACATAATGAACAACCATCATACAAAAAATATCTCAGCCCACAGAAGGAAAAGAGCTGCGGATAGTATGTCAGAGAAAAGAGAGGGGGAAAAAAAAACCCTCACATGCCAGAGAAAATAAAGAATCCTCTATGTCATGAAACATCCCGATTAAAGCTTCAAGATGTGCTCCTGAGGTGGATGAAATGGCATACCTTTTGAACTGCTGCAAATTTAATAAAGACTGTTGATGATTTGTCTCACTCATAACAGTGCATTTGCTGCTGCTTCTTTCTTTTTCTGTTCATATTTTTTGTGCAACTAACCCTCCCCTCGAATACATCTGGGTTACAGTAGAAGAAAGGCAATGGGCAAAGGAGGAGGAATGTCTGATTCAAGCAACAACTAGAAGGAGGAACGTAGTCACGCCATAGCCAAGCCAATATCCTTGGCTTACAGAACCACTGGACCATATCCTAACCATACGTGAGGCATTTGCACACCAACTAGGCTAAAATGGGTTGGAGAGTTTGTGGTTCCACATCTCGTGTGGATACAGTCATGAGAACTTTGATGGAGTTTGGTGATGTAGAAGAGCACAGAGATGGCCTTGGATAAAATGTGCAGTAGCCCCTAGTAAAGGATAAGCTTAGTTCAGGAAACCAAGATTGCCCTGCCTTCAAGGGAAAGAAGGGGAAATGCTATCAAGCTTTCAAGATTCTGTTATCATAGCCTATATCAAGGAAATAAAATTCTGGTATTTCTCATATCTGATTCCAGACTTGGTCTACCTTGTACAAAGGCTGCGCCAATTGGGTTATGCTTCAGAAAAATTACTGGATTGGAAAAATGGCATATAGATAAAGTAGGATAATTGATTATGCATTGATATTCATTAAATAATACCACCTTCAACTATTTAGATTGTCATATAGTACATAAAGGTTCAGAGTGCTTTGAACTTTAGAAATGGTTGAAAGAGTCCTACCTATCCATTCAGGCACAGATTGGTTAATGTTTTTTTTTGTTTTTAATCTTCATTAATATTCCTAGGTTCTTTCCTACCTTCACCCCTTTCTAAGGAGCTAACCCTAATCCTTTCGAAGGAGCTCACCAGACTAAATTATTAAACAAATTAAAAAGAAGAAAACATTTAAATAGACACGGCAAGAAAAACAACCTATCAAATTTACTAACAATAAAGAAAATGAAAGTTCAGCCAGAAAGACAAAACAAATTAATTAGCTCAAATATTGATGAAATGTGATGGACCAGCCCATTTAAACATTTCAGCTATGGCAGTGATGGCGAACCTTTTAGAGACCGAGTGCCCAAACTGCAATCCAAAACCCACTTATGCATCGTCGAGTGCTGGGTGGGCATGGCCCATTAGGTGGGTGTGGCCCATTGGGTGGGCGTGGCTGTGGTGGTAACAGCAGACTGGGTGGGACTAAAAAGTTAAATCAATCAATTCCAACTTTGCAAGATCTTTTTTTTCCCACGAGAAGTTGAAATTGACTGATTGAACCTTTTTTTTTTTTTTTTTGCACATGGCGGTGGAGGCCTAAAGTGAAAAGGTTTTATAAAACCCAGCTGAAGGCCTAAGACTGGGGTGATGGTGCACTTGCCCAGAGAAAGAGCTCTGAGTGCCGCCTCTGGCACCCGTGCCATAGGTTCACCACCACTGAGCTATGGAGTACAATAAAAGAGTGTTTGTGAAATCAGTACCACGGACAGTGCACAAAAGACTGTTGAGTTAACAAGTTTCAACAGGCAGGTAAATTCTGGAGCTATTGCTGCAAGTTCTTCTCATCCTCTCTCCTTAGGAAATCCTAATCCAACAAGAAATATGTATATTTATCTATTTCTGGTTCCACCTTTTTTGATCATAATTCTATTCCATCTTTTATTTTTTTTTTTTTGAAAAAAAATGGACACGTCCCATTTCCTCTGAAGTATCATAATTGTAGAAAATTCAAATTTCCAGAAACACATTAGCATTTCAGGTCTGATTTATAGTATATAGGTTTATGAGGGGCTGAAGTTCTCTAACCAATAGTGAGAAAAGAAATTCTGAACTTTTAAAAGATTATATAGAAATACTGTTGTTTGAATAAGCACTTTTTATGCTGGCTGCGGAATTCTGGGAGCTGAAGTTCACAAGTCTTAAAGTTGCCAAGGTGGACATCCCTCCTGCAAAGAGACTCATGAAAATAAAAGCTACATGCTCCATTCCCCAACTTCTCATCACAAGCGAACTGTGACGCTGCTGCTGCCTTATCTTCTACCATTGTTATTTAAACTGGAAAGACAAAGTGTTGCTGTGCTTTCATCATTAGTGACCTAGTTTGCCACCAAAAAATGCAAGGGCAGCATTTTATGCATGAAGTCCCTGTTGTAGAGGTGGCTGCATTCATGTCCTCCCACCTACCCACTGTGAGTGAGGTCTCAAGGCTTTGTCATTTAATTGTATTCCTTCCTTTCCCCCCCCCTCACTTCTGAAAATGAGAAATTCCCAGACAAGCCTGCCAGCCTTTGACATCCACCTTCAATCATCGCAGATCTACAAAATTACTAACCCACTGTCCTGAACACTTAAGCCTTTTGCTGATGCCTTTAAAACTGATGATTTACTTTCTCCAAGGACTAAAAAACTACATCCATATAAAGATAAGGATCAGGCAAAAAACAAATGTCAAAAAGGAATGAACTACTCTTTAGGGATTGTTGGTCACTATGACAAAAAGAACCATAAGAAAGGCTGAGCAACAAAGAATGGAGGCCTTTGAACTATGGTGCTGGAGAAGAGTCCTGCGAGTCCCCTGGACTGCAAGGCATTCAAACTGGTCAGTCTTAGAAGAGATCAACCCCAACTACTCTTTAGAAGGCCAGATCCTGAAATTGAAACTCAAGTACTTTGGCCACCTAATTAGAAGGAAGGACTCACTGGAGAAGAGCCTGCTGCTGGGAAAGATGGAGGGCAAGAGAAGAAGGGGACGACAGAGAATGAGGTGGCTGGATGGACTCACTGAAGCAGTAGGTGTGAGCTTAAATGGACTCCATAAAATGGTAGAAGACAGGAAGGCCTGGAGGAACATTGTCCATAGGGTCATGATGGGTCAGACACGACTTCGCAACTAACAACAACAATCCATATCAACTTTTCTGATCCATTTAATCTTTTTTCATCCCTCTGTTACCAGTTTTAGTCCATGTTGGCTATGAGTTATGGGCGATCTAGTTGACTATAACTGGGGTATTCCAGTTTAAGGAAAGATGATCATGATCAAAGGTAAAACCTCAGAGACTGAGGAAAAAAGCCACAGTTCAATTATTTCAACCAGTTAGGTCTTGATATGGCTTTGGAAACTAAACATATTGTTGAAGCCAAACGCCTATTAGAATTCATTTTTCAGTTAAAGGTCAAAATAACAAATTGAAACCAGCTGCAGTCTATAATTTCTATCCACACTGTAATTTGTGCGTGATTGCATTATTACACTTCAACCGAACTAATGTCTCTTGTAGAATTTTGCTCCATATGCTGGAGCAGCTATTAGCAATTCTATTAATTAAGAAGAGCTTCACAATGTTGATTATTAAAATACATTTTTTAAATAAAAACAATTATTTCTACATTAAGGTATCAAAACTCATATGATTCTCAGTAGGATTAGAGGAACTTTGACCTTTGATTCTGTTCTGCCCACGAAGGGCAAGATACCGTTAGATTCTGTTCTTGTTTTTTCATCTGACATGTTAAGATGTTTGGTTTTATTTTTCTTGTATTTTTGGTTTCACAGCACTTATGAGAATTTTGCTCTACTCAGAGGTAATGGCCTTTGAATCCAGAATAAACACCCTGAGTCATAAAGTAACTGCAAATGTGAGTAAAGACAGCACATCCTTCTAACCATTTTAGAGTTTAATGCTAACACAACTTTAAATAAATATAGAAATATGCGTACAACAACCTTGTTCTGAAAAACTTCAAGTACAAATCTGCAATTGACTTCAACATGCATACTAAGTCAGTAAGAAAACTTTGCTACTGCCATTCCATAGCAATAGCACTTCGACTTATATTCTGCTTCACAGTGCTTTACAGCCCTATCTAAGCGGTTTACAAAGTCAGCATATTTGCCCCCAACAACCTGGGTCCTCATTTTACCCACCTCGGAAGGATGGAAGGCTGAGTCAACCTTGAGCCAGTCAGGATCAAACTGATGGCAGTTGGCAGAGTTATGGATGGATGAAAAGAAGGAAGGAAGGAAGGAAGGAAGGAAGGAAGGAAGGAAGGAAGGAAGGAAGGAAGGAAGGAAGGAAGGAAGGAAGGAAGGAATAACAACAGCACTGAGACTTATATACCACTTCATAGTGTTTTACAGCCCTATCTAAGCAGTTTACAGAGTCAGCCTATTGCCCCCAACAATCTGGGTCCTCATTTTACCGACCTTGGAATGATGGAAGGCTGAGTCAACCTTGAGCCGGTGAGAATCGAACTGCTGGCAGTCAGCAGAATTAGCCTGTAATTCTGCTTTCTAACCATTCTAACCACTGCACCACCATGACTTAGCACAGAGGTCCAAAAGAAGTTTCAGGCATATAATGACATCACCCAGATAACATGAATTATGCACTTGGTGGCAATCACTTCATTTGTGTGATGATGCCATGGCACATGTGACATTGCTTATCCATCTA